AAAAAAATCATCAAATAGAAGTGGGTCTGCTCTTCTTGGACGCAGAAAAAGCTTTCGATCAAACGAACTGGGATTTTTTGTTACTATTATTGAGAGAAATGGACATAGGTTACCCAATACTGAATACAGTGGGGACTATGTACTCCAGACAAACTGCTAAGGTACTAGTTAATGGCATCCGCACAGAAGAGATCAACATACAAAGAGGAGTACGACAAGGTTGCCCCCTTTCTCCCCTTTTATTTATATTGGTATTGGAAGTCCTATTAGAAGATTTAAGAAAGAGTAAGGAATTAAAAGGTCTTAGAGTAAGAGCAGAAGACTACAAAACGTTGGCTTTTGCAGACGATGTAGTTTGCATTATAGAAAACCCGGTAGAAATGGTTACAAAATGGATTGCCAAAATTGAAGAATTTGGCAAACTGGCGGGGCTCAAGATAAATAAAAATAAGACAAAGATCCTTACAAAAAATGTCAAGGAAGAAAGAAAGGTAAAAATATTCTCGAATTCCGGAATAGAAGTGGTTAAAAAAACCAAATACCTGGGCATTACAATTTCATCCTCAAACATACATTTATTTAAAGATAATTATGAGAAATTGTGGGACAACATAAGGAAGAAATTTAACAATTGGAAGTATCTGAATTTATCCATACTAGGGAAAATCTCAGCTATCAAAATGTCTGTGCTACCCAAACTAATATTCTTGTTTCAAATGATACCGATTATTAAATCAAATACATGTTTCCAAAAATGGAACAAGGAGATATTAAAATTTATATGGGATAGGAGGAAAGTAAGGATAAAGATGAAGTATCTCACTGACGCAAGAAGTAGAGGAGGAATGGCTATGCCAGATATGCAGGTTTATTATGAAGCATGCTCACTCTCATGGGTAAAAATTTGGGCCACCTTAGAGCAAAAAAAAATATTAACTATTGAAGGGTACGACGTCAGACGAGGGTGGCACGCTTATCTTTGCTACGGGAAAGCTAAGATAGAAAAGAATTTTTCAAATCATTATATTAGAGGCCCCCTGTTAAGGATTTGGAATAAATATAAAGAGTACTTTTATGCAAAGATACCCCTGTGGATATCACCAGGAGAGGCATTTCATAAAAGAGAACTACCAAAAAAAAGATGGTTGAGTTATAGGCAGCTACTAGTTAAAATTAACAATGAGTGGCTCCTGAAACCTATGGAAGAGCTGAAGAAAGTAGATAATGAAATGAATTGGCTACAATACATGCAAATTAAAGAGTGCCTAAAAGAAGATAAAAAGGTCGGGATCAGTGAGAATGAATCTTGCTGGGACGCGATTATGAAAAAAGATAAAAAAACGATTAGAATCTTATATCAAAAGCTATTAGAATGGAATAACGAGAAGGAGCTGGTGAAAGAGAATATGGTTAAGTGGGCCAGGGATATAGGGCATTCTATTTTATTAAATGAATGGGAACAAGTGTGGAAGACTAAGTTGAAATACACTAGAGCCAATAGTATAGTGGAAAATTGGTATAAAGTCTTCTACAGATGGCATCTGACACCTGTTCAAATAGCTAAATTTAGTAACAGTCATAATACTCAATGTTGGAAATGTGGAAAAGAGCCTGGAACATACTTTCATTTATATTGGGATTGTAAGAGGATTAAAAAGTTTTGGATAATGATTCACAAACATATACAAAATATCATGAAATTAAAGTTTAACCTTAAACCCGAATATTATCTTTTAAATATAACCGACTTGGGGCTGAAGAAAAATGAAGAAAAAATTATGTTCCATCTAACATCGGCGGCTAGAATCCTAATAGCACAAAAATGGAAAAGCAAAGAAGTTCCAACGAACGAAGACTGGATTAAGAAAATAAAGGACCTCAGAGATTGCGATACATTAGCAAACCAAGTAGAAAGTCGAAATAAGGCCAAGCAAATAAATTGGAATTGCTTGAATGTATACTTAAAAAACAAATATAAATTGGAAATTTAAAAGATCTACGGACAGGAAGGACAAGAGACGTAAGGGAAAGGAGAGAAGGAAGAAGAAAAGGAGAAACGAGTTGTTTATTCCTCTGTGATTCTAACGGAAGTGACTTCAATCTGTCTACCACACCTCCCCCCCTGCCCAACTCTCCCCCCCCCACCCTTCCCTGTGACCCCCACTTCATCCCTAACTTACTCTGCACATATATCTAATCTCTATAATTTTCTAACTTTCTATTGACAATTGTTCCCCCTCTTTCACTGTAAAGGAAAATGATATAAAAATAAATAAATAAAAAAAAAAAGAATCCTTGCATTCGAGTAGCAGGGAGTCTGAAGTCCTAATGCATTAATGTCTTGTGTGAACAAAACATGCCAGAGATGCTGTTAAAGTTCTGCAGCAGATGCATAGGAGTTCCTAATCCAGAACACATAAATAGTTTTGCACAAATTCACACTGAAAATGATTTTAAGAACACTAGTCTAGCAAATTAAATCTCCGTAAAGATTAGTTGAAGGCAAACCTCAGTGCTGCTGCTGTGTGCAGTTGTTGGTTGCAGAATTATCATGGTTGCCATCAAATCTTAACCACATTGACTATGATGGAATTATACTTTTTGTTTAAATGTGGCTAAACTTGGAATGGGTGTGTATATTGCAGTTAAAAATAAGTGTAAAACACACTTGTGGACAAAAATAACCTAATTATTGAATAGCTAGCGATTTGTGCAACCTGAGGATGTATACAGGATCTTTGGAGAGCAGAGATTCACCATATGTGTAATGGACTCTTACTCTTTCTGGCTCTGAAGCACAGCCAGAACCAATTGGTAAGTAAAGTGGTGAACACCTCATTGCTTCACCTCAACGCAGCCTCTTTTAGGCAGCTTTCCGATCTGCCGAAAAAAAGCTGTGTTGAGACCATTGGGGAAATATCGTATCAATCCAAAAATTGATATGATATGGCTTGTAGTTGCTGAATTCATCTTAACTATGATTTTTCCTTGAAATCATATACCATCATTTCATCTTCTTTATACAGTTACCATTTTACTACTTTCACCTTTAAAAATTATCCTAAATATACGCGTTCTCTTGTTAGTCATATAGTATTCCTACTCTTGGTTATAATTTCCCGGTAATTTCTAGGATCATGTTGAAGGGTTATCTTGTTCCACTCAGTTGTCTTCTATTCCTTTGCAATTATTATAACAGTTCCTGTTATCCCTACATGTAAGTTGCTGAACAGTTTCATTCTCTGTTTCTGACACCTTTTACTTTTGCTTCTCTTGTTTGTAACCATTTGAAGAATTTTACCTGTCATCCAGTAAGGAATTCCATTCTTTTTGGTTACAGATAGGGTCTTTTGCATTCCTCCCTGAAGAGGTAACTGGATTTGTTCAAGTATTCCTTTTTGTTTCCCCATATGCTATTTATTTATTTAAAACATTTATATTCTGCCCTTCTCACCCCAAAGGGAACTCAGGGTGGAGCACAGCATATATACGGCAAACATTCGATGCCGGGACACCAATCTTTTCTATTGCTGCTTTATTGCTCTATTGTTAGTGTAAATTTATGTTCCCATGGCCTTCAAATCCTTTAAGTATGCTCTTCAGATTGTATTTTGGCACAATGATGGACTTCATGTACATTTTTAATTTTACTCTAATCTTTGATATGAGCAATTTATGGTCTGTGCCACAATCTGCTTCTAGTTATTTTGCAGAGAGAATTGGGCTTCTCCAACTTCTGCATCTAATTTTATAGTCTATTGATATTTGTGTTGGCCACCTAGTGACGTCCTTGTATGCAGTCATCTCTTTAGCTGCCTGAAGAGTGGATTGGCAACAGGCTTTTTGCCTTACAAAATTTAATAAATCGTTCTTCTGCTTCATTTCTTGTTTATCCTAGGCTAAACTCTCCTATAGTGTTTGATTCTGCTCTGTTTCCTACTTTTGGTTTTCAGTCTACAGTAATTACCAGGATTTCAGTTTTCTCTTGGACTAATGCTTAGAATCTTGGATTATGATTATAATAGCCTTGTTCTATTATTTAGCCATACTTTGCCTTGCATCCCCTGATTGCTTTGGCTATAGCACATCTCACTGTTAACATTAGCCCGTGTCTTCTTTGATTGTCATTTCCAGAGTAAAACTTTGAGTAATTAATTTTTTTTCAAAATGTCACATTACTGCCCACTTTACCTTGCTCACATTAAGTATGTCTATATTTATGTATTTTGTTTTACAATTTCTTACTTTCAATTATTCATGATTCTCATATTTCATGCCTATTGCACTATATAGTTCAGTTGTGTCATTAGAAATAGGACGTAGTTTTTCTCTGTTTTTCCTCAATTATTGGTTGAATGCCTTCATACCTGGGAGTCTCGTCTTCCAGCACTATACCATTTTTATTATTTTATCAAAGGGTTTCCAATGTAAGACATTCAGGAATGGTTTATCATTTTCGTTTTCTGCATAATACTTTAGAGTTAACTAAACTGCCACTGTTTTAGGTAAACCTTTGTCAGTATCCTTTATCAGTATCAGTAGTTAGCTGGCATATTTGTTCTGGCTCAGATTTTTTTCCCTCCCCACTGGTAGGGAGTTCTGGGTCTGACTCTAACTCACCAGGGTCCAGTCATGGGGAAAATATCATAGACCTATAAATCTAATCCCAATTCATGTTATACTCCTATCATGGTATTCAAATGGAGGTGCTGATTCACATAAGTTGCATGCCAAATTTTGGCTGTGGCATTGTTACGTGTTGATTATACTTTTTTCAAGCCATTGGTAGAAATTGTGTTTTCTCCATATAGATATTTACTTCTATTTCAGTATACAAACGTATCACTGATGCATGGGTTCTGGTTCATATAAACAATGCCTTCTCACAAACCATGCTTGATCATGATCATGGTGGCATATTTTGTTCTTACTGATCAAATAATTGTAAATAAACAAATAGACATATGTATTTTGCTCATGTAACTTTTTTTAACTTTCAGACAGTTAATAAATGCTAACTGGCGTAACTCTCCTCATCAAAATGATGGACACAGAAAGCCAGATTTGTCCCCTTATTTCCCTAAAAGAGGAGGATCTTGGCAGTCCTTTGTCTGAAGATTTTTTGCAAGATATGGAGAGTATTAAAGAACTCTCACAGTCTGTAAGTGGTGATAGCTCAGGAGCATTAAGTATAACAGATTTCCAGTCCTTGGAAAATGGACCCGGGTCTGATGGATCAATTATTACAGGTAAGAATTATGTCACCTACAATGGATTTAAAAGAACTGTAGTTCTTATGGATGACAAATATTAAATGTTCCAATTTCTGTACTGTTTACATGAAAATTAGATTAGTGCGTTTGTGTCTTGGATCCAATTGGAAATAACTTCATGCATTCTTAATTAAAAACTACTCTGCAGTTTGAGATAATTTGTGTGTTTCTTTATAGTATATATTTACTGTTAGTAGCTGGAATTCTAAATTGCCATCAACTTCAGCTCCACCAGCATCTGCTGACGCTTCCAGATCCATGGTTCGCCAGCATGCTCAAAGTCTAACAACTCGATGCCCCTCAGACCTCAGCCAGTAAAATCTGGAAAGGGAAGGACAGATGGCAGTGTTAACTTAAGAGAAGCTCAGTTTGACTCTGGAGCCACCTAAGAAGACTCACAAAAAAAGGAAAAACACATAGAAAAAAGAGAAAAGTACCTCTCATTTCTCTGACCCCTTCAATGCAAGGTGTGGGTAGACTGTCCATGGTTGTTTTGCTTCATCTACATCCCAGCCTGACAAGTCTCCACTTCCACAAGATCCAGAGGGCAAAATTCACAACACTTATTCATTGACAGGACAGCCAATGCAAGAATCTCTAGCACAAGATTCTGAAACTATCATAGTAACATGCCATACCTCTCCAGGTCGCCATCGAGATTATCTTGATACTGATCTAACATGTACCATTCATGTTCAGGTTGGTACTCTTTGGGATCTTGGAACTTAAAGTCCTCTGACTGTAGAAGTCAAAATGCTAAATATTTCTGAAGTAATTATATGAGAAAAGTCACAATATGATGGTCCAGGTACATGAGATAGTACAGTGCTATGCATTATCTCCATCTTGGTGTTGACGCCATTCTCACTCTGGAGATTGCTCCTGATCAAGAGGCCCTCTTCTGGAACCTACTGCAGCCCCTCTTTCAGTCCCTCCCAAAGCTGACCCTTCCCAGCACATGGAAGCTGCACCAAAGCTTACACATCAGCACTCATCAGCTAGATTCTAGGGGAATTTGATTTACTATTGGTATATGATGGTTGAATTTTTCTAGCATTCACTTTTCTTTTCTTAACATTCAGACTCACTCTCACCAGCATCAAGTCCTTCATCAGTGAATCTTACCACTGTTCCAAGCAGCAAAGATGAAACATCCAATACAGCATTAAACATTGAATGTAGAATATGTGGAGATAAAGCTTCAGGCTACCATTATGGAGTTCATGCTTGTGAAGGTTGTAAGGTACTGTCCACAATATTTAACGTTTAAAAAATTACAGAATGATAGTCCAGTGCTTTGTAAAAAAAAAAATCAAATGAAATTAAAACGAGGCAAAAATTGTGAAAAATAACTAGAATTAAGAATTTTTGGCAGAAATATATTTATTGGGACCTGTGACAAGGATGGCAAATGTATGTCCCCTAAAGCAAATGTATGTGCTTTAGGGGACATACATTTGCCATCCTTGTCACAGGTCCCAAACTCTATAATCTTATTAGTGAAATGGTTCAAATCAGCCAATTATTGTTCAGATCAGGAGCAGCAGCAGTGCACAAAATGTCTCTGCTCCCAATCAGCAAAGCACCTGAATATTTCCTTGCATAGAAGAAAAATGTTAAAGCTAAGCATTGGGTCATAACAAGCCCTTCCTTTCCTTTCTCAGTTCTTTGTTTGGAGCTAGGGGGGAAAGGAAGAAATCATTCCTTCAGTGATTCTGGGCTTCCACTGCTTATTGTCCAGGTCAGATAGAAAGGTCCCCAATCTGGAGTGAAATGGGGAATTGTTGTTATAGTTCACAAATATGCAGTGTGAAATTAAAAGATCTATGTTTCAGACATATCTTATTAAGATCGTCAGGGGCTGCTGCGATTTTTTATACTCTTAATGATGTTCAATACTGTTTTAACACTTGTATATTGATATATTTTAAGTTGTATTGTTATACTTTCATTGTGAGCCGCTTTGAGTCTCCGGATGGAGAGAAAAAGCAGGATATAAATAGACATAATAATAATAATAATAATAATAATAATAATAATAGAGGAATATACCATATACTCACAGTTAACCATCACCCATGAGGATTGGTAGTGCTGGATAAATTTATTTTCTGTTTGCTTGAGAGTTACTATTAAATATAGGTCTAACTAAAAGTGTACCCCATATTATGCCATACCATAAACTCTGTGTTAACTTGATATTAATATTGAAATACAGTAATTAAAAGCAAGCGATGACAAATTGTACTTGATTTAACACAGTTTCCCTGTATTATAAAACAGCCTTGTGAATGCAGTATTATTTATTTTATTTTATTTTATTTTATTGCTGGTTGCTTCAGAGTTCTGGTTGCTTGTGTTCCAGTTAACTGAGCGTCTACTGTACTTTTCAGATGAAGGAAGTTTTTCATCATGCACTGTATGCTTAACATTTGTATAATATTTGTCTACTGTTACTTCTGCAGATAGTTGAGTAGAAGATAAAAGAAGGAGAGCAAGTGTAGCACCATGCCAGGCATGTTTACTTGGAAGTAAACTCTCTTAGTGGGACATAATTCCTAGTAAGAATTTTTAGAATTGTGGCCTTAAAGGTGAAACGAACCTTCAGTAATCTTCAGTGTATCTAATGTATTCTTTCTTCAAATTTTTCACAGGGCTTCTTTAGGCGGACAATCAGATTAAAACTTATTTATGATAATTGTGACCGCAATTGCAAGATTCAGAAAAAAAATCGCAACAAATGCCAATACTGCCGTTTTCAAAAATGCATTTCGGTAGGAATGTCTCATAATGGTAGGTAAGAGCGACCAGAATTTTTATTTTACCTTAACTACTACATTCTACTACTGTCTGAAAGGATTCCTACAGAATCCTTGCAGACAGTGCCAGTTCTAGGAAGAAAACTGGCACTCCAGCAGAGAATTCTAAATAATTCACCAAATGTGCAGTGGCCTAGTGTAGGGTGGAACTCATAGCAGTAATGATTGTATTAAAGTGGTGTACCTCTGCAGTACAGATATACACTAAGGTTCCAGCTTCATTGCAATTTTGGCACAGTGTTCTCAGAATTCTATTTTACAGATTTTAGAAGCTATATAGAACTTCTAAATAGCAGCTAAGGCACTCTTGTTAATTGAACCCAGTGGTTTTAACTTTATTCGAGTCAGCAAAGAGGGGCTGTGAAAATGTTTGTACACTTTGGCAGGTGCGAATGCTAATGAAAGGTTACACTAACTTCCAGCGGGGCTCCATAGATGAACTGTGGTGCAAGTGTCCTACGATGCTTTGCTCCGAACACGGGAGGCTTCTTGTATTCCGTAGGGAGCAATGGGGCCGTGTGTGATGGGGAAAGCTTAGCTGCGGGCAAGGCAGGGCTGCCCCCGTAAATTTGCCAAGGAGGTTGGCAAATTCCCCCGCTGTCCCTCATCAATGTGATGAAGTCCTTAGTTTATTTCACTTGTAACTTCTCAGACTAATTGTTAAAATCCTGAGTAAAATGACATGTTTAAAAATATTACATGTTTGTGAGATCAGGCTGGGATTCTATTTAGAGAGAAACAATACTCTGCTACACTTTAGCACACTCTAGTTAGGCAATACAGTTATTCCTCCATATAGGGGCACAAGACTCCCATGAAACTGAAAAAATGAGCATAAGTGCGCTATTTTCCCCCAGAGAGAACACTTCTCTACATATTTGTATGTCCTACATCATGATTCTGTGGTCAACATCCAGTGAAAGTTGACCATGGAACTGTGTTAGAGAGACCTAAAATTGCCGAGAGAGAACATGTTTTTAGTCATATATAGGATAGCGGCTAAAAGTGGCAACATCCAGTTCACAAGCATAAATTTCTTTGTACCTTCACTTCTGTGTTATTTTCTCTATTCAATCCACATATCTCTTTGCATCCCAATATTATTGCCATCTTTGTCTTCCTACGCCCCATAGATTTCACAGGAGCAGCAGTATTTTCCTCCCTTTTCCTCCTAATTCTGCTATTGCAATGTTTGTTCTACATGGGTGTTCTCTTCTTTTTCTTCACTGAACTTCAATGCAATTCGTGGGGTCTTAGATATAAATGTGTCACTAAGCATGGCGGCAGAAAGCTAGAAAACAGATGCTATTTCCAATACGCACTTTTAAATCAGAACTTGGCAACTACAGAAAGTCAGGGACCAGTCTTCTCCCTATGACACCATCCAGGGACCAAATGATCTGTCAAAAATGCCTCCCAAATCCACTGCTGGATTTTAAATAATATTTAGTAAACACTAGCCGTCCCCTGCCACGTGTTGCTGTGGCCCACATGGGGGTTCTGTGTGGGAGGTTTGGCCCAATTCTATTGTTGGTGGGGCTCAAAATGCTCTTTGACTGTAGGTGAACTATAAATCACAGCAACTACAACTCCCAAATGTCAAGATTCTATTTCCCCCAAACTCTGCCAGTGTTCACATTTGTGCATATTGAGTATTCTTGTAGAGTTTGGTCCAGATCCATCAGTGTTTGAGTCCACAGTCATCTTTGGATGTAGGTGAACTACAACTCCAAAACCAAAGGACACTGTCCACCAAACCATTCCAGTATTTTCTGTTGGTCATGGGAGAACTGTGTGCCAAGTTTAGTTCAATTCCATTGTTGGTGGGGTTCTGAATTTTCTTTGATTGTAGGTAAACTATAAATCCCAGCAACTCCAACTCCCAAATGACAAAATCATTTTTTTTAGTGAAAGACATACATTGGGTTGTTAGGTGTCCTGTGTCCAAATTTGGTGTTAATTCGTCCAGTGGTTTTTGAGTTCTGTTAATCCCAAAAACGAACATTACATTTTTATTTATATAGATTGTATAGTGCATACTACTCTTCCAACCTATTTGAAATGTGAGTGGTCTCTCTTGGAAGCTTTTTTACCCTTGTGTCACCATGTGAGCCAGTCTCTTGGTTTTTTGGGGTTACTGATACTTGCTCTGCTCCTTCTTTTCCTGTTTCTCCTACTCTCTCCCATGCCTCAGTTCACATAATTATGATGCACCATTCTTTTTATTCTTGTTCACTATCACTCAAACTGCTTGCTCACCTCCTCCCTCCCTCCCTTTTCCTGCACCATTGCCTTGTGACCACTATTTGCTTCTTGCACTCTAATGCTCCCACCACTTGTTCTCCCAACTGCCATATTTGAAGTCTCTGAAGAATAATTTGACAGCAGAGTTTCTCTATATTTTGCCCTATATCTTGACTTCCATAAAAGCTAGAGAGTTACTTTTAAAAATGAAATCTTGGGGTCTAATAGCATGCCTAGAATCTAGATAAAACCCATCTATCCAGGTGATATTGCAATCCTAACTACGTATGGTTCCAGGGTCTCACTTTTCCCACCCCTGCTTTAAATCTAGGGAATGGGTGACTAGTGCAGATGGAATGACAGAGACACTCTGAAGGATTTAAGCCATTTTAAGGATTAGCCCCTCAAATGAAGGAAAGGACCATAAACTGAGCATTTTGAATTATCCAGTGAGTATGAGAATGCACATATAGAGAAGGTTTTACTTTGGGACTTTCTGTAGTGATGGGTTGATCTAATTGTAATAATATTGATGCTTGGATCTGATATACTTGCATGGTGATGTTGAAGGTCAGGTTATGTATGTTGTTGCTCCACCTGAAATGCATATTTTTCCTCAGCAATTCGATTTGGTCGGATGCCAAGATCAGAGAAGGCAAAGTTGAAGGCTGAAGTTCTAATCGGTGAACACTGTATAGAAAATTCTGAAGTTGCAGATCTTAAATCACTTGCCAAAAGAATTTATGAAGCATATTTGAAAAACTTTAATATGAACAAAGTCAAAGCTAGACTCATACTTGCGGGGAAAACCAGTAATAATCCAGTAAGTATCATAGAGTGTTTGAAATGTTTTAAAAAATCAACTCAGCATGTGTGAGCTTATATAATGAGAATAATTGATTACTCTAGTAAGCCTGCATAATCAGATATTTTTAATCAAGCAATCATCACGATTATGTTTTTAATAATGGTTTATAAAGAGTTAACTTCTACTCTTCAATAAATTCACAGGGTATCCCACAAAATAATCATAATAAAATATATTCAAGTGCAATAAAATTTACAGTATAAATACAGTTGTGTAAATTCACACTTAATAATAATGTGATCTGGATAATTTAAAACTTGATCAGCAAAGACATAATATTGTTGAAGGCTTTCATGGCCAGAATCACTGGGTTGTTGTAGGTTTTTTCGGGATATATGGCCATGTTCTAGAGGCATTCTCTCCTGATGTTTCGCCTGCATCTATGGCAACTATCCTCAGTACCTCTGAGGATGCTTGCCATAGATGCAGGTGAAACGTCAGGAGAGAATACCTCTAGAACATGGCCATATAGCCCGAAAAAACCTACAACACAAAGACATAATATATGTGATCAAATGATGTGAAAAGCTTTCATGGGGACTGAAACTTGTAAAAGCATGGTGTTCAAGTTATCTGGACCACAGCTTATGATTAGAGTTGTTTGACATTGCTTTTCAAAGAAAAAGGATGACACTGCTTTCAAAGAATGAAGTACATGTTATGCTATTCAGTCCTAAACTTACCATACAGAGAGTCTTTTAAGACATGTGAATACCTAGAAAGCCTTACAGTGATTAAATATCACAGACTCTTTACAAAGGTCAGGTTAAATCTATTTCCCTCAGAGCTGCTAAGAGGCAGACTGTTTACTTCAAAAGACTATGCCCCTGTGGAAGAAATAAAATAGAAACAATAGAACACATTTTATTGCAGTGCCGCTGTTACAGTGCAACATAGCCAACTTTTATATCCAATCCTGTCCTGCATGACCAATCATCCCCTGCAGATGGTTAGTTATCTTTTAGAGGACAAGTGCCACAGGGTGACTCTTATAATGGTAAAATTCCTTGCAGTGGCAACGAGGCTAAGAAAGCAACTAACCTCTGATAGGAGTATTACTTGAAACCATGAAGATGTATCTTGTACAGTGAACTTCTCCTGAGATGAGAGACTTTATAACGACTGTTCGTTTACTAATGGGTCTATGGACCATAATAAATGTTGTTGTTGATTATGATGATGTTGATGACGACAGTGATGTTATTAATTAAATTATGACACTATTCAAACTATGTGTCTATGTCAAGTGTCAAACTTGTGGCCCTCCAGATACTTCGGATTCCAACACCCACAAGCCCTAGCCAGCTTGTCCAATGGCCAGGAATTCTGGAAGCAAAACACATGGAGGGCCACAAGTTTGACACCTATGTACTTAAACAAATTTATCTTGCTGTTTGTAAAAGTATTCAGTAATTGTATTTTGTAATTCAAATGAAAGAGAAACGTATTTATAAGTCTAGCAGTATTTGAAATTATAGCTGGGATTCTAATGGCTTATGGAAAGTTGAAAGAAAAAACATTTTTTCAAAAGTAGATTGTGAAAAATATCCAGTATTCTACAAGAACAGTGTTATTGGTGTGGGTTTCCCAAAAACAGCTAAAAAAAATTAAACTCCTAACTCAGTGGAGATTCGATGTGGGATTGTTATTTAACTTTTCTATTTAGTAATGTTGTTGATTCTATGTATTTCATAAATGGTTTTTCAATAGTCAAGAAAATTAAGCTGAAATATTTGATTAGCTAGATTTGGAAAAAAAGTCCCCACTAATTTCGAAGAGATTTCCTGCTGGGGAGGTAGTTGTAGAACTGAAGACTTATTATAATTTATTTATTTCCAAGGCACCATATTTTACTGTTGCGCAACGTTTACCTTCAGGAGGCTCTTCCTAATGTTTAGGTGGAATATCTTTTCCTAACATTTGAATTATAATGATGATGATAGTGATGATTATTATGTTTATTTATACCCTACTTTTTCTCTCTACAAGGAAACTCAAAGCGACTTCCATTAAAAGCATTTCAATACAATTGAAAATCACCAAATTTACAAACATTAAAAATGATTAAATATCAATGATATTAAAAAAGTTTACATCCATTGCTCCGTGTCCTAGTGTCCAGAGCAGCAGAAAACAAGTTTGCCCCCTCCTCAATGTGACATCCTTTCAAATATTCTTGTGAAGAATAAAATGTCAGGTTTGAAATTTAGGGAGAACCATCATATTTATTATTTTAATTCCATTTAAGTATAAACATTCTTGATATACAAAGCTACCCCTTTTCCTTTCCCATCTGGTCTATTTTTCAGAAATAGATTATACCCCTGTAGTACTACATTCCAGTCATGAAACTCATCCCACCTGGTTTAAGTGATGCCAATTATATTGCATTTGCTTTGTTATAATAAGTGTTCGAGTTCATCTTGTTTATTTCCCCTGCTTTGTGCAATAGACACCCTCCCCAGTTGCTTATAGAAGTGTTTTTCCTTCTTGTTGAGTTTTTGTAGATATTGTTTTATGGAGAAATCCTTTAAAAGTGGAGAAGAATGTATCAATATTCACATCTAGTGAACAATTCTAATGCTTGCACATTGCTATACTTCGATGCAGTCAGTTTTCAAACATCAGTCTCTGTTGAAGAGGATGTGGCAAAACATTTTGCACCACGAAAAATATATTGCAGAGCGGTAACAGTCATAAATCCTGTAAAATTTGTAGAAACTGAGTTTGCTATTTTTTCCCATCCCTTTCCATCTTGCTCAGAGAAATCAAAAGGACAGAGAGCTGTGCATGAAACTATTTTGCTGAAGCTGTGATAATGTAATTGTTATACCAGGCCATTGTTTTCAGCAGTAATTCAAATTGTAATTCAAATTAAGTGATTGTCTTCCCAATTCGCTGGAGTAAAGGGTTTGTATTGTTTCTGACTTTGGTTAGAGACAGATTAACATCTTTGGGTGGAAACCGGGGTTATGATACAGATGTTTGCTGAAACATATTGAATTGCTCTTCTTTATTGTGGAGTAGGAACATATCCCGATCCTTTCTATTTCGGTCTCTGGTAACAAATGCTATATTAAATAAGTCATGCCTAGAAACACATCTACTTAATTCACGGAGGTCTCCTTGTACTACTAGCAAATGTTAAATATTTTTGAAGTAATTATGTGAGAAACGTCCATCTTATAAAGTAGTAACATTGACTTGAATTCAAATAGAAGTTTTCAAGAAGGGGTTTGATATATTGTATGGATATTATTAGAATAATTACTTACGATTATTGTCTTTTTGTAGCCATTTGTTATACATGATATGGATACCTTGTGTATGGCAGAGAAGACACTGGTGGCCAAACTGGTAGCCAATGGGATACAAAACAAAGAGGCAGAAGTTCGAATCTTCCACTGCTGTCAATGCACCTCAGTCGAGGCTGTAACAGAACTTACAGAATTTGCCAAATCTATCCCTGGCTTCTCCAGCCTAGACTTAAATGACCAGGTGACTCTACTCAAATATGGGGTATATGAAGCAATTTTTGCCATGCTGGCCTCTGTGATGAACAAAGATGGCATGTTAGTTGCCTATGGAAATGGTTTTATAACTCGAGAATTCCTTAAAAGTTTAAGGAAGCCATTTTGTGATATCATGGAGCCGAAGTTTGATTTTGCAATGAAATTCAATGCATTGGAGCTAGATGATAGCGACATCTCTCTTTTTGTGGCTGCTACAATTTGTTGTGGAGGTAAGACTTAAGATATAATGATCTATTGTCTTGAACAGACTTATTTTCATGGCTTATTTTAATTCTGATTAAGAGTTTTGATTATTTGTCTCCCACTATTTTTCAGAACTACCCAAAGTACCTACTGTATTTTCTGACATATAAAATGACTGGGCGTATAAGACAACCCCAACTTTTCCAGTTAAAATACATAGTTTGAGATATACTCGCCATATAAGACTACCCCTCTTCCAACATACACCAAATAAAAATTTAAAAAGCAGATTTGATTTCAATATGGTAATTTTCCTATTACCATACCTCCTTCTCTGTCTCTCAGATCTCACACTGATCTCACTGCAGACTTCAGGAGCGAGATCTGAGAGGCAGAGAAGGAGGTACAGTAATAGGATACAAGGGTGAGCCAGACAGGTGAAAGAGGCATTTTTTCTGGGCACATTGCCACTCTTTTGAGCTCCTCCCACCATATGTAGCCACCGCAGATTCTCCAGTCTGCCTCGGAAGTTTCAGCACTTGCCCTAGAAGACGACACCCGGTGTATAAGATGACCCCTGACTTTTGAGAAGACTTTCCTGGGTTAAAAAGTAGTCTTATATGCCAGAAAATACAGTAATTGTAACCAAATAATAACTTAATGTAAACACAAAGGTAGCATAAGAACAAATCCAATAAGTTGCACCCAAATAGGTATTTGGGGAAGTTTCAAACAAAAGCTAGAAAAAATAGAATATTTCTGAGAATTTTCTATACATTTTCTAATATTTTTTTCAGTCTTTCATAATCATAGCATGCATTTTTATCTCTTTTTTTACTTATAATAATCCCCCATGGTTTTAGTTAGAGGTGGTTTAGAATGGGAAAAAACCATCAAAGAATAACAGTAATAATAAATGAAAGCAGTTGATAAAAATCAAAAATAATATTAAAACCTGATGTACATTTATCTAGATCTCAGGTTGTTTCTGAGTTTTGATTTGAACTGTATAGCATTGTTAAAATTTCACTGGCTCTGCCAATATAATTTAGGAGAATAAGCATTTCTGTGAAAGTAAATTATGGAACATTTGCTTTGAAGTAATATTGCAATTGAGAAATTCTGTAGAATTATAATGATTTCACAACTTGACTAAATACACTGTAATTAATTAAAATGTTCAGAGAATAATCAGGTAATGGCTACTTTAAACAGCTATGAAGACTACAAAAGAAATTCAGTCAGATACTGTTGTAAGTGAAATTTATTTCACAGAATTCAATACCTGTTATTTAAAGCAGTGGTTCCCAACCTGTGGTCCGTGGACCACCAGTGGTCCACAAGGACTAAAATATGGTCCGTGGCCTTAGAGTCACTACACCGTTGCAGCAAGAGTTACTGGTCTTGCAAAACCCTCTTATAGTGTCGGGGCAATGGGGATGTCGGGAGGGGAGAGGCTGACTACCCATGAAAGGTGCAACAACAAGCCTTCTGACTGCTGCTTCTCCTCCTCCCCCCTCCCACTGAGCTGATTCAGAAAATTGCATTAGATAGACAACATCAGTTCTAGATTATTAAATACGGTTTTCTGTGGGTGAACAGATGGTGACTACTGGATGGTATATGTTCTGTATCAGAAACTAGAGCTGATGTGGTCTATCCAATGCAATTTTCCGATTCAGCACCCCAAATCATAGAATCATGGAGTTGGAAGAGACCTCATGGGCCATCCAGTCCAACCCCCTACCAAGAATTAGGAAATCGCCCTCAAAGCACCCCCCACCGGATGGCCATCCAGCCTCTGTTTAAAAGCTGGTCAAAATGGTCTCTGGTCAAGTGGTCCCTGGTCATAAAAAGGTTGGAACCACTGATTTAAACTAATAAATCGAGTACAGATAGTTCAAAACAAGGGTTTTCCTTAAGCTCTTAAAGACAGGTAAACTCATGCCACATAGTGACTGTTATCAATTACATGATATCTGTTATTGTTTTTGAAAACAGATCGCCCTGGCCTTGTGAACATAAGACATATTGAGAAGATGCAGGAGAGCATTGTGCATGTACTAAAACTTCATTTGCAAAACAACCATCCTGATGACATCTTCCTCTTTCCAAAACTTCTACAGAAAATGGCAGACCTCCGACAACTTGTCACGGAGCATGCTCAGCTTGTTCAGATCATCAAAAAGACTGAATCTGATGCACACTTGCATCCTTTGTTACAGGAAATTTATAAAGACATGTATTAAGGTTGTTCTAGATTTGTATGATATGTAAAGAAAATAGCAATACTAATAGATGGGAGCTAATTACTTTGCACAATTTCCCCTGCTGCACTAATCTGAAAGCACTAGTGAAGCTGAAGTGTAGGTAACTGGACTATCACATTTCTCTTGTCAGGGTATATTTTTCAAAACTTTTTAAAAGTACATATAAATATTATAATGAACTGTGATTGACTTGAACTTCGGGCAGCAGTGGGAATTTAATCATGCCACATTAATTTTCTAAAAATATGGCTTCTGAAGTTTCTGCATTTTAAAGCATTCATTTTTTCTTTCTGTTCCTGGTACGAAACTAGTAGGTTGGGCCAGGATACAAGGAAAAAAATTGATGGCCACGAGGTCTTTATTCTTGTTTCTCTACAAGCATCCTTGAGCCACATGGTGCATATAGCATGCAACAGCAACAACATTACTTCTTAAGTAAATCTTAGGTATTACACTATGTAACAAAAATTGAAAAAAAATCTGTTCCTGGTTTGAAAGTGTTATTTCCTGTTTAACTGTGTGGTACTTACTTTGAAAGTAGTTGTTATACTCCAGAAACTTCGTTTTTGTGGGGGCCACAAACTATGCTGAATTGTCGAAGGCTTTCATGGCTGGAATCACTAGGTTCTTGTGGGTTTTTTCGGGCTATAGGGCCATGTTCTAGAGGCATTTCTCCTGACGTTTCGCCTGCATCTATGGCAAGCATCCTCAGAGGTGAGGTACCTCTGAGGATGCTTGCCATAGATGCAGGTGAAACGTCAGGAGAAATGCCTCTAGAACATGGCCCTATAGCCCGAAAAAACCCACAAGAACCTTATGCTGAATTGGTTGAGACTCTATGAGATATAGCAAAATATGCGGCACGACATCCTGCAAACACAAAGTTTTTGCAGTTTAATCAACTTTTTCCATGTTTTTATAATAAAGCCAATTAGGAAATGACATTTATAACCCAGGAACAAAAATTGTGTTACATAGTGCTATTATTTGGATGTTAACAGAATTCAGGGGCCTTGTGTAAGATGAGTTTCATATGTCAAATACTGTTGAAGACCTTAAGAGTTTTGGCTGACCAGTGGAAACAGATTTTTTAAATAGAGTAAATGTCTCCTTTGCATGACATACAAAATAGCACTTATTTTTAAAATTGGCATTCCATACAAAATATAGGGATCCATGCAAGATAGACAGTAAACACTAATCTAAACATTTGTGGCCATGCCTAACTACGACGTAATTCATTGTATCCTGGCTCCTCCTCTTTCGCATTCCTAAAATACAGTAAATCTGGCTGTGTGAGTGTTTCATTTTTATCCATTATGTTGGGATAAATCAAATCAGATATAGTAACAATTTTTTATCACAGTAATTCAGTGAATATTGTTTCTATACGGTTTGCATAGAGGTGAGGAAGCTGGAGTGGTCGACATCTTTCCAATACAGTAAATAGCTTCGCTTTATGGCAGCAGCAATAATACTTGATTATTGAGATTGAGTAAAATTGAGTAGCACTCTAATTTTTCTGTTACTATCAGTTAGCAAATTGGATCTCCAGCACTGATACAAGTTATCACACTGGAAAGCAAAGCTGTTTCAGAACCTGGGGTTGTGTTTCTTGCAGAGACTATTAAGCACTAACTGCTGGTTGCCATTACTACCAAAATTATACTTAGTTTCTATAGTGTTCCGCATGGTATCTGACATGTCAAAAGTTCTCTTGTCGCATTAATGTGATTCACACAAACTTCATAGAGGTTTATTGAGAAAACGGTTGACTCAATATGCTCAAAAGACTATTTCTGTGCAGAAAAGGAGAGGAGAAATTGTGTTTCATGTATCTTACACTACATTGCCTTTAAAGATTGATATATAATATGACCTCCCCATATCTTGGGATCAGTATCCAAGGTTTCATTTATCCATATCCAACAAAATATACTCCCTCTAGGCATTTTCTAGGTCCTCCATTGTGACGATGTTATTCTTGGGACAGAAGCCTTTCATTTCAATAGGGTTTATACCAGGGGTCCTCAAACTAAGGCCCGGGGGCCGGATACGGCCCTCCAAGGTCATTTACCTAGCCCTTGCTCAGGGCCAACCTGAGTCTGAAAGCATATGACAATAACAACAGCAACAATCCTATCTCATCAACCAAAAGCAGGCCCACACTTCCCATTGAAATACTAATAAGTTTATATTTGTTAAAATTGTTCTTCATTTTAATTATTGTATTGTTTTAAGTGGTTTTTGTACTACAAATAAGACATGTGCAGGGCGCATAGGAATTCATGTGCTTTTCAAATTATTATCTGGCCCTCCAACAGTTTGAGGGACTGTGACCTGGCCCTCTGTTTAAAAAGTTTGAGGACTCCTGGTTTACACTATGTAGCAAAATTTCAAAAGAAATTCTGTTCCCTGTTTGAAACAGTTATTTCCTGTTCGACTGTGTGGTACTGACTTTGAAAATAATGCTTATACTCCAGAAATTTTGTTTTTGTGGCTACCACAAAGTACATTGAATTAGTTGAGACTCAATGAGATACTTATTGAAAACCTAAAGCAAAATGTGCCGTAGAATGTCCCACAAAAACAAAGTTTTTGCAGTTTAATAAACTTTTTCCATGTTTTTGTGATACAACCTATTAGGAAATAACATTTATAACCCAGGAACAAAAATCGTTATCTAGTGTTATTTGCAGTTTCGCACATTTGCGAAACTGTATCAGTGAGTGCCTATTTCCCATGGATACAGGGTCATATTGTATTACTATGGTTTTTAATTGACCACTGGCTTTAATATTACTTGCATTTCACTGTGTGCTCTTACCTACAGTGGCCTTGTTTATAATCTAATCTAATATAGTCTAAAATAATATGTACATCTTGAAGATTTCAGCCAAGCGAAGCTCTTCACAATTTCAAGTACGAATGAGAAGTGCAGAATGGACTGAGGAGAACTTGCAGAAACTTCAGGTACATATTAGTGGATTTCAGTAGAAGCACTGTCTAAAAGGTACTTGCACTGTTAATCAGAATACTCAGGACTGGGGCAATAATTCAGTAAATTGGGAAAAAAGTTTGTTTCTCAAAGACGAAATCAGCTACCTCAACAAATTATGAAAAAAATAAAACTGTAAATTGTTCCAGAAATCTATTATTTAACTATTGAAACGCTTGGGATGGCAAGTTGAAGTGAACGAGAAACAAACGTCGCTCTGATGTTAGTTATGCAAGTTGAAATAAATTTATTTACTGAGTAGCTTTAAAAGCATCCTTTTTGTGTTTGCACCTTTTCATCCATGTTACTTAATTGCTCCTTTTTAAACCTATGATTCTCTGTATCTTATAGCTTTCTGGCTGATTATTGTCTCGTAGTGTAACGGGGTCAATGAGAGGGTCCCTGAATTGCTCGAACACTTTTGGATAGGGTGCAGGCCTGTGTATTCTACTAAGCAAGGACGGCTCTCCTCCCAAACATTTTGCTTATTGACAAAGCGCATCTGAAAGACAAAAAGTATTTACATGTTTTCTAAGGCTGTTTTATCCCCATAGAGCGCCATCTTTTTTACTTGAAAGTACAGTTGTATCTGTAAGTGGTTATCTGGATTTATTGAAATCTACAACATCCTACAAATATATCTTAGCTGACATAATAGTAATTTTCAACTATGTTCCACAAATGTCTTATGCCATAAGAGATTCCATAGAGGGCGAGGTAGTATCTGTGGCAGCAGTCTGTATTCAATGTCTTGCCTAGAATAAAGGTTAGGTTAATATAGGTAAAGGTTTACCCTTAACATTAAGTCTAGTTGTGTCCAACTCTGGGGGGTGGTATTCATCTCCATTTCTAAGCCGAAGAGCAGACATTGTCCGTAGAGGCCTCCAAAGTCATGTGGCCAGCATGGAGTACTATTACCTTTCCACTGAAGCATTACCTATTGATCTACTCACATTTGCATGTTTTTGAACTGCTAGGTTGGCAGAAGCTGGGGCTAACAGCAGGAGCTCACCCTGCTCCCCAGATTCGAATTGCTGACCTTTCGATCAGCTAGTTCAGCGGTTTAACCCACTACGCCACCAGGGACTCCTTTAGGTTAATATACATCTATTTTTTTAAAAAAACACTACCATGTGCAAGAAATGGATGGTATAGTACCCCAGATATCCAGAGAAACAGTAGGATTTTAAGTGTTGAGTATGCTTTGGGTGGGGGAAAATCAGTAAACATTTCAAAGGGATTTCCTTTCATTTGGCAAAATGACTACAATATGTGTGTGTGTGTATTTATTCCTCTTTGGAGAAAAATCCTGTTTTCTTCATTTTCCTTCCCAGAGGCCAAGACCTTGCTCCCTGCCTTCTTTTCTGAGCCCATTCCGGAGTCTTTCTTGCTACAGCACTATAATGCCATGGTGTGTTGACATCTCTATTCTCATCCCCACCCCCTGGTCTGGAAATATAAGAGGAAAAACCAAAAGGCCTTATAATTTTTCTTAAAAAGCATATATTTCATAAGTCTGCCTCTTGATTGCTATTTCTTCTTTCAGACATACTGATCACTGGCATGGGGATAGGTCAGACAGCTGGATCGGTAGCTGCTGCCTTTCCTCTGCCACCAAATAAATGTACCTGAAAAGCCTGATTAGGAAGTCTCCTCCAAGGCAAATGGACCTTTAAAACAATAAGACATATATATTGAGAAGGGAAAAGGGTGTCTGTGTATGCTTGCCAACCTAAGGGAAAGGCTGCTGAGATAATGTCTTGGACAAGATGCTCTGTATGATATTTGCATAAACGAACACTGTAATCCCAGAATGGTTCTCCAGGTGCACAAGGAAAGGGAGAAATCCCAGTTCAATCGCTTTTTAAGAAACAACACCTTTGGATCAGAGAAAAAGTATTGTGCAATAAAGCCCTTAATCTGAAAAGCCAGCACTGTACTGTCAACTTGCTTTCTAATGGATTTTGTTTTCAGTCTGCTGGATGTCATCTAGCATTTTTAAATATGTGCTGGATCAAAACTGAAAGCAGCAGAGAATTAGACTAAAAAGAAAGATACAATCAGAACAGCTTTCATTGGCAATTGTTTTTTGTAACTGTAGTTCAAATACTCTACATAATATAATACGAGGATGTAATTGACATTTTAAAGCCATCTATCCTTAACAGCTATTGTTAAAATGCCAAAGTGGACCGGGTAACTCACAATTCAGTTACATGTTAGTTTGAAAACTGTTGGTGGCTCACGGCTCCCAAGTATTGTGCAGTTACTATGAATGCCAATGTCATGTTAAAGCTCAAGACTTAAAAAAAACTTGAAATGTTTCTGGCATGCATTCTGCAATGTACGAAGCCGTATCCAAAAAAATAATAATACTTAGAAGAACACATATTCAGTGACTAGTGAAATACAAGGGGTGCCTGTATTTGTGCTTTCAATTTATCCCTTTTGCAAAGTTACCATAACTCTTCCTCCTCCCCTTAGTGACATTTATTTATTTATTTTTACATCATAGAGTTGGAACACACTTTGTAGACCATCCAGTCCAACCCACTGCCAAGAAGCAGGAAAATCACATTCAAAGCACCCCCGACAGATGGCTATCCAGTCTGTTTAAAAGCCTCCAGAGATGGACCCTCTGCCACACACTGGGGCAGAGAGTTCCACTGTTGAACGACTCTCACAGTTAGGAAGTTCTTCCTATGCAGGTGGAATCTCCTTTCCTGTAGCTTGAAGCCATTTTTTCGCATCCTAGTCTCCAAGGCTGCAGAAAGCAAGCTTGCTCCCTCCTCCCTATGACTTCCCCTCACATATTTATACATGGCCGTCAAGTCTCCTCTCTCAGCCTTCTCTTCTGCAGGCTAAACATGCCCAACTCTTTAAGCTGCTCCTCATAGGGCTTGTTCTCCAGACCCTTGATGATATTAGTTGCCCTCCTCTGGACACCTTCGAGCTTGTCGACATCTCCCTTAAATATATTAAATAAATATATTTCCATTAGGGCACCTTTAACCATATATGTTCCCAGTGCTACCTTATTTTAGAACTTTATTATATATTTCCCAAGAGCTATTCCTCAGTATTGGAAGAAGAGGAAAAACTCATGTTCGGGCTTTGGAAAACAGTGACAGACATTATTATTATTATTATTATTATTATTATTATTATTATTATTATTTATGGAAACCAGTGCAGCTGTTGACAAATTATGTACTTGGAGCTGCAGAGTCATAAATGTCCAGAATAAGAGACTATCCCTGTTATTATAGTTTTATTTCAGATATCCCAGTTTTCACATACTAAAGCCTACAGGCTTGAAATAGGCATTAAGTCTTGTTATTTGACATGTATCTCTAGAAGCAATTATTTTTGGCAGACTAGTACAAGAGGGAAAGAACACCTGCAAGAAGTGCCTGTGGTTATTACACCCATACCTTACTATTACTACAAAGAACTTTTTCGCTTCCCTGTATTTCATCAGCTTTTAAAGTACTGTACTAAAACATGTGGAAATGTTACAATTAATACAAACAAAAAGGTGTTAAAGGAAAGGAGAACACATATTCTAACTGCATCCATAGGAAGAGTATTTAATAAACACACCGTTCATAGTAGTGGAGGGAAGGATTCTAGTTTTGGTTAGCCACACAAACAGTTCCTCAAATCTTTGTAACCAGACACATAATACTCTGAAATTTGAAGTTCAGATTCTGATCAGAAATCCTGAGCCTGGACCATTCTAGTCTTATTACAGCTGTGTAATAAAAAAAACTATCCCAAATACTTCTTTTGCTTTAAGTTCTCCTGACTTCCACTCTCTTACCATTTGCCTTTTTGGAGTGATCTGCAGGATCATGTTACCAAAAAAAGAAAGACATAAACATACCAAGAAATATTGCCATAAAATAATTATTATCACCAAGAGATGTACTTTTATATACAGGCAGTCCCAAAGTTACAAACATCTGACTTACAAATGACTCATAGTTAAGAATGGGGATGAGACAGCAGGGAGTCAAAATCTACTCCAAGAAAGGAAATTCACTCCTTGAAAGAGTTATTATCATGTGGAAAGGGGGTCTCCATTGAAGCTTTATCACTAACCTTTGTTTCCACAAGCCAAATTTTTCAAAATCCAACTATCACAGGGGCAGAAAGTAAGGTGAACTCTTCTGAACGGGGGCAGGCAGCAAAGCAAATACCCTTCCTTATGTTATCCAAATATGTTTGTGATTGTGTGTCTGGAATTACACTTTAAAATGTACCTGTTTCAACTTGCAGACAAATTTAACTTAAGAATAAACTTACTTGTTCGTAACTTGGGGACTGCCTATCAGTATAAATAAAATATATTTCATTTACATTTAGTTAAACGGGATTTTGGTATACATTCTGATTGCATTATGTACAGGTAACGAACGGAAAATCTGTCTTATTCTTCGCTACAGTAGTTTAGCAGACCTTTAAGATCAACTTATGTCATGTTCCACACATACACCTCTGGGAAGTAAAAAAGAAAGCCAACTCTTTATATACAATCTGAATCTACATTCCCTATATTTATAAGAAACTAGCTGTCCCCCTGCCATGCATTGGTGTGGCCCAGTCTGGTGAGCTGGAAAATAAAGTAATGAGAAAGTTTTGGTTTCTAATGTATGTAATTTCTTTATGCTTGTGGGTAAACAGTAATTCTTGCTGTTTCTTTGTCAGTGTTGATGTGGAGATTGTCTGGTTTGCCTACCTGGAACACACAACACATAAGTGTCCTTTAGGGGTCCCTTTCAAATCTATGATACTACAGCTGTGTGTGAATCAAATCTATCTATATCTATGACTGGATGGCTCTTTGTCAGGAGGGCTTTGATTACATTTTCTTGCCCTGGTAAAGGGAGTTGGACTGGATGGCCTTAAGTATTTTCTGATGGTCATGGGAGTTCTGTGTGGGAAGTTTGCCCCAATTCTGTCATTGGCGGGTTTCGGAATGCTCTGATTGTGGGTGAACTATAAATCCCAGTAACTACAACTCCCAAATGTCAAGGTCTATTTCCCCCAAACACCATCTGTGCTCATATTTGGCCATATTGAATATTTGTGCCAAATTTGGTCCAGATCCATCTTTGTTTCAGTCCACAGTGCTCTATAGATGTAGGTGAACTACAACTCCCAAACTCAAGGTCAATGCCCACCAAGCCCTTCTAGTGTTTTCTGTTGGTCATGGGATTCCTGTGTGCCAACTTTGGTTCAATTCCATCATTGGTGGAGTTCAGAATGCTTTTTGATTGTAGGTGAACTATAAATCCCAGCAACTACAACTCCCAAATGACAAAATCATAATTTTGAGTGATGGTCACTCCTTGTATTGTGAGACATTTTGTTGCCAAATCTGGTGTGATTTTGTTCATTGGTTCTTTTGTTTTTAAGGTACCCATTACGCACAGAGCATTTTTATATATATAGAGGATAGAGTTGAAGGAAGAGTCAGTATCCTACTAGGTAGCTTTACACAGAAGGATCCCATTTGTCTTCAGTGTAGAAACACTAACTCAGGTTAAGTGCAGTAGTGCAGTAGCCATATCAAGGTAATATTCACATGTCAAAAGCTAAATTGCATTAGGGGAAGATGAGGATTTAAAGAAAAACTAACAGCTTATCTTTTCTTCTTGTTGCTTGCAAAGGAAAACTGAAAATATTAACAAACGAATCCATTCTATCCATGACAGAATAAAAATGCCCATTAATTGACTATATTTTTCTAACTTTTAGTTTGATGTTTGTTTTTCCTGTTCAGAGAATAAAGGAGTGAACACTATAAATGTATTGAATGAATTTGCTGGGATTTTGTCACAATCTATGTGTGCTTTATACTTTTTTGTAAGACTTGATGATTGTATGTAAAAAGTCAATTTCACCAATTTTTGCCTTAATAGTTTACAATAAACTATTTCTAAACATTTAATGAGTATAAGAAGTGTCTCTCTTGTAACACAAGGGAAAATTATATGGAGCTTTTTATTTAAAAAATGCTACTCTAATTTCTCTCTTTAGCTTAATAAATAACAGACTGAATCCAGAAAAGAGGCTGTAAGTACTAATAACCTTTGCACACATTTAAAAAAAACCCTTCCAAAACATAGCCAACAAAGCGTTTCTGTTGTAGCTTGCCTCTTAGTGTGAGACCTTCGTTGAAGAATACAGCTGTGTAACTGCAAATATCACAACAAAATATTTCCCTTTATTTCATTGCAAGGAGCTACATGTACTTTATATGTTTTTACCTGGTTTTTATTCTATGTATTTTGTTTGCTTACCATTTTAACTGTTTTGTAGTTTGGATATGTTTTTAACAGTTGCTCTACAACAAGGTCAAAGTAACAACAACAGTTTTACTGCAGGAAGTCTTTCTCCAGTGTACAATACAACCTTTGTATCTGTGGGGATACATTCCCACAAAACCATGGGTAATAGTGAACCTACTGGAATGAAGGAGTTCTGACACTTTTGGACTCTATTTTGCAGCAGCTCCTACTCAAAATCTTGCTGGTGATGCTGCATCCAGAGTCATGCTAGTTGTGCTCAGAAACCTTCGCCATCTCTGACTTTTCAGCATTGCCAATATTTTAATTGCATAATTGTGACTTTACTTGTTCAAACAAACAAAAAAGGAACATGGACCATGTACCCTGTTCTGTAGTTTCTTGACACATCTGTAAAATAGAATGAGCCCAAGAGCATGCTTGAGTATACTAGCGTTCAGAATGTATGTTTCCCTTAATGCAGGTCTTCCTTATCTATCAGCTGGCAAGAAGTATCCAATATTTGGCACTCCATGTCAGCCCAGGGTTTGGCCAAAGCTCAGATTTTTTGCAGCTGTGGAACACTTTTTGAAACAAAGGTTTCTTGTGGCGCTCCAATAAATGTTTATATTGTATATAATATAATATTGTATATAATATAATATACAATATAATATTGTATATTATATACCATATTCTGCATAACGTATATATATCTGGCATGGGCAAACCTTTTGACCAACATAAACTTAACAGTATTTCAGTGGAAGACCCCATGGGCCATCCAGTCCACCCCCTTCTGCCATGCAGGAAAAACAGTCCAAGCACCCCCAAGAGGTGGCCACCCAGCCTTTGTAACAACAACAACAACAACAATATAGCAGCAACCTCAGGGGCCATCCAGTCCAACTTCCTTCTGCCATGCAGGAAAAGCACAATCAAACCACCCCCAAGAGGTGGCTACTCAGCCTAGTGGAAGCAGCAACCTCAAGGGACATCCAGTCCAACTTCCTTCTGCCATGCTGGAAAAGCACAATCAAACCACCCCCAACAGGTGGCCACTCAGCCTTTGTTGCAATAATAATAATAATAATAATAATAATAATAATAATAATAATAATAATAGCAGCAGCAACCTCAAGGGACATCCAGTCCAACTTCCTTCTGCCATGCAGGAAAAGCACAATCAAACCACCCCCAACAGGTGGCCACTCAGCCTTTGTTGCAGCAATAATAATAATAATAATAATAATAATAGGAGCAACCTCAGGGGCCATCCAGTCCAACTCCCTTCTGCCATGTAGGAAAAGCACAATCAAACCACCTCGAGTGGTGGGAGGGAAATAGGGTTTTTGAAGCAAGGAAGGCTAGGGGAAAGGATCTGGGCAGCAAGGAAAAAGGGCTCTTGGGGGCAAAGGAGGGGGGAGCAGGAAAGAGGAGGAAAAGCTTGGAAGGGAGAAGGGAGGAACCACAGGACCCCTCGGTATGCTTGATGAAACGCTTTGAGAACTACTGGGCCAGGGTAAAGAACAAGATGGCAACTCCCCACCTTCACTTTCTCTCATACCATTCACACATAAAAACAAATCTGACTGGTAACTGACTAACTCTGACACTGGTGAAAGGGTCTCCTGCTGTACTGGAGGGCAACCAAACAGTCTAGCAACTGAGTGGGATGGCTGTCCATCATCCTCCCCTGAAACAACCTGGGATAATGAGTTAGGGTCTTAAATTTGTTCTTAATAACCTTCCAGCAAAGAGCACAGCACAGTATGTATGTATGTTCATTAATTTATTTTCATACTCTTATTCTTTCAGTGCTTCCATATAATAATAATAATAATAATAATAATAATTATTATTATTATTATTATTATTATTATTTCTTGTCCGCCTCTCCTCACAGCTTGTAACGCAGGTTAAAACATTGCTAAAACACACATTACTCTAAAAACATTCTTTTAAATACACATATTAAAATGGATTCCACAAAATACATATTAAAATACACCAAACAAAGATTCAACATAAGATGAAAGCTTAAAATTCGTCATTAAAACTGTCTAGCAATTATCTTCCAGGAAGAATTCCAATGGTCCCCCCTTGTTTATTTAGAGCAGCCCAGAAAATGTAAGAAGTAACCCAGCTATGTGTGTTCAATGGGCAGTGCATCTCAGGAAAATCTGGTGCTTGTAGAACAACTGTGCATATTAGCCCATGATAAAAATGCAAAAAAATAAATAAATAATGAGTCAGCCTAAACAATGAAAACAGGTTTGTCTTATGTGCTCTGAAATACATTTCCTTATGCATAGCACCCTTGTGGAGGTTTGATGATTAGAAACAAAACCTCCCAGGATTGAATGGAGATTTTTATTAGACAGAGAAATACAATTAAACTGAACTTCCCAAGTGGCAAATTTTTCAAAATTATAAAAGGGATTCATGACTCACAGTTCTTTAAAAAAAACAATCACACACTTCTGAAACATGTATCAGAAACAACCTATACTTTTATTGACTCCCCGGAATCTCCTTTTTTTGACGATAGGGAATGAGTTTTCTTTTTCAAATCTTGCTTTATTTCTGAAGGAAACTCCTGTATGTGTAAGTTAACACAGGGAAGGCAAAATCTCTTGGAATAGAAAAGGCTACAGTCCTGAAAAAAGAGAAATGAAAAAACAAATTAATACCAAGTTGAGTTCAGATTTTGTCAGACTAAGGACAATGGAGTGAAATCAGCAAAACTTCATTGTTCATTACTAATTCCCCTTCATTTCAACAGAACTATTCTAGAATATGATTCACCCATTGTCACTCTTCAATAATGGTTTTATTTTTATGATTTAAATCCAACCTGCCTTCAATGACTAGAGTCTTGTTATTTAGACCAACTAGAACAGACCCATTGAATCATTGTTGAACAATTGTTGAATCACCGTATGAGTAAATCAATTCTACTGTACTCAAAAAGAAAAATGGGGTTGAGGTCAATATGCATTAGTCATAAGGAAATTGAACTTGACATGCAATTGAAAGCAATGGAATATCTAATGATTTATTTTGCCAGATTATAACCAATACATAATTGTCCAAGCTCAAGTATCCACAGATATTACACCAACATCTCCTGGACCATTTAAAATAGTCAAGTATCCTCTATAATCTCATGGCAAGAAAGAATTGAGGTTGAGAGAAGAGACAGAAGCTTGGGGATTTCCCTTTTGAACCGAAAAAAACCATGTCATAAACTATATTTTCCTCCTCTCTTGCCACCAATGGAATAAATTGTGTACAGGGAGTCTGGCTTTATCATTCCTGCATGTTACAAATTATTGACGTTTACAGGCAACTATCAACATATACTGATATTAACATTCTTTCTGCCTCCCAAGTTTGGAAAAGAGAGAGTTTGTTGGCCTGTTTTGCTTCCATCACTTTAGTAGTTAAGTTAAACAGAAGAGTAGAAAATCCAACTACAGTGGACGTCTTGGATTGTTTGAATGTCAGGCTCTTCTTCAGCTTACATGTATTGTTCAAAGAGTTCCTGAAGTCTGACAAGGTTCATTCCCTCCAACATTTCACAGATGAAAAGATGTCATATGGGGCTTTCCTTTAGAACAAAGTTAAAAACGTGGATGTGGGACTAGGCCTTCAGGTAATCTTGCTGACAATGACAACAACAATGATGACAATCGCTATGGAAATGGACTATGGACATGATTGATGGAGTCTCTAACTGCAGAATTTGGCTCAGATGAGGCCACCAGGCTGTTATTGAAACAGAAACAGATTTTAATTAATTAATGTGATTTAATGTTTTAAATGTAATTATTGGATTTTATTATGTATTTTATTATGTGTACATTGGAGGCATCAAATTGTTGCCGAATGGAAGCCGCCCTGAGCCCCCCCCCCCCCCCTTAAGGGTTGAGAAGGGCAGGGTACCAATATCTGAAATAAATAAATAAATAAACACTATCAGAATACGAACAAGATGGCAAAAGCTGTCAGTAGGAATGGGCACACAAGCCAGGAGAAGCATGAGCAGTTCACTTTTACCTGAGCCTGCTGGGAAAAGCAAGATCCCATTCCTCCCCTTCCTCCTTTGCAAGGAAGACCATGAATCTGAAACATTTTGGAAGTAGTTGTACACAGGGATGACACAGAATGAATGAAAGGCATCTCTGCCAAATTCAGGACCATTGGAGATTTACCCATACAATAACTTTCCCAAGCTCTGATCAAGAGCCCATTTAACAAGGCAGAAGAATTAGACACACTGTCCTTACAGTTATGGAACACACTGCCAAGAGACAGAAGGAAAGATGCTAGGGTTTTTGTGTTTTTGAAAAAGAGTGTTGTAAACATGTAGGGTAAAGGTCTATGATAGTTGAATGCAACCTTGACATCCTAACACTGGCTACCTTTGAGTAACGTGAACCTGTAGGCAAACACCACAACACAGTGGCCACCTTCCTTTCGTGCTTAGGTTACCCAGCGGTGGACACTCAGCCATAGTTTAGAAGCAGCAGTGAAACAGCTCTTCCACGGGTTTTTTTGGGAATCCTTTTCTGCCCTCACCCACCACATACACTGACAATTTATGCAAGGCCTTGATAATCCATCTTAGACTTGCTCCATTGCCAGAGGCTAATAAAGAGAACAGACTTTATTCCTGGCACAAGTCAAAACTGGTTGTCATCTCATTTCCACAGAACAAACCGAGCAGCTTTAACTCAGCATCATTTCACAAAATGGGTGGGGCAAATGTGTTATGAATCAGGTTTCTGACAACACCCCTGCATGGCATACTCAGTGTGTGGGAGGGATGAGGAAAGAGCCTCAGTTGCACAACTTGGGAAAAGTACTCCTTTTCCACAGCCCTTTGAGCAGGGGCCATTTGTAATGACATAATGGTTGGCAGTTTTAGTTGTTTCAAATAACATCTAAAGAAATCTACAACACCCATACAACCACAAGATTTGCACAAGACAAGCAGAATAGCCCAGGAACACTTTGAAACCATACTCTTGAGATTTACCTTAATATTGTGCAATGTTTTGTGCAAATGGAATTCATTTGGGGAATTCTGCACTTGGCCTATTCATGCAGAAACCTCTGTGCATGACAAAAAGCAGCAGCTAGAACATGTTTGCACCAGCTGCTGCTTTGCTGAGCAAGTCATGAAAACTGAACAAGATCAAATTTTAGGAATTTATGTATTTATTTATTTACGACATTTATATGCCGCTCTTCTCACCGAAGGGGACATTGCTATATTGCACCATACCACTATATTGTAATATTATTAGTAATATTACATGTAATATTAATATATAATTATAATATTATAAATATTATATGTATATACAATATATTATATTATTATCATAGCACAGAGGTTGATTATATACGTATAATGGAATCATTTTGGTGATAGTAATCCCTATTGCTAGAGAAAATCTGAGGACCAATAGGAAAGGGGAGTGACATTACAGATTAGCAGTAAATCCTCTGCAAACTGTAGCCACAGTTACTGAAGTGGTGAAAGACCAATATGCATTTGCAGTGTAGATGTGCATTTAAATTAACTGGTACATGAACAAGAATGAAAGGGAAACTTCTATTTTGTGTACAAGCCAATTTTGCTATAAGAATTTGAATCAGCACATGCTTCAAAAATTATCACCATGTTCTATGCAGAGACTATCTCCTGGATATATCTAGTATTCTGAGCTATATTATTAAGAGTTCTCAAGAAGTGTACATGCTGTTCCAGAGAAGCCCATATGAACAGTCAAACTGGAAACATTGCTTCCAGCACAGCTTCCTAAACTGTGGGGGTCTTAGCCCAAAATGGGGTCCCCTTAAGTCAGGCTTGAGCAAACTTCGGCCCTCCAGGTGTTTTGGACTTCAACTCCCACAATTCCAAACAGCTGATAGGCTGTTAGGAATTGTGGGATTTGAAGTTCAAAATACTTGGAGGGCTGAAGTTTGCCCATGCCTGCTTTAAGCCAAAGTTGGAACTCCCTAAAATTGGGCAAAAAGTTTTCTGAATGTCTCTTAGTGGCTGTTTTAGACATTTACACTAATCTCTCGTGTAGTGTTTACAGATGACTCTGCAGAAGATGTTTCAGCTGTACTTCATAAAAAAAAGAAAATCAGCCTCTTCAGCAAGCCTTGATTGGTAATCAAAATGTTTTATTTGTATGCCTATTTTATACAACCGGGGTCACTTAAAAATTTCAAAGGGATCCCAAACAAGTAAGTTTAAGAAGTCATCTTCCACTATGTCTATCAGATGAAACTTGGGGCTGTTTGATTATTGAGCTGTACTGCAGAGTACTGAAAGATTCAGGCCTTAGATCCCAATCGACCCTATAATTTATTATGATTTTGGACTGCTTGTGAACTGCAAAGAGGGTGAGAATATAAGTCTTGAAAGCAGTCTGTGCTCTTATCAGAAGAATGGCCACTGGAGATTAATCTGACAGGTTTCAAGTGTTGAAACTCAACCACATCCTCATCAAGGACTTAGTCAGATATATCAGCTGGAAGGAAAGGCCTCCCACCATTGGCCTCTTTGCCTGTGTGTCACTCTATTCTCTTCTCCTAATGGTCTGCTACACTGATACTTTTCAGGGGCATGCCTCTTTTTCTGAGCACCATTGTGTCCTTCATTTTGTTCTCCTCCCATGAGCATGGACAGACAAGACGGCTCCAGTTCAGTAGTTAGGAAAATAAAGTAGGGCCTAACTATCTAGAAATATAGTTATTTGAATGATATCTTTAATAACTTTTAAAGTTTGATTCTGCTCCTGAATAGCTAGCGCTCAAGAGCTCTACTTCTGGAACAAGAAGCTTCTTGTTGCTACTGTTGCACCTTTACTTAAGATTTTTTTCCCTTTTTGAAATTACCCCAACAGCAAGTGGTTGGCCATATTTTTAAAATACGTTACAGAATGCGGAGAAGGAAAGGCAGAGGTAATACAAGGATGGATAAAAAGGAGCTCTCTCACCTACACTGATGTTCTATCACTAAGTCATGCCTATGACACTGCCAACAGATATAAATGCATCACATGATACTCACTGTGCCAACGCACACACACTTGTGACACAAACTACACTGAGATCCAAGAATGAGGAATTTGTCCTTGTCAGAGGTGAATGGATCTGTCATGACATAGCATTCTTCCAGGAGGCTGAAAGAAACAGGAGAACAGTTCCATGCGTTAAAGACGTAGCACCAGCAAGATGCAGCTCCCTTTGCTAAGCAGTTCTTTCCTATACCTAATCTGAAGGCTCAAGTCAGCAACCAATATTTAACAGGGATTTACCATGCTATAAGGAGCAAATGCCAGAAGGGCTACAGTGAGAGTTGTGAAAGGTGTTCGTTGCTCGGAGAGAAATGAGACCAACCTCCTCCACCCCATGGGCTCTTTTGCAAATCCCCCTCTCCAGATCAAAGTAAAGCTCTCGAACTCTCCCTCCCAACCCAGGGTGACCTAAATAAATGCAAATCAAGAAGGCCTGGGCAAATGGGAGTGGTCCAGCTACCAAACTGGAACACAATCTGCCAGATCTCCTTTGCTGCTTGCAGAGAGCACTGTGAATCCAACAACGGATCTCTACCAAACTTGGCACACAGACCCAACATTACCAACTTTAAATTCTGGAGGGGTTTGGGAGAACTGACCCATCCATATGCATTTTCTAATGAGCACATTCATAAAAGACAAAAGCAAGAAAAGGATGAACCCAGGCATCGCCGGGTGCCTAAGCTAGTAACAAACTAAAAGCAAGAAACCTGTTAAAACAGCATCCAAATAAACAGATTAACAAGGTTTTTAACAGAGAGAATGGAAAGCCTAATCTGTCTGGATGAAGTTGTGGCAACCTACATATATGATGCCTGCGTCCCACCTCGTAATCTAAGATCATCCGGGGAGGCCCTGCTCTCGCTCCCGTCAACAGCACATATGTGCCTGGCGGGGATGAGAGACAGGGCCTTTGCAGCTGTGCCCCCCCCCCCCCGTCTATGGAACACACTCCCAAATGAGGTACGATCCACTTCCTCCTTCCTGGCTTTTAGGAAAAAAAATTAAAATCATGGTTTTGGGACCAGGCGTTCGGACAGTAGAAGTAAATGTATGCAGCATTTCAGAAAGACAATGACTTGAAAGGCAATTCGACAGACGAGACTGTTTTATTGTTTTAATGATTGTTTTATTGCTCATGGATGTATATTTTTAATTTAATTTATGTCTAATTGTAGTGTATAATTGTAATTGTTTGTACTGGCATTGAATTTTTGCCATTACTTATGTGTGAACTGCTTTGAGTCCCCCTCGGGGTGAGAAAAGCAGTATACAAATACTGTAAATAAATAAATAAATAAATCTGCCTCTGTCCGGATATGATCTCGCTTCCTTTCACTTGCCCTCACTTCTGTGAAGTTTCCTTTCTTTACTCACCCTCCACAGGGGCAGGGCATTATACTGTGCCTCCAATCCCATATGACCAGATAAGCCAAGGAGTTCTCATGCTACGATACAGTAGAACTACCTGCTGTCAGAGGAGGCATATCCAGAAGGGTGCACTTCACATACAAAACACAAAACTAGGCTAAAGTGTCTGCACATGTGTAGTTTTTACCTTGGGATATGAAAGCTGCACTCATCTACCTATTAATACCTTCAGTGAAGCAACTTGAATCATGATTTAAATTGTATCAGGAAATAATAGCCTAAATGCACACACCATTTCACCAGAATTTATCATCTTGCATGGCTGCTTTGCCCCCAAAGCTGCTATTTGGGTGACTTCTCCAAAATTAACCTGAGGTTACCAAAGTACAATTCTCACTTTCCCAAAAAGGCCCAGAGTAATTTGCTGCCTGCCACTCAACCTTGCTTTGGCTGACACCAGATGCTGAATGATCCCAGTGACTGAAATAGATTCTCTCACCATGAAATCAGGGACTCTCGGGCACAGCTGAGAAACAGTTAAGGGTCACTGAGAGGAAAGAGCAAGGCTACATTCAGCTGCCAACAGATTGTGAATTTTCCCTATAAGTATTTAAACAGCAGGCTTTCAAGAAAAGGGCCTCCAAGAGCAGTTAGCAGTAAATCATACCTCATTTGAACGTTGTTTCTATACCTATATGGTTAGAACTACATTACACTACACTTCAGGCAGTCCCTGAATTACAAACAACCAACTTACAAATGATTCATAGTTACGAATGGGGGTGACACAACAGGAAGTGAGAGAAATTTGCCCCTAGGGGGGGAAATTAATTCCTGGAAGTGTTATCATGGGGAATAGGTGTCTCCACTGAAGCTTTCTCACAAATCCTTGTTTCTATAACAAGCCAAACTTTTCGAAGTCCAATTCTCACAGGGACAGAAAGTGGGGGGAAATCTTCTGAACAAGGGGACAGAGAGCAAAACAAACCCACAGGGGTGTTGACCTTCCCTATGCCAGACAAAGCTAAAATATATAGTGGGTTGTTGGTGTTACACTTACATACAAATTATTGTACATTTACATAGAAACTCAACTTCAGAATAAACCTACAAAACCTATCTTGTTCATAACTTGGGGACTGCCTGTACACCATTCAGAACTAACCTACTGTTCTCCATATCCCAGAAAACCTAGGAACTATAGTACAGGTTGAATATCCTGACATTCCAAAATCCAAATTATCAGACTTGGGGGCGAAGACCGTGACCCCTTTATTTTCTGATGCCAACTTTGTTTCACAAAAAAAATTTTTAAAAATACCTTGAGATTGTGTGTCTAAAATGCATATGAAACATAAAGTAAATGAACTTCCTGTTTAGACTTGGGCCCCATCAACAAGATCATGGAACCAAAGAGCTGCAAGAGACCCCAAGGGCCATCCAGTCCAACCACCATCCATGTAGGAAAACACAATAAAAGCACTCCAAACAATGACCATCCAGCCTGTTTATCCCATTATGTATATGCAAGTAATCTAAAATCTGGGAGGAAAATAAAAAATACAGAATACTCCTGTTCCCAAGAATTTTAGATAATGGATATCGATGTTGTATTATGTTCTACAATTATAACTTTGGGCCCATCCAGACAGGGCCCATAATGTGGGAGCTCCCATGTCCAAACAGCGTCTCCAGTAAAACTGAATTAATTTGAGACAAAGCAGGAAAACCCTGCTTTGTCACGCATTAATTTGATACTCCATTAGACCTAGGTCTTCCTGAAAGACTTGGGTCTAATGGAGTATGGGCCCTGTGTGGATTGGGCCCGGGGATCTAAAGAGAGTCCCTTCTTTGAGTCCTACCACCTTCACAAGTACAAAATTGGTAGGAATACAACATAACAACCTGTCCAGCTTTCAAACCTATGCATAGAAATTGGAAACTTATTGGCACAAATAATCCTTACTAAATTAACTTTATCATAATCATCATCAGTTTTGGAACCCTTCCAAACAGTCCCTAGAATTCTTTGGGAAATCAACCATGGGAACAGAATTGTTTAATGCTTCACAAAGACCTGAATCCAACAGGTAAAGTGGACCATTGATTTAATGAGAACTTAGTCAACAATTATCTACTTCTCATTGACTGAAGAAGTCCTGTATATTTGACATTAAACACTGGGTTTAGGCCAGGCTTCCCAATCTAAGAAGCCACAATTAGATTTTTTTTTAAAAAAATATGCATTTTCAAGAGATCTAAATATTTTTCCTTGTATATACATTATATTATATTCTATATTGCATATTATATTAATCTAATTCCTTTTATATTTTTGAGTGTATACCTCAAAATACAGGGTATGACATTCTAGTTTTACAGTGCTACAAAAGGATCCTTGTAGTTTTCAAAACTAAGGCTTCACAAGTATTTGGGCCTTACTTATAGGCCTGCCATTGGAGAAAGAGCCAAGAAAGTTTAGCTTTCCTTCTCTGGTGCAAGGCACACTCTTCAGAAGAAACAGGAGGTACAGTAGTACTGTATATTCTGGCATATAAGACGACTGGGCGTATAAGACGACCCCCAACTTTTCCAGTTAAAATATAGAGTTTGGGATATACTTGCTGTATAAAACTACCCCTCTTCCAACACACACCAAATAAAATTTTTAAAAGCATCAGATTTTATTTCAATATGGTAATTTTCCTATTACTGTACCTCCTTCTCTGCCTCTCAGATCTCACACATGCGCACCTGCACCGCTTCACTGCAGTCTTCAGGAGCGAGATCTGAGAGGCAGAGGAGATACGGTAATAGGATTCAAGGGCGGACCAGACAGGTAAAAGAGTTGTGTTTTTCTGGGCCCAGAGTCACTCTATCTCTTTTTTCCATACCCCTGACGCCTGCAGCTTGCTCCGCCCTTCACTTACACCTTCCTGGTGAGGCGCCCCTTCACCTCACCATCAAGACTGCATTAAGTCCATGAATCCTGATGAATGGATTTTCTTCTACCATACTTATACAGCGTCACCCTTAATGCTTTCATACAGTCGCTGCATATGGCAGGGACACAGCCACTGCCATTTTTGAGCTCCCCCCACAATATGCGGCGACCACAGATTCTCCAATCCGGCCTGGAAGTTTCAGCACCCACTGTATAAGACGACTCCCGCATATAAGACGACTCCCATGCATAAGGCTACTCCAGCGTATAAGACGACTCCCGTGTATAAGACGACCCCTGACTTTTGAGAAGATTTTCTTGGGTTAAAAAGTAGTCTTATACGCCAGAATATATGGTACTAATTTTCCCCGTTTTATATAGTTGGGTGCCAGGAGCTGCAGACATGAGACAAACAGAACTGACCCATGTGATTCCCACCTTTGCATTACAACTAAACTGAATGCTAAAAGGGATCATTCTATTCCTTCATGCGGAGAAACTCTTTTTACAGTAAAATACCATACAGACAGTAGGTATACTCACACAAATGATTAGGTACTTACGCAGCTGAGTAGGAATTTGGAGGTTTCTGTCCAAAGTAGCTGTATGGGGCAGTTAATCCACACAGTTCACATTCAAAAGTGCCTTGACGCTGAGTCTTTCTCTTGGACTCCATCTGGTTACAAAATCAAACGGATTTCCAACATAGTGTGAATATGGGAGTAGAGACACTCAGCTATTCCAGTACTGGTCCACATGTACTACCCTGAAACAAAATGTTAAATCCACATGGAGATAATCACATGGATATGGCGAGGAAGGGGGAACAATTCTGGTTCTGCTCAAAATGACGGATGATTTCGTAAGACATCAAAGTAACTATTAGAGGGCCATGTGCAGCACACAGCAGAACAAGACCAGTAGTAATTTCTACTGCTTCTCACGTTCTCATGCAGGTCTGCATAGTGCTTATTTATGTGTTATTTCTTATTCTCCCCGGCAGCTCTTTATCAGTTAATTGGTCTGCATATTAAGGCAACTGTAAATCACAAACAAGCCTAAACTAAAGCTTGAGTTTATGTCAGAGACACACCTTTTTAATCTTACCAAGGTAAATGCATACCAGTATTTGCAAGATTTGTACCCCTGCAGGGTATTCTCCTATTATTATTTAAGTATTACGAATAGCCACTTAGAAGATATATGTGGAGTTTGTTTCCAAAAGGCACCAAATCAAAATAAACTGAAAAATGAATTATAGGTGGCCGTACATTGTTGGCTAGAAGTATCATGTACAGATCAAAATTATTGAAATGTATCAAATCACTTAATACGGATATTGTACTATACTAATAATATAATATATTGTATGTATATATATCTTGTAAGCCGCTCTGAGTCCCCTTCAGGGTGAGAAGGGTAGCATAGAAATGTTGTAAATAAATAAATAATAAATGCAGGGCTTGGAAAATTGTATGTTAAAGCAAAAGGCATATTTTCAGCATTTTCCCCCCTATTCCTGTAAGATTTGTTTAGATCAGTGGTTCCCAGCCTTTTTTTTTTTTTTTACTAGGGACCACTTGACAATAGTGTGATGAAGTGACTCAGAAAGTATACTGTAAACTGTAATGTCTCCAACGTTAATACCAAAAGAGTTATGAATCAGTTTTTGGTCAACTTTAGATTCAGTTTGGGATGCACAGCAGGGAAGGAGTGACAGGCAGCACAAAAGGAGCAAGAATAAAATAAAATAAAATAAAATAAAATAAAAAAAGAGGAAGGAAGCTTGCGGACCAGATTTTTGTCCTCGCAGTCCATGGTGATCCACAGCCCACAGGTTAAGAACCACTCTTTTTGATGGATTTGATACCTTTTGGGAACAAACTATCTATTCAGTAATGCTTTCTGGATCAGGCTGCCCACTTCTCCCTAATCCCCACAAAAGCTTAAATGATAGATCTGTTTATTGATTAGTCCACTGATCATATCAACAATAAAAGACAAAAACAAAAATATACAGACAAATAGACACTAATCAATAAGCTAAAAATCCTGTAATAGTTAACTAAAATAAATTAAAACACGGTAAAACTTGATTAGATAATATATTTAGTAAAATGAGATTAAATTACAAGATGAAAGTGGGGGGAAAGAGTAACGAGTGTAAAAGAGATAAGCTTAAATGAGTCAATCTGCCCAGGATATGTAAAACATGGGTTTGCATAATCGACAAATCATGGTTTAGAATTCACTGCCTGTAGGGTATAGGGACGATTTTTTTCTCCCTGAGGTTATAGCCAAGATAAATCGAATCAGAAACTGGATTTAAAAAAAATCTCAAAAAGGTATATTTTCAAATCTACAGCCGATTTATGGATCAACCAATTTAAACAAAAATGTACTTTGCAGGCAAGTCAGAAAGTTTAAAATTTAAATTAGACAAAATGATGGAATGAAATAATATTTTCTACAAAGAATAAAGCACACAAGAGGACACTAATCAGATAAATACAATCCACATCTGATTCAGAAACAGCACAGGAATACATGCCACAACAGAGCATCCTGTGGCTGTTTACCAATATGTCCATATGCACCTTGAAAAGTGACTTGCTGGCTCAGACTAATCCATCACTGACAACCAGCAGTCACCAAAAAAACAGTGTTCAACAATAAAGCTATCTCTTATTATTAACCTCAGAAATATAGGATGTGATACTTTGAACACTGCTGCCTTCTAGAGGACAAAATCAAAAGTGCTTCACCCTCTTTCCAAACTCTTCCCTTTCCTAAGATCAGGAAAAATAGGGAATAAATCAATAGATTGAAAACAGAGAGAGGGAAGATGGCAACTAGCATTCCAATGGTGATTCAAATACTAACAATGAATTTATCAATCAAGAAATATTGATCCCATTATCCATTTCCTTAAGTCCGGATAAAAAAGCTGGCACAGTTCAAATAAGCACTGAAGGGAAAGCCTACTTATGCCACCTCTTCCATTACAGTGCTTGTCCCTATTTTAGGACGCCTACCTAGAACAGTACCTAGCTTCAACCATATCATCACTATAAGATTAGGGGAAGATGGTGGTTGGAAGAAGGAATCTAGTGGTAACTTGGTGTTTGCTTCATGAATATTGAACCATTTATTCAAATTAACCGATTAATAATAATAATAATAATAATAATAATAATAATAATAATCTTAATAATAATAATACCCCGCCACCATTTCCCAATGGGGACTCGGAGCGGCTTACATGAGGTCAAGCCCAACAGCATATTACAATAAAGTAAAACCAAAACACAATAACAACACATACAACATATGAGTGCAAAGACGATAAAGCAAAATCATACACAGTAAAATAAAATAACATAACAATGAGCAGGCCGCAAGTGCAAGATAAAAGCTAAAATACTAAAAATACTAAAATCAGGATGAGATAGGGAAGGAGCAGATTGTTTGTGGGGGAGCAACTCGTAAAGGAACGGAGTCATAAATATAGACCTTCATACAGGTGGGGAATATACTCTGGGCACAGAAACTGTTGAGGGGGAGCAACTGTTTATAATATGGCTACTCTCCAAAAGCGCATCCACCAGTGTATCTAAAGACTGGAATGATATTTGTGTGCTTTTTGTTTTAGTTTGGGTTGTTGTTTTGCTATGTTCAGAGCAAGATGGACCATAGGGCCAATAGCAAGACCACTGCACAGTGAAAATGATGAAATGTGACAAGTGACAAAGAGAAAGCCAAACTGTTTAATACCTTCTTTGCCTTGGTCTCCTTCCAAAAGGAAAACAGGACAATTCATGCAGTAAGGCACCTTCTACACTGCCATTTAAAATCCACATTATCTGCTTTGAACTGGATTATATGAGAATGTAGACTCAGATAATCCAATTCAAAGCAGTTAATGTGGATTATCTGCCTTGATGTTATGGATTATATGGCAGTGTAGAAGGGCCCTAAATTCCCTTCTACACTGCCAGATAATCCAGGTTATCAAAGCAGAAAATCCACATTATCTGCTTTGAACTGGATTATCTGAGTCTACATTGCCATCTAATCCAGCTCAAAGCAAATAATCTGGATTTTATATGGCAGTATAGAAGGGGCTACAGAATCCTAGGGCTGGAAAAGACCACAAGAGCCATGTAGTCCAGGGGTCCTCAAACTAAGGGCCGGGATACAGCCTTGGATGACCTTGGATATAGCCCTCCAAGGTCATTTATCTGGCCCTTGCTCAGGGTCAACCTAAGTCTGAAACTACTTGAAAGCACACAACAACAACAATCCTGCCTCATCAGCCAAAAGCATGCCCACACTTCCCATTTAAATACTAATGTTTATATTTCTTAAAATTGTTGTTAATTTAAATTATTGTATTGTTTTTAAGTGTTTTTTGCACTACGAATAAGATATGTGCAGTGTGCATAGGAATTTATTCATCTTTTTCTTTTTAGCTCCCCCCCTCCCCCGGTGGCACAGTGGGTTAAACCCCTGTACTGGCAGGGCTGAAGACCGACAGGTCACAGGTTTGAATCCGGGGAGAGGCGGATGAGCTCCCTCTATCAGCTCCAGCTCCTCATACGGGGACATGAGAGAAGCCTCCCACAAGGATGATAAAAACATCAAAACATCCAGACGCCCCCTGGGCAACGTCCTTGCAGACAGCCAATTCTCTCACACCAGAAGCGACTTGCAGTTTCTCAAGTCGCTCCTGACACAACAAAAAAAGAGGAAAAATCAGCCAAAAGCATGCCCACACTTCCGATTGAAATACTAATGTTTATATTTGTTAAAATTGTTCTTAATTGTAATTATTGTATTGTTTTAAAGTGTTTTTTGCACTACGAATAAGATATGTGTAGTGTGCATACGAATTTATTCATCTTTTTCTTTTTAGCTCCCCCCCCCCCCCCGGGTGGCGCAGTGGGTTAAACCCCTGTACTGGCAGGGCTGAAGACCGACAGGTCGCAGGTTCGAATCCAGGGAGAGGCGGATGAGCTCCCTCTATCAGCTCCAGCTCCTCATGCAGGGACATGAGAGAAGCCTCCCACAAGGATGATAAAAACATCAAATCATCCGGACGCCCCCTGGGCAACGTCCTTGCAGACAGCCAATTCTCTCACACCAGAAGCGACTTGCAGTTTCTCAAGTTGCGCCTGACATGACAAAAAAATTTTTTCACATTATAATCCGGCCCTCCAACAGTTTGAGGGACTGTGACCTAGCCCTCTGTTTAAAAAGTTTGAGGATCCCTGATCTAGTCCAACAGCCTGTCATGCAGGAATACATGACCAAAGTACTCCTGACACTCCTGGTAGCCAAATAGGGTGGCACTGGTTGGCCTTGAGGAGCCCCTTCCAATTTAGGAGTCCACAAGGCAGGTGCCTCTCCATCCCACTGACCCCCAACATCTAAATGTTGACTTCTGTTCTTCCTGAGGTGTCCAGGCATCTCCTCCAGGCGCCCAAGGAGAACCACCTGCATCACGTGACAGGCCTAGACTCCATTGGAAAAGCTTCCTGCCTTTCCCTTCAGCTCCCAAGGAGAGAGGCCTCCCAGGCTCCCAGTTACATCATAGTGGGAAAGGGTTTATTTCCTGCCAAACAAAAGGGTCCAACGTTTCCAGAATGCCCTAATGTCGCAACTGCTTTTTAAGAAATAGTCAAACTATCAACCTTTTAGGTGACTTTGAAGTCGCTGCTGGCAATATAAAGGAGCCCCTCTTCCCTCAGGTCCGCCGCCGGGCAGAAATGAAAGGGCGGGCAACTCCGACTTCCACAACACGCATGCGCGGAAGGGGTTCTGTCAGGTTTTTTTCTCCCCCACAGCCGTTTCCTATTGGAGGGTTTTCACTGCGCGCGCTCCTTTTCTGCCAAGGAATCCTGGGTTTTGGGTCACGCGCCAGCAGTCTTGCTGTGGGCCTGGTCTCAAGGTACATCAGAATGTACACAGCAGTCGGCTAGTGACAGTGGAGATGGGAAATGCCTGCTGATGGAGAGGAGAGCCTAGACTTAACTAGAGAGTACAGAAAATTCCACACACGCAATTTCTCTCAGGCCCCTTCCACACAGCTGTATAAAATCCCACATTATCTGCTTTGAACTGGGTTATATAGCAGTGTGGACTCAGGGCCCTTGCACACAGCCCTATAACCCAGAATATCAAAGCAGAAAATCCACATTATTTGGTTGGAACTGGATTATCTGTGTCCACATTGCCATATATCCCAGTTCAAAGCAGAAAAGATGGGATTTTATTCAGTTGTGAGGAAGGGGCCTGAGACTCCATCTACATTGCCATATAAAATCCATCTTCTTTGAAATTGATTATATGGCAGTGTAGACTCAAAGCAGATAATGTGGATTATCTGCCTTGATATTCTGGATTATATGGCAGTGTAGTTGGCGGCTGAAATAAGAAAAAAAGAAGGAAAATTAAACTTTTTGCTATGTTTATAGGGTTATTACTCTTCTGTGTGTTTCTTCCACAATTACGTATTACTGTGGCCCCTTCTACACTGCAATATAATCCAGATTATCAAAATTGACTATTTTTTTGTTTATTTGAAACATTTATATTCTGCCCTTCTCATCTGCACAACATATACATGGCAAGCATTCCATGCCGGGACATAAAATAACTATACATATACACAAACACTAAAAACAGTTACATCTGTGAGGAATTGTAAAAAGGCACCTGATATAAAAGACATGTGTCAGCAGCTGATTGGCTGAGCTTGCCAGGAGCCAGAATTCTGATTGGCTACTGTCTCTAGCAAACGGTTTTAACTGCCACTTTCACCTTGGACAGTGAAAAGGGTGTTGACTGGAAATAGCTAGGAAGGAAACGACTGCCAACTCTCTGAAGTCTGATCATTTCTAAGGGGTGAAGCACATTTCAAAGACTGTTTAAAGGGACTGTTTATTCCCTCTGTTCTCTGTAAGAATTCAGAGAGACTGTATTGTTCCTCTATTTGACCTACTGAACTGAAATAAAGTTACTATTACACATTAACACAATTCTAAGTGACACATTATTATACTGCAGGGTTTATTTTGCTTTGGAAACAGTGGTAAAGCTTCTATTTATTTAAATCTACAACTCCCACAACATCTAATTTAAATCGGTTATTTAAAATAATCTAAAAACTAGGCTGGCATTGTTATCTGCTCACATTATCTGCTTTGAACTTGATTGCAGTATATGAGGACCTGTTTACACAGCTGTATAAAATCCAGATTATCTGCTTTGAGGTGGATTATCTGGCAGTGCAGACTCAGATAAGCCAGTTCAAAGCAGATAATGTGAATTATCTGCCTTGATATTCTGGATTATATGGCAATGTACAAGGGCCCTGATTGTACACTGCCATATAATCCATTTCAAAGCAGATAATCTGGATTTTATATGGCAGTGCAGAAGGGGCCTAATTAGATGTGCTACATATTTTTAATGATGTGAGCTAAGATAGGAGGAGAGGAGTAAAAAGGAAATATTGTATGTCCCTTTGTATGGGTGTGTGTACATTTGCAGCACCTGCATGCATTCACAAGTAAAAAAGGTAAAGGTTTTCCCCTGACATTAAGTCCAGTTGTGTCCGACTCTGGGCTGTAGTGCTCATCTCCATTTCTAAGACGAAGAGCCGGCATTGTTCGTAGGCATCTTCCAAGGTCATGTGGCCAGCATGACTGCATGGAGTGTCATTACCTTCCTACCAGAGCAGTACCTATTGATCTACTCATATTTGCATGGTTTTTGTTTTTGTCATATCAGGAGCGACTTGAGAAACTGCAAGTCGCTTCTAGTGTGAGAGAATTGGCTGTCTGCAAGGACGTTGCCCAGGGGACGCCCGGATGATTTGATGTTTTTATCATCCTTGTGGGAGGCTTCTCTCATGTCCCCGTACGAGGATCTAGAGCTGATAGAAGGAGCTCATCTGCCTCTCCTCGGATTCGAACCTGCGACCTGTCAGTCTTCAGTCCTGCCGGCACAGGGGTTTAACCCACTGCACCACCGAGGGCCCTTTGAACTGCTAGGTTGGCAGAATCTGGGGCTAACAGCAGAAGCTCATGCTGCTCCCAGGATTCGAACCTGCGACCTTTCAAGTCAACAAGCTCAACAGCTCAGCGGTTTTACCCACTTGAGCCACCTGGGGCTCTCGCATTTACAAGTAAACAGGGTGTATGTATTAATAGAATCATAGAGTTGGAAGAGACCTCATGGGCCATCCAGTCTAACCCCATTCTGCCAAGAAGCAGGAAAATTACATTCAAAGCACCCCAACAGATGGCCATCCAGCCTCTGTTTAAAAGCTTCCAAAGAAGGAGACTCCACCACACTCTGGGGCAGCGAGTTCCACTGTTGAACAGCTCTCACAGTCAGGAAGCTCTTTCTCATGTTCAGATGGAATCTCCTTTCTTGTAGTTCTGTGTCCTATTAAGGAAGCAGAAAACAAGCTTGCTCCCTCCTCCCTATGACTTAAACTCACATATTTATACATGCCCATCATGTCTCCTCTCAGCCTTCTCTTCTTCAGGCTAAACATGCCCAGCTCTTTAAGCCGCTCCTCATAGGGCTTGTTCTCCAGATCCTTGCTCATTTTAGTCGCCCTCCTCTGGACACATTCCAGCTTGTCAATATCCCTTTTTTGTAGTCTGAAGCCATTGTTCCGCGTCCTAGACTCCAGGGAAGCAGAAAACAAGCTTGCTCCCTTCTCCCTATGACTTCCTCTCACATATTTTATACATGTCTATCATGTCTCCTCTCAGCCTTCTTTTCTTCAGGCTAAACATGCCCAGCTCTTTAAGCCGCTCCTCATAGGGGTTGTTCTCCAGATCCTTGCTCATTTTAGTCACCCTCCTCTGGACACCTTCATGTCCCAAATGGAAAAAAACCCCGAAAGCATACCATATATGCACCACCCAGCGTTATAAAGAATGGTAAAGGGAGAGTGGGCGGGGTGAGGCTTGCGTGGTTATCCCCGAACAAAGGTCGCAGGTGGAAAACAAGGCCGCCTCCTGGAAAAGGCCAAAGGGCGCCAGGCGAGGGCCGGCCCAAGAGGAGGAGGAGGAGGAGGAGGAGGAACCTCCCTCCTTCCCGCCTTCCCTGCCTGCATATCTTGGCCCGGCGCTTCCACGGGAAAGGCTGCGGAAGGAGTTTCCCACAGCGATGGCGTCCTGGCGAGACTGCAAGGTGACTAGGACCTCTTTTCCTTCCCTTTTCCCTCCCTCGTCCCTCCAGGAAGGGGCCTGAGAGAGATATGTGTGTGTGTATCTGCGTTGTAGACTTAAGAAAGTTGGAAGCTGTTTTAGCTGCCAGGGTTGTATGCTATTGAATCTTCTGAGCTGCAGTGTCTCTGTCCAAGGCCACTTCTAAAATCCAGATCATCTGCTTTAAACTGGATTATATAGCAGTGTAGAAGGGGCCCAAGAGCGCCCCTGCCTCCCCAAACTGCACATTCAGCTCTCCTCTCAGATCTGTGATGCAACAACTCTTGCTTTCATAGAATCACAGAGTTGGAAGAGACCTCATGGGCCATCCAGTCCAACCCCCTGCCTAGAAGCAGAAAAATTACATTCAAAGCACCCCAGACAGATGACCATCCAGCCTCTGTTTAAAAGGAGTCTCCACCACACTCCGGGGCAGTGAGTTCCACTGCTGAACGGCTCTCACAGTCAGGAAGTTCTTCCTAATGTTCAGATGGAATCTCCTTTTTTTTGTAGTTTGAAGCCATTGTTCTGCGTCCTAGTCTCCAGGGTAGCAGAAAACAAGTTCACTCCTTATTACTTCCTCTCACGTATTTATATATTCTCTTCATTCATCAGAATCCCACCGGCATCGCAAGCGCGATTGGTAGGGACGAGGGATAGGGCTTTCTCGGTGGTGGCCCCTCGACTCTGGAACTCTCTCCCTAAGGACATCAGGCAAGCCCCATCGCTGGCAATTTTTAGGAGGAGCTTGAAAATGTCGTCGTTCCAGTGTGCCTTCCCAGAATAAGGAAACTCCAACGCGCTTTATCAGAGATTCAGGATATCAGCAAACCCATCCGTCTCCTAACACCTGCCCTTTTCTCCTGGTCATGCCCAGCACTTTTTAATTTTAATTATTACATTTGGCCCTGCCATAGTTTTTAATTGCGTCATTGTGTGTTGTTAATGTTATTGCTTTGTTTTTGATTTATTTTGCTGAATTGTTGTTTTATTGTTGTATTTGGGCTCGGCCTCTTGTAAGCTGCACCGAGTCCTTCGGGAGATGGTAAAGGTAAAGGTAAAGGTAGTCCCCTGACATTAAGTCCAGTCATGTCTGACTCTGGGGTGTGGTGCTCATCTCCATTTCTAAGCCGAAGAGCCAGCGTTGTCCGTAGACACCTCCAAGGTCATGTGGCCGGCATGACTGCATGGAGATGGTAGCGGGAGATGGTAGCGGAGTACAAATAAAGGTTTATTATTATATATTATTATTATCATGTATCCTCTTAGCCCTCTCCTCTTCAGGCTAAATATGCCCAGCTCTTTAAGCCGCTCCTCATAGGGCTTGTTCTCCAGACCCTTGATCATTTTAGTCACCCTCCTCTGGACACATTCCAGCTTGTCAATATCTCTCTTCAATTGTTGTGCCCAGAATTGGACACAATATTCCAGGTGTGGTCCAACCAAGGCAGAATAGAGGAGTAGCATGACTTCCCTGGATCTAGACCAGGGGTCCTCAGGGGTCCAGATATGGCCCTCTAAGGTCATTTACCCGGCCCTCACTCAGGGTCAACCTAAGTCTGAAACGACTTGAAAGCACACAACAACAGCAATCCTATCTCATCAGCCAAAAGCAGCTCCACACTTCCAATTGAAATAATAATAAGTTTATATTTGTTAAAATTGTTCTTCATTTTAATTATTGTATTGTTTTTAAGTGTTTTTTTGCACTACAAATAAGATGTATGCAGTGTGCATAGAAATTATTCATGTTTTTTTTCCTTCAAATTATAATCTGGCCCTCCAAGAGTTTGAGGGACTGTGACCTGGCCCTCTGTTTAAAAAGTTTGAGCACCCCTGATCTAGACACTATACTTCTATTGTTGAAGGCCAAAACCCCATTGCCTTTTTTCGCCACCGCATCACATTGTTGGCTCACGTTTAACTTGTTGTCCACAAGGACTCTTAAGATCTTGAGCCAGGCGTCCCCATTGTTCATGTGTTTGTGGATTTTAGTGGCTCCTCTGTGTAGTCCGACATGATGGTTACCTCTCTGGAACATGGAACATAGCTATACAGCTTGAAAAACTCACAGAAACTCAGTGATTCCGGCCATGAAAGCCTTTGACAACATATTGTGTTCTTCCCTTAAAAAATAGGACTTATCTACTTGTGTTTTTTCCTAGTATATATCTTGAGATATTACATGTGTTCAATCCTGGGCCCAAATTTCATGTCATTTGAAGTGGCCGTCCAGATGCTGGACTACGACTCCTGTATTCCCCGTCATTAGACATAATGATTAAAGCTTATGGGAGTTGTGGTGCAGTGATATCTGGAAGGCTGCAGTTCATTTTGTTTGCTCAGGATAATGGGGTTTGGATTTAGATACGAGGCTTGCAGATACGATGCCTGATTTTAAAATGGCCTTTAACAATCTCACCGAGACACCAAAAACTGGGAAGCCTTGGCCCTTGGGCGCTCTAACTGGAGGTCAGCTGTGACCAGCAGTGCTGCAGAATTCAAAGAAGCACGAACAGAAGGCAAAAGGGAGAAACGTGCCAAGAGGAAGGCGTGTCAGTCCAGCTGCCTTCTACCTGGAAACCGATGTCCTCACTGCGGGAGAACATGCAGATCAATACTAGGGCTCCACAGCCACCTACGGACCCACCGCCAAGACACCACATCTGGAAGATCATCATCCCCAAGCTACGAGGGATTGCCTAAGTAAAGTAACAATCTCAACCTCAGAGCCATAGGTGCTGTTGGGTTGCAGTTCCTATCAACCCATATCTGCATGGGTCAAAACTACAGAGCACTGAGCACTGAAAGAAGATATAGTTGGGCGTGTGTATCCAAGGATTCTCTGTCCATGGATTCAACGGTCCATTGAAGGCAACCACAAGGCTAATATGGCCCTCAATTAAAATGTGTTTGACATCTCTTTCACTAGAACACCAGGAAAACAGCAAGGAGACTGTTAGCTCCCAGCAAAACACAGCAAGTTGGCAAGAAGATTATTAGATCTTAGAGGAACAGAGGCAGAAGTATTGCCATTAAACGTCCCCTTTCGCAGAGTTGTTTCCCTGATGTTTACATTACTTGGATCCCTTCTTTCAAATATAATCTTTCTTGTAGCATGGCAAAGGACCTCATTTGGCAGTAGAAAGCAGGATGGCTGCATATATGGCAGGGTGTTGTTGTTTGTGCAGCAGCTTTTATGGGGAGACACACCTGTTTTAAAGCTTGCTCTTCCAAGTTATATCCAAGTTACATTCCGTTATAGCCCAGCAAACATTAAAACAAATAATGTTGTTGCTCTACAATCATTCACTGGGGAGCTTACATGCACATGGTTGCAAATGTCACCAGATACATGGACCTGTGATGCCTAAAGAACTGTGTGCCAAGAGTGTCCACTTCCACACAAAAGCCATCTTTTTCAGGTGGATTGTAACACTTTTGTGTTTGGGATACTCTTTCCTATTTTCTGTTTTGGTAATAACATAAAGAATGCATCCAAACTACTGGTACCTTGAATATATGAGGGTTGAATGAAAAGTAATGTCTCCACCTTCGCAACTCCTCAACAGATGGCAGTACTGGTATGCGGCAGGTATTGGCTTGTTCAGTAGACTCCCCTCTACAGTTCCATTTTGGCAGGAAATCTTAGCATTGAACGTTTGTGTTGTTAAAAGTGTGAAGTATGGAACCCTGCACAGACGGTCAGTCAATGTGATTTAAGCAACGTGCAGTCATTGAATTTTTGACACCACAAGGTGTCACCCCAAAGGAGATTCATAAGAGAATTCAAGCTGTTATGGTGACTGTGTTGATGTGAGTAGGGTGCATCGTTGGCGAGAAAGTTTAAAGATGTTGAGGTGGGAACATCTGACTTGCATGACAAACAAAGAGTTGGACGTCCTGTGACAGCAACCACCGAGTTTCACAAGCAAAAGGTTGACAGATTGATTCAGGATTATCGTCGTAACAGTCAGAGAGAAATTTTAAGCATAATCGGCATTTCACAAGAACGTGTGGGTCACATTATTGCTTTGCTTGGCTATCGGAAGATCTGTGCATGATGGGTTGCGGAAACAGAGTGTCAACTTCTTCCGTGACAGCTTCAGAAAACTTGTTCATCATTGGCAGAAATGTATCCAATTGTAAGTTTAAAGCTGTTGAGGTGGGGACATCTGGCTTGTGTGACAAACAAAGAGTTGGACGTCCTGTGACAGCAACCACTGAGGCTCCTTCTTTGGAGGCTTTGAAACAGAGGCTGGATGGCCATCTGTCAGGGGTGCTTTTAATGCAGTTTTCCCGCTTCTTGGCAGAATGGGGTTAGACTGGATGGCCCATGAGGTCTCTTCCAATTCTTAAGATTCCTGCCAACCTAGCAGTTCGAAAACATGCAAATGTGAGTAGATCAATAGATACCGCTCTGGTGGGAAAGTAACAGCGACAATTGTCATATCACTCAGAGAGAAATTTCAAGCTTAATCAGCATTTCACAAGAACAAGTGGGTCACATCATTGCTTTGCTTGGCTATCGGAATATCTGTGCACGACGGGTACATTGAGAGAACTGTGGGACGCTGGTTGCAGAAACAGAGTGTCTTCTATGACAGCTTCAGAAAACTTGTTCATCATTGGCAGAAATGTATCCAATTGTCTGGTGATTATGTGGAAAAGTGAATAGTGGTAGTTAAAGAGCACATTCTAAGGATTGTTTCTGTGTTTGATTTATTAAAATATTCCCATCCAAACCCAAGTAGCAAAGATGGAGGCATTACTTTTCATTCAACCCTCATATGTTGTCAGGGCTTTATGCATATGCGTGGCATCTTTTTCCTGATTTGTGAAGGGCTGGTGCTTAGGATCACAGCCTTTGAAGATTGGTTAACATTGGCATAAAAATCAGACACAACTGTGGCTGATGCTTCCATACACACCAAGGAATCAAACGTAAAATAAGACCTATGTGTATTGCATTTTTATACATTCATGCATTCGGCGTCCTCAGGTCAGTATTATTCAATCCAGCCTCACATACTCCAGAAATAACTTTTTGTTTTTCTAAAACAGCGTTTTCCTTCTGAGTTCACCATTACATTAAATATTTTCTGTTATTTTTATAGGCCTGGCAGGATGCTGGACTACCCCTTTCGACCACAAGTAATGAGGCTTGTAAAATGTATGATGCCACACTGACTCAGGTAGGGATGAAAATAAGAAAACTGGACAATTTGAGAAGCTATTTGTGGTTCTGGAGGTGGTCTTCCACCCTGTATTATAGCAGTGGTAGGGAGACAGTGGCAGTAAGGGGATTGCTGGTTCATCTAAAATCTGGGAATAGTTACAGAAGTCATAAATCTGAAAAGTTACTTAATTTGAAAAGATCAGAAAAACTAATATTTGTATTATACTTGTTCTTGACCTCTCTATTATATTTCTCTGATGGTATATTATAACTTGAAGTGCTTTTGTATAGGGAAAGCAGTCTTCAGGAGTTCAAAAATTGCCCATGAAATTACCTTCATTATTTTGTTTTACTTTTTTTGTAAAAATAAATACAGATCCCTAATCCATTGAAAAAATTTTTTTTTAAAGACTCAGTTGGCTAGACCACTATAACGAACCATGGGAAACAGTAGGGAACTTTATTCAGTAAGAAAAATCCCAACGCTGCTTCATCAAATTATAACGATCGCACAGCAGTCTACCAAATTATAACGATGACACCACCACTACAGACTAGCCCACCAAAATAAAGAGGGAGAATAGTTGTTGAACCAACTGTATATTTAAAAGCTAGGAACTGGGAACCACTAGAACTGAGAGACTTAAAATGATTATTTAAAAGGTTTCCACCATATTACTAAAGAACAGGCTGAGGTATTATTGAGAGGTTGTTCAGTGTTACTCTAGTTTTCTTAGAGGCTGTTAAAAAGCTGACTTGAATAACCCTTTTACCACAAAGGTATTCACACTGAGGCTGGTATAAGTTAATAAAAATAACAAGAACTTTTATTGAACATACTTGAATATTTCAGGTACAAATGCTTATTGATTTCAGTAAAGTTCTGGCCTACAAAAGTTTATGGTTACGTTTGAGAAGAGATCTTAAAAACTTCTGGGTTACAGGTCTTAAAGTTTCAGCACAGAAAATTACTTCAGGAAATGAATCTCTGAAAGTAACACCCACAAAAAATCCCCCTTTAGGAATCTAGCCAAAACCTGAACTAGCCTTCCTTAGGAAAAGAACAGACCACGAAATAGGTTCTGCTCTACACAGTATTCTACCTATACTTCTCTATACCTATTCTGAATACTCAACAAAAGACTGACCCAAAGTTCTTCAAAACCCCAAACTGCTTTCACTAACACCCAACATTTTCGCTCTACCCTTTCCAAGCTCCCACTCCCAACTCACAAACTGGGAACTCAAGCTTCAGTTTAAAAGTCACTTTTTTCCTTCAGATCACTTAAGCTCCACCCTCATCATTCTAACCAATCCTAGCCTTCTATTTTTCCCTCCAAGACTAGAACATGCCCCCTTAAGGCAAACCTAACCTAAGATGGTGTCTCCCTTCGCCAGGGCCACTTTCTTAGGCCTAAGCTAGCTTGTCATGGTAAGGGATTCATTACAAGCATGCTTGAAAATCTAACTACTGCTATTTTCTAACTCCTCTATTTAAAAGGAAGGGGTGTCTTCAACTTCAAAAGTGTATTTATGCAAGAAACCAAAATAAGCTTTGAGTATTTTAGGTTCAATTGTTCACAACCCTTGAATTCATATGAGCAGGATAGTTAGAAAACACAGTGTGTGTCTAGGAATCACGAATTTTCTTAACTTATATCAGAAGACATATTATTTCAGCCCAAAGGACAGAATAAATTGGACTAATCTATCCTACTACTTAGAGAAGCAATATACAACTAAGGCACCAATTCTGAATGTATTAATGGAATTATTTTATTCATGTAATTATATTGAATACATTCTATTTTGTAGACTAAATTCAAGACATTTCAGAGAAACTCAACTGCTCTTTGAATCTAAAATAATTTGTTTTTATATTGTGATAGTATACGACTTGGAAAAATGATACAAGTCTAGGAGGCATTGAAGGATCTCTGTCAAAATTGCAAGCTGCCGACCCTAATTTTTGTAAGTATCACTTCAAGATTTCAGTCTTTTGCACCCTTACTTGGAATAAATTCCTGTGAACTCGCTGGATTATCTTGTGAATAAACAGGCAGATGTAAGTGAGTTTCGCACAACCTTTTCCAATCTTAGTCCCTCTAGACCAGGGATCCTCAAACTACAGCCCGAGGGCCAGATACAGCCCTCCAAGGTCATTTACTCGGCCCTCGCTAAGGGTCAACTTGAGTCTGAAACAACTTGAAAGCACACAACAACAACAATCCTATCACATCAGCTAAAAGCAGGCCTACACTTCCCATTGAAATACTAATAAGTTTATATTTGATTAAATTGTTTATTTTAATTATTGTATTGTTTTAAAGTATTTTTGTACTATAAATAAGATATGTGCAGTGTACATAGGAATTCATTCACAGTTGTTGTTTTTTTTCCAAATTATAATCCGGCCCTCCAACAGTTTGAGCCACTGTGACCTGGCCCTCTGTTTAAAAAGTTTGACGACCCCTGCTCTAGATGTTTCCATCTTGCAACTCGCATAAGCCGTAAGGTTAGTCGTAGTTGAAAAGCTTTGTACAAACCTGGGTAGAGAAAGGCTGTTTTAGATAGCTAATGTCTCTATTCTCAGTTGTCTTTCATTGTGGAATAAAAACAATTTTCTATGGAAATCTTACCAAAAAGTTTGTGAAGAAAAGAATTAGTAAAACAAGTATTTTATTGGGATTTGCTTATGTTTGCAATTATGGTGACACGGGCCAAGCGTCTGACTCTGGATTGGGCTGTTCTCCATTCAGGATGCTGTTTACACAGAATCTTTATTTTTCTCTTTTGAATCTCGATGTTTTAAATTCTTGGAACCTTGAATATATCATGTTGTGGTGTAATCTTAAACAGATCTTTAGGACTCAGGCTACAGATTTTTTTGTATGATTTATTATTTAATTTCTGTGATTTTTTTTTTATTTACAGTATTTATATTCCACCCTTCTCAGCCTGAAGGAGACTCAGGGTGGATCACAGAACACATATATGGCAAACATTCAATGCCGTTATACACTGACAAGACAGACAACTGTACATAGATAGAGGTATATATAGGCTTTCCCATCTTTGGCATCTTGGATGCTGTGCTTGATTCTGGCCACAGGGAGTGATGTTGCTCCGTCTTCCCTGTCAAAGAGCTTTGTTCGTAAACTTCCTCCTTTACTGAATTGGAAGCATTTTCCTTATGGGTGCCTTAAATACTTCCCCGCTTTAAAGCGGTACCTATTTATCTACTCACATTTGTTTTCAAACAGCTGTTATTATTTATTATTATTTATTTAGAACTTTTATATTCCGTTATTCTCAACCTCCGTGGAGGGACTCAGAACGGCTAACAACAGCAAAAATTAAATGCTACACAATAAATAACATTTTAAAAACAACATACATAACAAATAAGTTATAAAATACATATAAAATACAGTTCATCGAGTTAAAAACATCATCCAACTCAATCCTAGATAGGCAGAAGCTGGACTAAAGGCCAGGAGCTCACCCTGACCCAGGCTTTGAACTGCCAACCTTTCAATTGGCAAGATTTACTGCAGCTGGCGGTTCACCTACTGTGCTAAAGCCCGACATTTTTAAAATGCTTTGGTTTTATTTGCAGCAATGGGTCATGTGATTTCCAATGGCTTGGTTCTGATTGGTACTGGGAGTTCAGTGCGGCTAGATCAGGAACTCGATAAGTCAATAAAGAAAATGGTGGCACTCGCACAATCTCAGCGATTGACGGAGCGAGAAAAATTGCACGTGTCTGCAGTGGAGCTGTTTGCTAATGGGTAAGTCCTTGATTTGGGCGGAAAGAAAGTAGACTTTTCAGCAGAGCCAATAGCATAACTATATAACCATTCCTGTTGTAAAACATTATCTTGACATACCTGACTTTTGTTTTACTTTTTACAGCATTGTTTTATTTTGTTTGACTTGTGATAGAATTTGCTTCCCTGCCAAACAACAGCAATAAAGCACCTGTCTGTTCATCAAAGGCTCCTTCTACACTGCCATATAATCCAATTCAAAGCAGATGGATTTTATATGGCAGTGTAGATGGGGCCAAAGACCTTTTAGATCATGTTGGATAGTAACTCCCAGCTACACTGACTTGAGCTGTTGTGACTTAAAATTATTTTGGAACTACTTTAGAAAGATATTTCTAAAACTAAGCTGCTCATATCCCTTCCACAAATCTGAATAAAATCCCACATTTTCTGTTTTGAGCTGGAATATATTTATTATTATTTATTTTATTTACGACATTTATATGCTGCCCTTCTCACCCCGAAGGGGACTTAGAGCAGCTTACAAGTAAAAAGTAAATACAATATATTATTTTATTACTATAGCACAATATTAATATTATATATTACATTGTACTATAACATTATACTGTTATATTATTAGTAATATTACATTTAATATAAAATATATTATTATAATATATTAGTAGTAGTATTCCATAGCACAATATTAATATTATATATTACATTGTACTATTACATTGTACGGAGGAAGCAAGCTTGTTTTCTGCTTCCTTGGAGACTAGGATGCGGAACAATGGCTTCAAACTACAAGAGAGGAGATTCCATCTGAACATGAGGAAGAACTTCCTGACTGTGAGAGCTGTTCAGCAGTGGAACTCTCTACCCCGGAGTGTGGTGGAGGCTCCTTCTTTGGAAGCTTTTAAGCAGAGGCTGGATGGCCATCTGTCAGGGGTGATTTGAATGCAATATTCCTGCTTCTTGGCAGGGGGTTGGACTGGATGGCTCTTCCAACTCTTTGATTCTATGATTCTATTAAATAATAATAATAGATTATAATATTATTAGTACTATTACATTTAATATAAAATATATAATTATAATTATAATATATTATTATTATTATTAGTAGTAGTATTATATTATATGGTATATATATGTAGTATATATGTCAGTGTGGACACAGAAAACCCAGTGCAAAGTAGATATTGTGGGATTTTCTTGATATTCTGGGTTATATGGCTGTGTGGAAGGGCCCTTGGTGTTTCTTTGGGGTAGGCTCACCTTGTTTGTCTCAGTAATCCAGTATACAGCATTAAAGTTCCTGTATCTGGAGGGAGCAACTTCCTAAACTCCTGTTTTGCTGCTAGCCTGGAATGGCAAAAAGGAACTTTGATGTCTTCTACACTGCTGTGTAAAATTCAGATTATCTGCTTTGAAATGTATTATATGGCAGTGTAAACTCATATAATCCAATTCAAAGCAGATAATGTAGATTATCTGCTTTGACAATCTGGATTATATGGCGGTGTAGAAGTGACCATTGTTAAATGCTAGCCTGGAATAGGGGAAAAAAAGAACATTGGTTGTAAATAACTGGTGAACTGTGTATTTACCGTATTTTCCGGTGTATTAGATGACTTTTTAACCCTGGAACATCTTATGAAAAGTTTCGGATCGTCTAGTACACCAAGTATAAAATGTAAATAATAATAATAATTAAAAGAAAAGAATAAAATCCAACTACCTTAGTGGCGCGACCTGAGGAGGGAGAGAGGGCCCGGGGAGGAGGAGCGGCAGGCCGTTTTGCCACGGAGACCGGCCGGGGGTGATGGCCTGCTGGGCTGTCCCTGTGGCCCTTGACGCTCTCCCTGCTCTACTTTCAAGGCCCTCCTCCGCCCCCAACGCTCACCTCCTCTGAAGGCCACTGGGCTCACCTAGGCCCAAGGAAGGTTGGATGCGCTCACTGAGGTATTCTGGGAGCCATAGTTCCCCGATTCTACGGCTCCCAGAATGCCTCAGCGGGCATAACCAAGGCATGGCACTGCCTGGTGCGACGGCATGCCTTGGATGTGCTTGCTGAGGCATTCTGAGAGCCATAGGACTTACAGAACGATGGCTAACAGAATGTCTCAGCAAGCACATCCCAGGCACGCCATTGCCAGGGGCTGCTAGGAGTCGTCCCAGCAGCAAGCACTTATTTGGGCCTAGGCGGGCCCAGTGGCCTTCGGTGGAGATGAGCAGCGGGGGTGGAGGAGGGCCTTGAAAGTAGAGCAGAGAGAGCCATGGGGACAGCCCAACGGGGCCATCTCCCCCCCCCCCCCCCCCCCCCGGCCGGTCTCCGTGGAATGCGGAGTAGTCTTAAACAGCGAGTAAATCCCTAACTCTGTATTTTGTCTTGTATGCCGGAAAATATGGTATTTACTGTGTTTATATACCACATTTCTCACCCCTGGGGGGACTCAAGGTGGTTTACAACATAGCAATGGCAAAAATTCAATGCCAACATACAGTAAAACAAAGAAATAACTAATTACTACATATAACTTTGACTTAAAATCATTAAAACCACCAAACATAAGACATAAACAACATTTAAACATTCAGACAAAGCATTAAAATAATCGTAGAATAAATATTTAAATCACATGTTCCAAAAAATCTGTGTAGAGTCTTACTTGTGCAAACTTGGTGTTGTGGTCGTGTTTTAAATACTGTGAATACTCATGTACAAGTTTAGAAAATGTATTCCAAAAACAGACCTCAAAATTGTGTTGAATATCCACAGGTCAGTGTAAGGGCCTCATCACAAAGGTCAGTTACTGGCCTGTAAAAGCCATTGTCAACATTAGCTTTCCTGAACACGTAAACTCAACACATACGTTCTAACAGGAAAAGCAATATTTAGTAAAAATTCCTGATCTGAACGAACTTTTCAAAGCAAGTGTGTTTAGGCCAAATAAAAATGTATATTTATAAGTTTTGTATGAGCACTAACGTCTGTTTTTTTTTTCCCTGTGCAGGCAGCTGCCTAAAGCTTGTGATACATGGGATCAGATTCTGCAGAACCACCCAACTGACATGTTAGCCATAAAATTTGCTCACGATACCTATTTTTACTTGGGAAGCCAGATACCAATGAGAGACTCCATTGCCCGGGTCTATCCTCATTGGTCACCAGACATTCCTCTTAGTAGGTAAGCCCAATTTGATTTTGCTGATTTTTCAAATACCAGTGTGTGCTTTAAGTATGGTTCCATTTTATTTCCCCTTCTGCCCATTTGTATTTACCTCTTTCAACATTTGGTTCCTGTTCTTGCTCGCAAATCGTGCCATGCGCAATGCCATTCTTTCTTTAATTTTTACAACTTCTGTGGGGTAAATTTAGCCCCAAATCGGATTGCCAGCAGCACTTTTTTTTTCCTACTGAGTAAAACGTCTTTCTCAAGACTGCATAGGCTTGGGGACTACAATTCAGTCTCTTTTTGAGTCTGAAAGTTTTCATCTTTTTTGTCTAGCTACATAAAAGGCATGTATTCGTTTGGATTGATGGAAACCAATTTCCTTGATCGTGCTGAGAAGCTTGCCTTTGAGGTAAAAAGGGGGAAACTGTTGATATATGGAAATTTTAAACATTATTTTATGTGGAATTGATGCATGAGTGAAGGAATTGGTGAGTGAAGGGATTGGTGGTAACCTTGGGTTTTTAATGCTTCTTCTAACTGCTTTGAGTCCCCCTCGGAGTGAGAAAAGCAGTATACGAATACTGTAAATAAACAAAAATAAAAAACTCTTCTAACCCTTCAAGAATTAATAGGGGAAGACTTTCCTGGGTAGATGATCATAGATAGTGTCCTCATTTCTTTTACTGTCTCCCTCTCACATTGCTCTAATCTTAATATTGCATGGTTTAGTTCAGTGTTTCTAAACCTGGGGGTCGAGACCCCTAAGGGGGTCATGAGGCAGTGTCAGGGGAGTCACCAAAGACCATCAGAAAACACTATTTTTTGTTGGTTGTGCAGGTTCTGTGTGGGATGTTTGGCCCAATACTATTGTTGGTAGGGTTCAGAATGCTCTTTGATTGTAGGTGAACTATAAATCCCAGCAACTACAACTCCCAAATGCCAAGGTCTGTTTCCCCCACACTCCACCAGTGTTCGCATTTGGGCATATTGAGTATCCATGCCAAGATTGGTCCAGATCCATCATTGTTTGAGTCCACAGTGCTTTCTGGATGTAGGTGAACTGCAACTCCCACACTCAAGGTCAATGCCTATCAGACCCTTCCAGTACTTTCTGTTGGTCATGGGTGTTTGGTTCAATTCCATTGTTGAATTGTTGGTGGAGTTCAGGATGCTCTTTGATTGTAGGTGAACTATAAATCCCAGCAACTACAACTCCCAAATGACAAAATTGATGCCTCCCAATCCCACCAGTATTCAAATTTGGGCGTATCGGGTATTTGAGCCAAATATGGTCCAGTGAATGAAAATGCATCCTGCAGATCAGATATTTACATTATGATTCATAACAGGAGCAAAATGGTAGTTATGAAGTATCAACGGAAATAATGTTATGGTTGGGGGTCACCACAACAGGAGAAACTGTATTAGGGGGTTGCAGCATTACGAAGGTTGAGAAACACTGATTTAGTTTATAATCTGCCTTTCTTATTACCTCTAGCTACCAGTATCTGTCTCCAGAAACTTCCCAGAAATCACATTTTTCCTATCATTCCTTTGTTAGGCTTTAGCAATCAATCAGAGAGATGCATGGTCTGTACATACCATCGCTCATGTGAATGAAATGAAAGCAGATCTGAAAAGTGGTCTGGCCTTTATGAAGCAAACAGAAAACAATTGGAAAGTAAGTAAGTTCCCTTTGACTTCACATACTGAAAAACCTCCTTCAAATTCTTTCAAGTACCATAAGAATATTAGTATTAGCAAAAGAAGTTCTACTTGAATGTGCCTTGGCCTTGGTGAGGCTGGGAAAGCAGAATTTCCCCTGTTTACACCTTGGATTGCAAACTGGACCTGAACATATAGGGTTTGCTCATCTTTCCAAATACACCCAGTCCCCAAGTTGCGTACAAGATGGTTTTTTTAGGTTTGTTTTTAAGTTGAATTTGTTTGTAAGTTGGAACAGGTACATTTCTTAAGTGTAACTCCAGCTGTGTATATATATATGTGTGTGTGAATGATTTGGATAGCATAGGGAAGGGTTAACATCCCTGTGGTGGTTGCTTTGCTGTCTGTGCAACTGTTTAGAAGATTCCCCCTTACTTTCCTACCTGGTGATAATTGGATTTTGAAAATTTTGGCTTGTTGTGGAAACAAAGATTGGTGACAAAGCTTCAGTAGAGACACCTTTTCTCCATGATAACTCTTCCAGGAGTGATTTTCCCTTCCTAGGGATAGATTTCTCTTATTTCCTCTTGTCTCACCCCCGTTCTTAACTAGGAATCATTTGCAAGTCGGATGTTTGTAACACAGGGAACTATCTGTAAACAAAACACCGAATTCTTTGAGAATTAGTGTAGTCTGGGAACAGTTCATGAGATAGAAACTAGCTAAGATCTTAATACAATTATATAATAATGACAATAATAATAATAATAATCATCATCATCTATATAAATAAAAATGTAATGTTCGTTTGTGGGATTAACATAACTCAAAAACCACTGGACGGATTGACACCAAATTTCGACACAAAACACCTGTGACCATCACACATCAGAACACTGAAAAACACAGCAGAAGGTACATAAAAAGCCCCAAAGCCCAAAAAATACATTACAACGCATGCGCAAAGCCACATATATATACACAAACACACATATATACACACATATATGCATATACACACACAAAACACATACACAGGAAGGAGGTAAGGAAAGAAGAAAGGAAGGAAAGAAAGAAAGAAGGGGAGAGAAGGAAGGAAGGAGAGAAGGAGGGAGAGAAAGAGGGGAAGAAGAAGGGAAAGAAGGAGGGAAGGAGAGAAAGAAGGGTAGAGAAGGAAGGAAGGAGAGAAGGAGGGAGAGAATGAAATAAAAAAGTGAAAGAGGGAAGGAAGGAGAGAAGGAACGAAAGAGAAAAAGGGAAGGAAGGAGGGAGGGAGGGAGGGAAGGAAGGAAGGAAGGAAGGAAGGAAGGAAGGAAGGAAGGAAGGAAGGAAGGAAGGAAGGAAAGAGACAAGGAAGGATGGAACCAAAAAAAGGAAGCGAGAAAAGAAACAGGTAGAGAAGGAATAAAGAAGAGAAAGAAAAAAAGGGAAGGAAGGAAAGAGAAAGAAGGAGGGAAGGTTGCAGCAACGCGTGGCGGGTACAGCTAGTAATAATAATAAATCTTTATTTGTATCCCGCTTTTTTTAGGTGTGCTTGGGTTAGCAATTATTCTATTAGTGCCCCAATTTCTCTACCATTCTATTTTTGCATTGTTTTATTGTATATTTGTTACTGTTTTGCATTTTACTTTGGTGTTATCATTTGCTTTGTATTTTATTTTGTGTAATTGTAATTCTTAGGTTTGGCCTCTTGTTAGCCACCCCAAGTCCCCTTCAGGGAGATGGTGGCAGGGTATAAAGATTATTATTATTGGTAGTAGTAGTAGTAGTAGTAGTAGTAATATGGAAGTAATTATGTTAAACCAAATTACTATTGCAAGACAAATTCTTAGGATCGATATATATGAAGGAAGGTGTTAATCATTTCAAGAACATGAGTACAATGTATCGAGTTCCTAAGCATTGGGGTTTTTTTGTTTGTCTGCCTCATTGCACTTCATATGTTTCTCTGGTTGCCTTTAGACCCAATGTGTTTTACATGCTAATGTTTCAGTACATAATCATAATTTCTTTCACTCTTTCCAGGACAGTGACATTCTTGCTTGCCATAACTACTGGCACTGGGCTTTATATTTTATTGAAACGGTATGTGGACATTCCTGCAATTGGGTTTTTTTTTTAGTAAAACCCCATGCGTTCTCTTTATATTACCCACTGAAATATTTTTTTCCATTTTAAGTTGGTTATCTCAACGCATACACACACATATGCATATGCATTACAGAAATGCATTACAGAACAGAAAAAAACTGCCTCTTCTGATTGTTCTGAACAAATTATGGCTTCACTTGTTCCGTTCTTGAGAGGGAAATGAGAGGCACCTTTCATGTGGAGTTCTTCTCTGAGCTGAGGAGAATCAAAACAGGAGTATCTCACTACGTAGGAACTGGCTCCGCCCTAATCCTGGGCCCCCAGGCTAGTGAGGTCAAGGGTTAGAAGGAGTATTGGAATCAAAGAAGTATTCCCTGTTAATTCTGATGGTATCTACATATAACAATCTATTCTCTGTGTTTTTCTAGGGTGATTATGAGGCAGCTTTGACCATTTATGACACTTGGGTAAGTCTGTGCCGAATCTTATTAGCTAATTAGCTTAGGTTCACAGTGATCCCTGGATTAAGTCTTTTGTAACACTATTTATGAGAAATAGTCATTGCTTTTGTTGTTGTGGATGGTCCCATTAGATCATGCGTAAAGATGTGGGTGAACTACAACTCCCAACATTGGGGTCAATTCCCCCTAAACCCTGCCAGTATTCAAAGTTGGCCATGTTGGATAGGTGTGCCAAGTTTGGTCCAGATTCATCATTGGTTGGGTTCTCAGTGCTCTCTGGATGTGAGTGAACTACAACTCCCCACATCCAAGGTCAAGTCCCTTCAAACCCCGCCAGTATTCAAAGTTGGTTGTGTTGGGTGTACATACCACGTTTGGTTCAAATCCACTGTCAGTGGGTTCAAAATGCTCTTTGAATGTAAATGAACTACAACTTCCAACATTCAATTTCCAGCAACGACTATTGCATTGATATATGTAGTGTGCCCTGAAGCCATTGTCTTGTTCCTGTCTCTACTAATGGAATAGAATTCATGGATATAAGTCAATTCAGCTATTTGTCTTTTTAGACCTTCTTTGCAATTTCAAGGACTGTGACATAAAAATCCCTTACTCTCCAGGAAGATTGAAATATTTTACAGCCTTGCCTACTCCTTTGAATATTTAGTTCAAGAGACATAGTAGCGGTTGCTAATTTTTTAAATGCATTGGATAATACTGCAATAGCGAGGCAATTAACTTGTCACATGGGTCTTTACTAAGTGGACAAAGTAGAATCACAGAACCATCCAACCCCTTGCCATGCAGGAACACACAATCAAAGCATCCCTGACAGATGGCCATCTAACCTCTGCTTAAAAACCTTCAGAGAAGGAGACTCCACCGCCCTTTGAGTCAGTATATTGTTAGGAGGTTCTTTCAAACGTTTAAATTGAATTTTTTTCCTGCAATTTGGATGCATTGCTCCATGTCCTGGTCTCCAAAGTGGAAGAAAACAAGCTTGCCCTCTACTCAATGTGACATCCTTTTAAATATTTAAATATGGCTATTATGTCCCCTCTCAGCCTTGTTTTCTGCAAGCTAAAGACAGCTCCCATGGCTTCCAGACTTTCATAATTTTGTTCACCCTCCTTTGGACAAGTTCTTGAATTGTGGCACCTAGAACTGGACACAGTATTCCAAGTGAGGTCTGACCAAAGCAGAATAGAATGGGATTATGACTTCCATTGATGTAGAAACTAATAATAATAATAATAATAATAATAATAATAATAATAATAATAATCTTTATTTCTACTCCGCCACCATCTCCCTGATGGGGACTCGGAGCGGCTTACATGGGGCCAAGCCCGGACAACATAATACAGCAATAAAATCAAAGCATATACAACAGACAACAACAACATTATCAAAATGGCATTAAAATAAATAAATAAAATAACATTCCAATAAACACAGTCATGATAGGGATGACAATGGGCAGGCCACATATTCCTAATTAAAAAAAACAGTTAACAAACTATGATGAGATAAGATAGGAGCAGGATGTTTAATAAGAAACTATAGTCTTATTGAGTTTTAGATGTGTGAATACAAATCCACTGTGTTGATCTTTGTACCCTGTGTTTTGATATATGTATTTTGCTGTGTGTATTATATTTTGATATGTTTTTTACTGTGTTGTACCTTGCCTCAGGCTATTGAGAGAGGTGGGTAACAAATTATTATTGTTGTTATTGTTATTGATGCAGCTTAGAATCACATAGGCTTTTTAGCTCTTGCATCACACAGTTGACTCACGTTGTCACCCATCCTATATCTGTGCATTTTTATTGCCTAAGTGTACTATCCTACATTTCTCCCTGCTGAAATATCATTTGATAGTTTTGGCCCAGTTCTGTGATGTATTAAGATCATTTTGGATTCTGATCCTGCCCTCTGGGGTATTAGCTATCCCTCCCAATTTGATGTCACCTGCAAATTTGATAAGTATGCCCTCTAAACCTTCATCCAAGTCATTAATAAAGCTATTGAACATCACTGGGCCCAGGACAGATCCTGTGGCATCCGCACTGGTTACTTCTCTCCAGGATGAAGGTCAGCCATTGATGAACATCCTTTTGATGCAGCCAGCCAGCACAGTTTTAGTTTTTCTGTCTAAACGTCCCATAATCATTCTAAAATGGAATTCTTCTCTGTTCACCTTTGAGTACGGCTGAGGGGTACTTCCAAAATGAGGCCATTAAATATTTTGTGGTTTACAGATTGCTCCTAGGTGTCGGTCAAGTGGGACCATGCTTGATGTTGTTGACAATTGCTCCTTGCTGTATCGGTTTCAGTTAGAAGGTAAAGAACGGCATTTCTTTTGCAATCTTAGCCTTATACGTTGTCTAAATGTCCTTCAGAAAATATTGCCTGCTGCTGTTTCTCACACAGTTGCTCTCCCCTTTGTAAATGAATTACAGATAGTGGACTCCCTGTTTCTTAAGGAAAAAAATTGATTCTGCTGAAGGAATTATTTGAAAATGACTGGACATTATTTATTTATTTTATTTACAACATTTCTACCCCACTCTTCTCAACCTCCGAGGGGGGATTCAGAGCAGCTAACACTGGCAACAATTTGATGCCCCAAATCACAATAAAACAGCACTATAAAACCAATAAATACACAATAAATTAAAACAATAACATTAGATAAACAATCATACAGCTGTTTCCATTATTATCACAGTCATATGGTCCAGTTCAATGTCCAAAGTGCCATTATGCCTGCTAGACAAAGGCTTGGTTCCAAAACCACAATTTCAGTTTTTTCCTAAAGGAAAGGAGGGAGGACACCTATCCATGCGAGCCGTGAACAGATGGCCATCCATGCTTAACTTTGCAATAGCATGCAACAAGGAGACATCAGGCCTTTTTTACTCAGTTAGTAGGAGGGCAGGTTGGAAGGACGGCTTTTCTTCCTCCTGGATTTTGAGATGTCAGGGGAGAAGAGCTGGACTTACTCCCTCTTTGGCTCTGCATTTTGATGGGATAACAGAATCTTTCACAAGTACTAGGTAAGAGCCATTTGTAGGTAACCAATGTTTGCCTTAAATGCTGTTGTTTTTTCTCTTTATTTTATTTATTTATTTATGACATTTATATTCCTCCCTTCTCACCCCGAAGGGGATTCAGAGCGGCTTACAAGATATATGTACATACAGTATACTATATCATTAGCATAGTACAATATCAGTATTAATTACTATATTGTATTATACCATTATATTGTAATATTATTAGTAATATTACATGCAATATGAATATAAAATTATAATATCATATTATATTATATTTTCCTCCTTTCCCTTTCTTTGATTTCATTTTACAAAAGGAAAGAGTGAAAAAAGTGTGGTACACTCATTAGAGTGCTGGACTGCATCTTGCAAAAATCACATTTTTATCCCACTTATGAAACTAAGTTGGTGACTTTGGACCAGTCTCCTTCGACTTGTCTGTTCAGCAGTGGAACTCCCTGGCTCAGAGTGTAGTGGAGGCTCCTTCTTTGGAGGCTTTTAAGCAGAGGCTGGATAGCTATCTGTTGGGGGTGCTTTGATTGCAGCTTTCCTACATAGCATGGGGTTGGACTAGATGGTCTCTTCCAACTCTGTTCTTTTATGATTATATGATTCAACCTGACTCTTGTGAGTGTGATGAGGAGTGTGCAGCTGGAGGAATGGCACATTGGAGGAAAGGCCAGATGTAAATATAACTAAATGCTACACAATATCCTCAGCAGTTGTAGCTTCCCCCCACTTTGACTTAATGGATTAAATTCCCATATCGCTGGATTCAATCAGAGGGCATCTCCACTGCAACAACAACAATAAAACTTTATTTATACCCCACTACCATCTCCCCAAAGGGACCTCTGGGCGGCTAATGTGAGGCCAAGCCCAACAATTACAACAAGGCAAAAAGAGTACAAACATACAATAATACATCAAATAAAATATAATCTATATAAATAAAAATGTATTTTTTGTTTGGGGGATTAACATAACTCAAAAACCACTGGACGAATTGACACCAAATTTGGACACAAGACACCAATCAGGCCAACAAGTGACCATCACTCCTAAAAACACAGCGGAAGAGACTTCAAAAGCCAAAAAATAAAAAAAAACATTACAACACATGTGCAAAACCACACACACACATACACACACACAAAGCACATATACACAGACTGGGCCACAGCAATGCGTGGCAGAGGACGGCTGGTAAAATAAGACAAAAATCCATGTTACTGTTGAATATTCCTCTATAAATATAGATATTGTATTCAGTTTATAGGGTGAGTTACAAATCATTATACAAAGATTGAGCTATGCAGAGAAGACCCCATATTGTTCAGTGAGCTTGACCAAATGACTTTGCAAGGCTTTGAGATTGTATTCCACAAAGTCTTCACCTTGGTTCTTGTTCTTCCTACTCCTTTCATCATCATCACCATTAGCCTGACTTTCCCCCAGAACCGAGTCTCAAAGTAGTTATAGAATATCCAGGCTGACTTTCTTAAAGGTCTGCACTTTTATTTCTAGGTGTAAATGTTGGGGACAGGTGGAAAGAAGTAAACCAGCTGACAAAGAAGCATGCCAAAGACCACATCCTGATTTTCAATGATGCTCATTTCATGATGTCATCTTTAGGAGCCAAGGATCACCAGACTACTCGTGAACTTTTAACATCTCTTCAAGAGCTGGCCCAGTAAGCAGCAAACGCAGTTATATATATATAGCTTGCTTTATTTGTGTATTTATTAAAATATTTTTTGGTATCCTGTACTGTCTCTATAAAAATTATTTTACAGTAGACTCTCAGTTAACTGGACCTCAAGCAACTAGAACATGCAAGCAACTTGCAAAAATGTTGAAGAAATACAAATATTAAGAATGTGTAGTGCTGCATTCACAAAACCGTTTTTATAAGATAGGTTCAGGAGACAGGTCGGGACACCAAAAATCCACAAACCTGGGAAAAAACCAGCAGCATCTACCACCAAAATAAAGCAAATACTTTTCCCCAGAAGATCAGTCCCAAGGCTAGCTCCTTATATCCAGAAACACCCAGCTGCAACCCATCTCTTGCAAACCTCCACCCTCAATTGCTTTCACCCATGAACTCTTACTTACAGATTACTCAACCTTTTAGAACTAAGACTTACATTAACCCTTCCATCACCAACAGCTAGGCCTACCACCACCAACCACCATCAACTGCAGAACATGATACATGACACAGCGGTAAATTGTTGGTTTATTAATCTGTGTTTATTTCTAACCATGTTTATTAGCCTTGCAACTGTCATGACTTTCATCTCATTCTATTCTCTAGGGCGCCGGATGAAGATCATGAGCTAAACTTGGCTCCACAGCTGGGTCTTCCTCTTTTGCAAGCATTTGTAGAATTTGAGAATGGCAATTATGATAAGGCAGTGGAATTGCTGTATCCCATTCGCTACAGAATTGTTGAAATAGGAGGGAGCAACGCCCAAGTGAGAAAAAGGATGTTTGTTTGTTTGTGTTTTCATGTTGACTTTATCCTGTTCAAATTTTGTACCTCAGGGTCGGAGAAAGATAGTGCTTTAAGGGCCAGCACAGTGACAACATTTATACAATTTTGGAGAAAAAAAACTATTAAGTTCTAATTTATTTTTTAGTGATGGTTCTTGTTAGGTCTGTTCCGAGATCTTTTCCCTTACCGCTTCAAAAGCAGAATTGCAGGATAGGGGTTAATGGATGGGTTTACATTTTTACCTCTTGGATGGAACTCTTCTTGATTTGATCCAGTTGTCCAAACCTCAGACGTAGGTGTCTTGTCATCCTTTTCCCTTCTGCCCATTATCCCTTATTCTTAAGTGTATCACAGGGCAGGTATTGTTTAGCTTCAAGGTAAAATGACTCCTCAATTGTCTTTAAGATAACTGCTTCCAGCAGCAATATATTGTGGCATCTGGACTGCAGTATTTTACTGTTGTGCAAACATTTAAAAGGAATTTACAAGCTCACAACGGGTGTGGTTGGATCTATACACCCTAATGCAGTGGGGGAAAATCAATTGTATAACTGTTTCAGTAATTTATCTTGTATTTTAACTTTTTCTCCAGAGAGATGTTTTTGCACAACTGCTAATTCATGCTGCTTTGAAGTGTAAATCTAAAGCTAACCAAAAACTTGCTAGGTAAGTGCCGCCACCTTCTAACAAATACAAATGTCTGAATTTCACTGATAGCTATGCATACCAGTGTTTACTAAGGAGGAAATGGACAACATTTATTTTTAGAGAGGATGTGGAAATGCTTAGTCAAGTTGATTGCTTAAAGGGGCTTTGCAAAAAGTGTGATGTGGGGCAGAGATCCTACTTCATCCTCCTACATCTTACAGATTTTGGGTGTCATGTTCCCTTTCACTATAGTTATTAGACTGTCAGTACATAATAAGCCTCTGGTTGCGCAGCGGGTTAAACTGCTGAGCTGCTGAACTTGCTGAGTGAAAGGTCAGTGGTTCAAATCCAGGGAGTGGGGTGAGCTCCAGCTGCTAGCCCCAGCTTCTGCCAACCTAGCAGTTCAAAAACATGCTAATGTGAGTAGATCAATAGGTACTGCTCAGGCGGGAAGGTAATGGCGCTCCATGCAGTCATGCCGGCCACATGACCTTGGAGGTGTCTATGGACAACTTTTATTTATTTATTTATTTCATATTTTTCTATCTTAGCCTTCTCCCCACAAGGGGGACTCAGGGCGGCCTCACATGATGCTTGCAACGTATACATCATAAAAATACAATTAAAACAGTAAAACGGTAAAAATATCTTGTAAACATCACACAAATCAGCCAATAAATTCATTTAACAATAATATTAGAGTGCCAGTAAAACCAAAAAACAGAGCCAGCTCTTCAGTTGTCTTCTAAAGGACAGGAGGGAGGTAGCCAACCTGATGTCCTTAGGGAGGGAATTCCACAAACGGAGGCCACTGCCGAGAAGGCCCTGTCTCTTGTCCCCATCAGTCGCATTTGCGAAAGTGGTGGGATTGAGAGCAGGGCCTCTCCTTAAGCTTTGTGATGGTTCATAATAGGAGATACGTTCGGACAAGTAATCTCGGCCATTTCTAAGCTCTTCAGCTTAGAAATGGAGATAAGCACCACCTCCCAGAGTCGGACACGACTAGACTTAAAGTCGAGGGGAAACCTTTACCTTTACATAATAATGTATCTTACTTGTTATTGTGAAATGGTCCTCAGCTCGTAGCTACCAGTTCAAAAATACTTGCCTTCCTATTTGTTGTCTTCCCACCGCCTACAGGAAAAAGTTGTGGGAAGAACTATTGCTCTTTAAGCAGAGGAAAGCCTTTATCATCTTCAGAGATTACTCGCACTTTGCTTTAAAGTCTCATATTTACTGAAGAGTCGCTGTGTGTGTGTTGCCTGGGTTTGGTTTTAGGACCCCACATAGACACAATCTGTGGATGCTCAAGTCCCATTATATACGATAGCATAGGAAAATGGCACCCCTTGTATGAAATAACAAAATCAGGGTTTATTTGGTTTTGAATATTTTCAAGCCCTGAATGGTTGAATCTGTGGATTTGGAGGACCGACTGTACATATTTTAACAATGGTGTATTTACAGTGTTTATTTATTTATATTCCGCCCTTCTCAAACCGAAGGGGACTGAGGGCGGATCACAGAACATATACACAACAAACATTCAATGCTGTTATACACTGACAAGACAGGCAACTGTACATAGATAGAGGTATATATAGGCTTTCCCATCTTTGTCATCTTGGAGGCTGTGCTCAATTCCGGCCACAAGGGAGTGATGTTGCTCTGTCTTCCCTGTAGAAGAGCTTTGTTCGTAAACTTCCTTCTTTATTGAATTGCCAGCATTTTCCTTATGGGTGCCTTAAATACCTCGCCGCTTTAAAGTGGTACCTATTTATCTACTCACATTTTTTTCAAACTGCTAGGTACACAGAAGCTGGGCTAAAGGCCAGGAGCTTACCCCAACTCGGGCTTCAAACTTTTAACCTTTCAGTTGGCAAGATTTACTCCCACTGGCAGTTAACCTGCTGTGCCAAAGCCCAACGGTTTAGGATAAACACTTGACTGTTTGGCATTCATCCAGTAGCAAAGGAGACATACCAGTGCTTAGGAGGCTTCGGCAGGCTTGAGAACATAAGCCATTCTCAAGCAGTAGTGGTTCCCATTTCATTGTCTCTTGCTATATTTGACTTTATTTCCTTAGTGGAAAAACAATCGTGTCCCTATGTTCTCAAAGTGTAGAAACAGAGCCCACAATCCTGGTTTTCCATGAGAAAGGCACCACCTACACTGCCATATAAAGCAGTTTCTAACTACAGTATCGATGGGGTCTTAAGTAACCAGCAAGAAGTATATGTCAGTCATTCTTCCATAGTCCACTTTTCTAGATCATTTAAAGTAGCATTGTGTGGGTTTCTTATTGGAAAACCACACAATGTTGTGTTGCTTTCTGATATTTTGAATAGGACAGAGAGTAGACTAGAATGTTCCTTTCTCTGTTTATAGTTTGTGAGTCTAACAAAAAATTGAACTCAGCAGTTTATTTTGCTTGTAACTGAAACTACACAAATTTTATCTGAAGAATAAGACGCCTGTAACCATGGGGAATGCGTTCCAAACATGTCGATATGCAGAAATATGGATAATAGTGAATCTTATTGAAATGAAAGACTTCTAGAATCATAGAGTTGGAAGAGACCTCATGGGCCATCCAGTCCAACCCCCTGCCAATGGGCCATCCAGTCCAACCCCCTGCCAAGAAGCAGGAATATTGCATTCAAAGCACCCCTGACAGATGGCCATCCAGCCTCTGTTTAAAAGCTTCCAAATAAGGAGCCTCCACCACACTCCGGGGCAGAGAGTTCCACTGCTGAACGGCTCTCACAGTCAGGAAGTTCTTCCATGTTCAGATGGAATCTCCTTTCTTGTAGTTTGAAGCCACTGAAGACCTCACTCATCAATCAAAACATCCCAGCAAATATCCTCACTGGGCTCTTTCAGACAGGCCCTTTATCCCAGGATCTATTCCCAGTTTTTTTGTTTATCCCAGATTATGTGGTAGTGCAGACTCATAATCCAGGATAGGATCCTGGGATAAAGGGCCTGTCTGGAAGGGGTCTCCATCTTCATGCATGTTTTAAAGAGGTTTATTCAGAACCAGTTCAAAATCTAGTCAGTGTAAATAAAGAAAAAAGCACTAGTTAGAATAGGATTGCTCACGTTTTTTCATGTTGTTGACACAGAAAAAAAAGTTTGATGCTCAAAATAAGATTTTTTTTCTGCTTTAGGTGCCTCCTTATTGAACGTGATGAACTGAGACCAAATTCACCATTAACTGAGCGACTGATGCGGAAAACCACTGCTCTTCATGCCCTGGGATGAACCTTGTCGTCTTGATCAATATATTTCTAATTGACATCTATTATGGCAATTAGTAATTCACACTGTGGAGACACTTTTTACCCAAATCCAAAACAGCCAAGATTTTCAGAACTCTACAGTTCCAAGATTTATTAATATTTGTATCCCACTTGGCTTTTGTGAATGACTAGGGAGCAAGTGGGGGCTGGGAATGAGCAGTGTGATTAACTTTAAAAATGACTAGAAATCTTGATTATTCCAAGGAGTCACAGTGATTACTTGATGATGGGACAATGGAGTCATGGAAGTTTATGCTGGATAAAACATATAGACCCAATCCTTTTGGGAATCTAAAATATAAATTGTTTTGTCAATCTATGTTGCAATTGATGGTTTGGGTACTGGTAACAGAGAGATTTGCCTTACATTCCAAGGGAAGACTATGGGCTCCTCTAACCCAGCAGTGGCTCTACAGGTTTTCAGATTGAATTCTACCTGAAGATGACTGTTATTTCTTAGTAGTCTCCCATCCTATTATTCACTTGTTTCGTTTCTGAAATCAACCAAGATTGGGTGTGGACAGGGTGGTGCTATGGTATATGGATCTCGTAAAATTTTGACTGGCATTTAAAATAAAGTAAACCAAATAATTTTTACACAGACCATAACAACTACAGATCAGTTCTTTTGGTTTTCTTGTCAGTCTATGGTGTTATTGTACGGAATTTGTGACATTCTTTTAGGGAAGTCCACACAACATTACATCTTTCCGTGTTCAAAAATACTTATTCTCAGGCAAAAGTTGGGGGAGAGGGGTTTATGAGGTACTGATGAAAAGGAATTTAAAATCTAGATCAAATATGAAATCCTGTAAGCAGTGAAAAATTTACGTATATTCCGGCATATAAGACGACTGGGCGTATAAGACGACCCCCAACTTTTCCAATTAAAATATATTGTTAAGACAATTCCCATGCATAAGACTACATCCGCGTATAAGACGACCCCTGACTTTTGAGAAGATTTTCTTGGGTTAAAAAGTAGTCTTATACGCCAGAATATACTGTACTTAATAAATGAAAGATTTCACAGTAATGAAGCATGTCTGCATGTCCAAAACAAATGCTGATTGATAGAGAGAGGTGGCACAGTTGGTTAAACCTTTGTGCCGGCTGAACTGAAGACCTGAAGTTCAGCAGTTCGAATCCCATCTTGTCAGCCCCAGCTTCCCATGCGGAGATATGAGAGAAGCCTCCCACAGGATGGTAACACATCCAGGTGTCCCCTGGGCAACGTCCTTGCAGATGTCTAATTCATTCACACCAGAAGCGACTTGCAGCATATTCTCAATTCACTTCTGACACAATAAAAAAATTGATGGATGTAGTCTGGGTATTCACTCTCTCCACCACAAAAACAAATTCCATTTGATAAAGACTCAACCAGCATTTTAGTTGGAATCCCATTATAATGAGTGGCTGGAGAGGGAGATGGCTGCTCACAATACTTCAAGAATGTGTGTTTCCTTTATGCTTGCTTTGAATGCAGATAAACCACCAGCTTGGGGGATGTGTACAAGAATGCATATTCTCAAACTAAATGCACAGCTGTTGAATGAGGGCTAACAACTTGTTCTCTTTTTTAAAATGAAAGCTAAAGATTTCAAGTGGAGTCCTGCTACCAGTAAAACATGACCCTGTTTAACACCTCCATACATTTGTAGGTTTTGTTTTTATGTTGCCTTTAAAATCTCATTGCCCTGTTTCTCAAAGGAAGGGAAGTTTGGAACCTACCAGTTAATGAAGTTTTTGAAGTAATATTACTATTACTATAAGCCAAGGGTCTTCAAACTTTTTAAACGGAGGGCCAGGTAACAGTCCCTCAAACTGTTGGAGGGTCAGATTATAATTTGAAAAAAGCATGAATGAATTCCTGTGCACACTGCACATAATTTATTTGTAGTGCAAAAAACACTTAAAAACAATACAATAATTAAAATGAAGAACAATTTAAACAAATATAAACTTATTAGTATTTCAGTGGGAAGTGAGGGCCTGCTTTTGGCTGATGAGATAAGATTGTTGTTGTTGCTGTGTGCTTTCAAGTCATTTCAGACTTAGGTTGACCCTGAGCGAGGGCCGGGTAAATGACCTTGGAGGGCCGTATGTGGCCCTCGGGCCTTAGTTTGAGGACCCCTGCTATAAGCGATCACTCATGGCCAAGTATAATTGTCTTCCAAGGGAGAGTCTTCACGATGGGTCCGGTCTGTACGTGACTATAGAGACCAATTCTGGGTCCACATGATCTTTCACAATGAGGACATACATTTCCAGATGGAAGGCTGTCACAGCAAGGCTTTGTCTTCCTCTCAGCATGTTTTCCCCTCTAGTTGTACCTCCTCAAAATCCACAGCACTACTGGTAACAGCTAACCTCTAGTTAGGACACTCGAGGGCCAAGGCTTTACAGTTCTCAGTGTTTAATCCTCATTTTTAAAGGTTCGCATTAAGCCCATCTTTAAATCTCTTTTGTTGTCCTCAATGCATTCTATTTTCCACTCTTGAGCTGAGAATAAAGGAACTGCTTTAGGAGACAGTAGTCAAGTATTCGGATATTGCGGACAGGCCCTCAAAGTTGATGGTAGGAAGTCATCACTTCAATGCTGGTGGTCTTTGCTTCTTCCACAATGCTAATGTTTGTCTTCCCAAGAGATTTGCAGGATTTTTTGGAGGCAATGCTGATGGAATCATTCCTGAAGTCAAGTAGACGGTCCATGTTTTACAGGCGTACAATAGAGTTGGAAGAACAATAGCTTTATAAACAAGCATCTTGCTATCCCTATGAATGTCCCAGTCTTCAAACACTCTCTGCTTGATTCAGAAAAAGCATCAACATGCTGAATGCTTCATACTTTTAATTACAGGGTGAGGCAGCATAACTTCCTTTTTTAAAATGCGCACCATTCAGTCGGTTGAAGACATAGCGGAGTGCTAGTGATCTCGTTCGAGAGGCGGGAGTATAAAGTTTTTTCCTGACACAGTTCAGTCACCATCATGCGTTGGAACGGTGAGGAACGTGCTTTTGCCGTCGAGGCCTACTTTTCAAGTGGATTTGGAGTGGCTGGCCTGCTCTCCAGATTTGGCCCCTTCTGATTTTTTTCTATGGGGTTTTTTGAAATCCCATGTTTATGTGAACCGTTCAAGGACCCTACAAGATTTGAAGACCAACATCCAGGAAGAAATTTATTTATTTATTTATTTATTTATTTATTTATTTATTTATTTCGGTTGCTTCTACCCTGCCCTTTTCACCCCGAAGGGGACTCAGGGCGGCTTACAAAAGCAAGGCACAATTTGATGCCCGCATCATATAACAACAATAAGACAAAATAACATCCATTAAGAGAAAACAGCAATTCTAGCAATACATCAATTAACAGAAACGATTCTTGCAAGGCGAAAACAACCATAAAACCAGTAACAGCAATAAAACAAATACAAACCATTTCTCCTTATTGACGGTCAGTGTTTCGCAATCTCATAGTTCAAATTCCAATTCCACAATTGTCAGTCCTGTCAGTCCTATCCATCTGGTTGTCCATATCTAGTTGTCAGATTGCCCGAAGGCCTGGTCCCACAACCACGTCTTTACCTTTCTCCTGAAGGAGAGGAGGGATGTTGATGCCCTAATTTCCCCCGGGAGTGAGATCCACAGGTGAGGGGCCACCACTGAGAAGGCCCTGCTCTTCATCCCTACCAACCTCACTTGTGATAGCGGTGGGGTCGAGAGCAGGGCCTCCCCAGATGATCTCAAATTCCGGGGTGGGACGTAGAGAGAGATACGTTCGGACAGATACACTGGACCGGAACTAACGCCTGCTATGCTGGCAAGAGTCATGACAAACGCCAGAAATTGGTTTACCCAGTGTATGGAGAATGGGGGACGTCACCTACCTAATTTGATCTTGAAAACTATGTAAAACAAAACTTTAGGTATGCGCATACATTATAAAAAAAATCTGATTCATACAATGGGTTTTATTAAGTTTTGAAAAAAGGAAATTATGCTGCCTCACCCTGTATTTCTTTGTAATCTCACACCCCTTGCTTATAAAAACACTATAAAGAAGAAGCCAAAATAAGAATGTGCTAGAACAAAAGTGAAACTGCCACCAATTAAAACACTCCACAAAGTATAAAGTTATTTAATATAAGGCTTTTATAATTGGCTGATTCTAGATTGCTTGAGTTACAATAACAGGAGAAGCGTGTCTTAATTACAGAGACACTACATTTGCAAATACGGCACTTCAACGTTTATTACAGTCCATAGACCCATCAGTGAACAAACAGTCATTAAAATATTCTCCCATTTGTAAATACGGCACTTAGTGATTGTAAAGCTGTATAAATGTAGCTACTGCTTTTAACCTGAGACACCGTATCACACACTATCCTCTAACCAACTTGCTACCTTGGGGGGTGTCAGAACTGTGTCACTACCTGTGATTTCATGAACAGAATGGTGTGGAGGTGGGCACCAGAGTTCAGAATCCAAGATGGCACCCACTCTATGCTGGCATCTCCTCCTCTGCCTGCGTTGGCTATGTCCTCTGTGTCTGCTGTGTGTGAAATGCAGAAGACACAGCTAGCACTTTGTAGACAGGGTGGCACCACCACAAGGAGCAAACTACATGTTCTGAAATGCATCTGGACCTCGCAGGCCACATAAACTTACGTGGTGGGAATTAGGTTTGACACATATGTCTTATACCCATCCAGGATACTAGAGTTAAATAATTATTTTGAAAATCGAAAAACAGCACCCTTTATGTGATTGATCCATGTTGCCTACTGAAATTCAGAATCTTTAGATAAGTTTCATAGCAAAAGATTCTGGCTCGGAACAGATGCTGTGCAAAACTATGTGTAAATAATGAAAGAGTTATGTTTTCGGTCTCAGAAATCAAATGATACGAAACTTTATGCTATGGATTCAACATATTTGAGTAACATTCACACCATGTTGCTAGGCCACTGGAATATAGATTACTACAACCAACCTAGTCATCTGGGGAGGAAAAGTTGAACTGTACCAGAGTTAAGAAGAATATATTCCGATACAAACTTCCAGATGTCTCTGGTACAACGAAAATATCCGTGTAGTAGGACAGAAAATACCAGTCAAGGTCTGTCCTACACATTATTTGATGGATTAGATGCCCATCAACGCATTAAAAATGAAAACATTCAAGGGACTCTTAAAGTTTCCCTTAATATATGAAATCAATTACAGATATATTGAAAATGCAGTGGTTCTCGTGACTTATTAATACTATAATTAAGTACGCCATGATCTTTTTTTTTTGCTGTATCTTGACTCTGCTAACATAAAGAGAATATGATCACTACCTTCCTCAAACAACACTGATGCAACATTTCTTAATAATTTTAAGGTACAGTGCAGCCCCTGTATGCAGAGAAAATGTGTTTCAAGATGGATAATAGTGAACCCTGTATTTTGATTTTACTTTGAATGCAAACAGAATTGCACTGAAAGACAGAGAGGCCCACAATTACTTCTGGGCTGAATATTTTTTTAGAAAATGGGTAAGTAAAAGCATAGCTATCTAATCAGTGGATAACGGGAGCATATTATATATGTTGCTCCCATAAAACCTGTTAAGTATAAACATTACTGCAACTAACAGTTTTTTCCAGTCAATTATGATAAAATGCATTTCTTTTCTTCTTCACTATAATAAATCATATAGGCAGGATAAATCTGGTGCTTCTCAAAAATGACAAAGATGGATGGGTCCATCATCTTATCCACACAACTGTCATAATACTGGAGCAATCCAATTGATTTTGCTGGTGGACGACTGTAATTTGCGTTGCCTAAAATGAAGTTGCCAACCAGGACCTGAGCCACAAACATCACCTTTATCTTTTCATCACGCTGGCAATAGTTATGAGAATACCGTGCATCTCTGGCAAAGTAGCTCCCTAGGAAGAAAAAAATATGTGTGTTAAAATATGTTCAAACAGATCAGCCTTTCTCAACCTTCTTCCATCCAACTCAACTGGGCTTAAAACTCCCATCATTATCAGCATGGCCAAGTCACATTGAGAAAAGTGGGTTGTAGGTTTTTCGGGCTATATGACCATGTTCTAAAGGCATTCTCTCCTGATGTTTCGCTTGCATCTATGGCAAGCATCCTCAGAGGTAGTGAGGTAGTAGTGACCTCACTACCTCTTGAGGATGCTTGCCATAGATGCAGGCGAAACATCAGGAGAGAATGCCTCTAGAACATGGCCATATAGCCCGAAAAACCTACAACAACCCAGTGATTCTGGCCATGAAAGCCTTCGACAATACATGTGAAAGTGTTTAGCACTGAAAGACTACAGTGTTAGTGATCAAATCTGACCCAACTATACATTACTTACATTAAACTTTTACGTAAGAAGTGGAAGGAGCAGCATCTGAATGAACCTGAAATAGTAATCCTAATGAACTGGAGGACTTCTATGGTTGGGTGCGAGTTTAAATTTTCATAAAGCTCACCCTGAGATCTTGACCTGTCACCAGCAATTAGCCTAACCCACTTAACAGGGTTTTTAAAAAAATGTTTTTTAACACCCACAATACACATTACAAACATGTACACATACACATATTTATTTATTTACTTGCTACATTTATACGCCGCCCCTCTCACCCCAAAGGGGACTCAGAGCAACTTATGTTAGTAGGTAAAGGTTGTCCCCTGACATTAAGTCCAGTCATGTCTGACTCTGGGGTGTGGTGCTCATCTCAATTTCTAAGCCAAAGAGCCGACGTTGTCCGTAGACACCTCCAAGGTCATGTGGCCAGCATGACTGCATGGAGCACCATTACCTTCCTGCCGGAGCGGTACCTATTGATCTACTGACATTTACATGTTTTCAAACTGCTAGGTTGGCAGAAGCTTAAGCAGACAGCGGAAGCTCACACCGCTCCCCAGATTCAAACCTGCGACCTTTCGGTCAACAAGCTCAGTGCCTTAACCTACTGTGCCACCGGGAGCTCTTCAGAGCAGCTTACAAGTTATAATTGTTTCAGATTTGGGCACTATTTTCTTTGGACATCATTCTGGTCTTGATGTAATACAATTAAGACACAATAGGTGTTGCTATGTCCAGGCAGCTAGGCTGTTGAAGTACTGACTATAATATGAGAAGAGATGCTTGTTTCTCCTTGTAAGTCTTGTATGATGTGAATATGGCTGGCTTTGAGTACTAAGCCGCTCACTCAACTAATAAGATAATTCAGGTATGCTCTATAAGCCTATTAGAACATAGAGGGCCTTCACTCTGCCCTACCACCCTCTATCCCTTGTCTGCAGGGAACACAGGAAAGGGTCTTCCAAACTTTTTAAAGACACTAGGATGGCCCCATCCCCACTCATCTTTTGTCTCTCTCTGTGCAGCTAATGTCATCAAGATTGGAGGCAGCAACGGCAAAGAGGGAAGAAGCCCTGTGTGCCAGGAGCATGAGGTGGGGGCTTTCCATTACTTCTCCATTGCTGTCGTCTCACACTTCTGGCACACAAGACTTCCCATCTCCCCATCCCCTCACAGCTTTAGGAGGGATAGCTAATATTCCAGAGGACAGGATCAGAATTCAAAATGACCTTAACAGATTAGAGAGCTGGGCCAAAACTAACAAAATGAATTTCAACAAGGACAAAAGTTAGAGACTACACTTAGGCAGAAAAAATGAAATGCAAAGATACAGAATGGGTGACCATCTGGCTTGACAGGGATCTTGGGAGTCTTCGTTGACAAGAAAGTGAATATGAGCAAACAATGTGATGCTGCAGCCAAAAGAACAGTGAATTTTGGGCTGCATCAGAAGGGGTATAGTGTCTAGGTCAAGGGAAGTCATGGTGCTTCTCCATTCTGCTTTGGGCACCACAATTCAAAAGAGATATTGACATGCTGAAACTTGTCCAGAGGATGACAATTAAAACCACTGAAGATCTGGAGACCAGGCCTTCTAAGGAGCATCTTAAAGAGCTGGGTATGTTTAGCTTACTGAAGAGAATGTTGAGGGGAGACATGATAGCCATGGATAAATATATGAAAGGATGTCATAAGGAGGGAGCAAGCTTGTTTTCTGCTACCCTGGAAACTAGGACTCGGATCAATGGGTTTAAATGACAGGAGAGTCCGCCTGAACATAAAGAAGAACTTCCTGACTGTATGGGCTGTCTGGCAGTGGAACTCTCTACCTTAGATTGTAGTGGAGGCTCCTTCTTTGGAGGCTTTTAAACAGACTGGATGGCCATCTGTCAGGGGTACTTTAATGATGCTTTTCCTGCATGGCAGGGGGATGGACTAGATGGCCATGAGATCTCTTCCAACACTAATTCTATAAACTTGTGTGTGTGTGTGTGTGTGTGTGTGTATTTTAATATTTAGTGTTGGCCGCCTTGAGTCCCTATATTGGGGGAAAAATGAGAAAGTAAATATACTACACTGAGCTGCTGAGAGGAAGAGCATGGCAACAAGTACTCTTAAAATTATCTATTACATGGCGATGGATCTCTAGTAAAGGAATTGCAGAAATTTCAGATCTTTTGAACTGATTATGAAGTCCCTAACAAATATAAAAGAGGATGGAGCATGAAGCAGTAAATCAAGAGTTTATGCTTTCAGTTCAGTTCTCCTTCAGTTTGGCCATGACATGTTCATCAGCTTTTCTTTAGGCCTGGCTCCCAATCCCTAAACCTGGCTTTTCACATGTTAATCCCCTTCAGCTTTCACATCATCAAAGAAGAGAAGAATCCCCTCAAAAATTATTGTTGGGAATGACTTGAAAGCACACAAAAATTATTTTCTTAATCTGGGGTTGGGACTCTAGAGGGATCGCCAAAGACCATCAGAAAGCACGGTATTTTCTGATGGTCATGGGGGTTCTGTGTGGGAAGTTTGGCTCAATTCTATCATTGATGGGGTTCAGAATGCTCTTTGATTGTCATTGAACTATAAATCCAAGCAACTACAACTCCCAAATGTCAAGGTTTATTTTCCCCAAACTTTACCAGTGTTCCCACTTGGGCATATTGAGTATTCATGCCAAGTTTGGTCCAGATTCATCATTGTTTGAGTCCACAGTGCTCTCTGGATGTAGGTGAACTACAACTCCAAAACTCAAGGTCAATGCCCACCAAACCCTTCCAGTATTTTCTGTTGGTCATGGTAGTTCTGTGTGCCAAGTTTGGTTCAATTCCATCATTGGTGGAGTTCAAAATACTCTTTAATTGTAGATGAACTATAAAGTCTGGCAACTGCAATTCCTAAATGACAAAACCGACCCACCCCCAACCCAACCCAACCAGTATTCAAATTTGGGCGTGCAACGGAGTCCACTGCAAGCCGGCACCAAATTGTAAAAGGCTCTTGTATTTATATCACTGGATGCCACCCTATTTGTGTTGTGAGGTAATTATGAGATTGGGTACACCGAGCGTAGGATAAATAGAGGTGAGGCAGTTTTAAAAACCAAAGAGAACAAGTTTATTTGAAACAAAGCGTATGGTTGCAGTTTGATGTTAAGCTTGGCAAATACTTAGAGAACGATACATGTAACTTGGTTGTGATACAGTTCAGACTTTCGATGTTACAACTTATGAAACTCTTGCTGTGGTGAAGCACTTCAATAAACAATGTTTTACTGTGGTGAATAGTCTCCCCGTTTGATTCTTCTATGATCAAACACCAGATCTCTAGTTCTTTAACTAGGGATCTAAACAAGCCTTTGTTAGTTCTTTCTAACTAAAGAAACTAATAAGGTTTTCCTCTTCAGCTTTCCTAACTGAAGAAATCTCTGACTATTCACGAACACTGTTTCTCTCCTAACTCTTCCCTTCTCAGAGTCTCTCTCCTGACTCTTCCCTTCTCAGAGTCTCCAACCTGACTCTTCCCTTCTCAGAGTCTCCAACCTGACTGACTCTTAACTGTCGCTTTTCAAAAACACTCTTCTCTAAGCTCCTCCCACTCCTCTGCAGCATCGTTTCCATGGTAACGTACTCCTCACAGCTAGGCTGCTCCAGCCTTAGGGCAATCAATGCAAACATAAATACAGTTATAATCATATTATTATAATCACTTCTGTACAGGGCGTATTGGGTATTTGTGCCAAATTTGGTCCATTGAATGAAAATACATCCTGCATATCAGCTATTTACATTATAATTCATAACAGTAGCAAAATTACACTTGCAAAGTAGCAACGAAAATAATTTTATGGTTTGTTGTAGGTTTAAAATAATTTTATGGCTTGGGCTCACCACAACATGAGGAGCTGTATGAAGGGGTCGTGGCATTAGGAAGGTTGAGAACCACTGTCTTAACTGGTAAGTATCCCTGATTATTTCACCCATACATAATCCAAAGGAGATCAATTTACTCCATAAATACTACTCTTTCCTGGAAATATTGAAAGGGGAACTTACTGGTGCCACATTCAACATAATAATAATAATAATAATAATAATAATAATAATAATAATATTAAATTTATACCCCGCCTCCATCTCCCCAAGGGACTTAGAGTGGCTTACATGAGGCCAAGCACAACAACACATCAATAAACAAGAAAACAATAAACAAAAAAATATCAACAATACAGTTAAATAAATCACATATAAACATTAACATGCAAGAATTTAAAAACCTATGGCTGGGCCGGATGTAATAGTTAAAAGTTAAAAAATAAACAATGGGCATGAACAAGGAAGGATATATATTTAATAGGAGGGTTTTAAAGACATTTTTAAAGACATGTTTTAAAAAACATCCTACCTTTTCCAAATACTGTTCCGTTGGTCCCACAAATTCGCCAGTCAAAATTGTCATTGCAGATGGCTTTTATATTATTAGTGTTTGTCCCATGGAACAGGAGTCGCTCATCAACATCCTGCCCTCCATTTTTCTTCTTCATCTGATCTTTTTGCCTGATATAAAACAAATAATTCTCATGTCTAGTGAAGTCAAATCTGCCAACACTAGTTTCCCCTCCAGTTGTAACAATCCTTTAAGAGTAAATTAATGGCATTGGAAAGCTTCCCAAGGGCATGCCTGGTGCTTCTACCAGTGCCACAAAACCACAAAATAACTGTCATCTTACACTATTCTGGTATGGCTGTACCAGGAGCTCCAATTTTTTTTTCTTTCTTTGAGTGTTTGCATGTATTCCAAGGTTCCATGCATTTTGCATTAAGGCGGCTTCCCTTGGTTTGCAATTATGGGGCCAATGCCCATCAATTATCATTAGGTTCTTTAGTTCTGCCCCTTTTTCTGGGTTTAGGAGGGAAAAGGGAGACCTCTAGTTCACACAGAGAAGCCTTTCGTACAGAACGTGAATCAGTTCCACCTGTAGAAAGCTTTGTCTTTTACAGCTTTTGCTGGGGGGATCCAGTCCCACAGCTCTACAGCTTTTGCTGGGGGGAATTCAGTCCCACAGCTCTACAGAGAAGCATAGCCTTTGCTGGGAGGATCCAGTCCCACAGCTTTACAGCCAGCCTTTGCTGGGAACTGAAGACCTTCATTCCTCTTGGAAATCTACAAAAGGACTGTTTGGTAAGGACCACTCGTGGCAGCCATAACGCAATTTGGATCGGGTGTAGGGGCCCACGCCAGCAGAGCCTAAGACAGATTGCCCTGGTAGAGGTCAAGGATTTCCCTTTTAGAGAAGAAACAGTTCATGAAGATAGTTGCCTGTCCCTTGTGGACAAGATTAAGAAAGCCACCAGTTGATTCAAAGCCTTGAAGTATTTGTTTGATTTATTGAAGACCTAAGCAATAATAAAGAACTTTGTTAAACTTTCCAAGTTTCTAAAGACTTTGTTTAGGGAAATCCAAAGGGCCTCTAATCCGAGGCACCCCCGGCGTCCCGTTGGGCATAAAGAACACGTCCTGTCTGCAGGCCTTTTCACAGGCCCAGAGTGTGACAGCACATACACAATAAATATATTCATACCCACATGCCCATTTTATTATTTATTTTACTTTGCTTATATACCGCTGTTCTCAGCCCGGGGCAACTCACAGCGGTGTAAGCTGAGGAACTTGTCCTCCAGATGTTTGGACTTCAACTCTGAGAAACCCAAGCACTAATAATAAGACAGTAGCCCCAAACCTTCAAGGTGAAAGGATCCCCACCTTTGCTCAAAAAGAAAATGTGGGCACTGTGTCTCTTTCTCAGTGTTGTTGGTCTGAAAATGGCAACATAATCAACACTGAACATGCTAACCATTTTGGCAAGCCACTGTACAACTACCAGGTCTGAAGAGGTCACATCATACAAAGTTTCTAGTCCAGATCTGGGCATCTTGACCCCCTAAAGAAAATTTGGAAAACTATTTGCATGCTTCCGTGTGATATGTAGATTGTCTTCCAGAATTTCCTTGTAAAATAAGCCAGAATAACATGATAAAAAACAGATACAAACCACTGGAAGATTTCCCAAAGTGATGGGTTCTGAATCCTTGTTATTTTCTTGATGACATAATTGTCCATTGTCTTTTGAAAGACAGTCTCAATTTTAATGTATTCAGGTAATCCTTTGGTGAGTTCAATAGCCTAAAATCACAAGATGTCAGGTGACTTTCGTGAAAATGGAACATCCTGCACATGTAGCTGACAAAATACCAGAAAGCAAGAACATTTTCTGCATGAGAACAAATGCAGTAATGCCAATAGTGCTGCCAGATAGCCCTGTTTAGCTTGTAAATTACATTTACATCCTCTTCCCCAGTAAACCGGGGATGGACCAGTTTGTGGCGCAGCTGGTTGCGAGTCAGCTGCATTAAAATCACTACTGACCGAGAGGTCATGAGTTCAAAGCCAGCCCAGGTCAGAGTGAGCTTCCACCCATTTATCGAACTTTCTGTGGACCTTTGAAGCCCGAAAGACAGTTGCATCTGTCAAGTAGGAAATTTAGGTACCGCTTATGCAGGGAGGCTAAGTTAATTAATTTACGATGCCATAAAACTCTCCAGCAGCCTGCAAAAAAATGAGGAAGGACTTCATTAGTGTCACAAGTGGATGGTGAAGCGGCAGCTCCCCCGGTGGCCAGAATTCAAAAAGCATACCCTCATGAAGCTGGAAAGTTAAGTAGTCTCTGTGTGTATATATGTTGTGTGTCTATGACACTGAATGTTTGCCATGTATATGTGCATTGTGATCCGCCCTGAGTCCCCTGCCAGGTGAGAAGGGCGGAATATAAATACTGTAAACAAATAATAAATAAATACTAAACTCGAAGTGTCCTACATGACTCATTTTTCCTTATTGTTCCAACCCTAGTCACCTAGCAAGTTTGAGGACTTAATGAGGATTACAACCTGAGTCTCCCAACACCAAGTCCTGCATATCGACACTTCAATCCTATGTCCTATTCTTTGCACCAGTTTTTCATGGGATCTCTCCCACCAAAATCATACATATTATCATACAACATGTGACACTTTCTTACAGATTGATTCTTATTTTACAGTATTAGGACACAAGACTAAAAGGATATGAATTCTCCAATTAAGAGTACAACTTACTTTACTAGAGAGTAAACTCCATTTGAATCAAATACATCTTCAAATAACCTTTCTGAGGCCCATTTTTAGAGATCCACAAAACATTTCTTCCTTTTAAAGTAGAGGGGCCATACAGAAAATGCCCTACCACCTCAATTGCATATATATTTCATTTATTATATTAATAACCCATCTTCAACCATGAAACTAGAGACACTATATTCAAGGCCTTCAGGTCAATTCCCTGGCCAGATGCTTGGCTTCAGTGATCTGGGCAACACCACTGAAGAAGGATATTTACAAGCTGGAAAGTGCCAGAGAGTGTGACCAATATGGCAAAAGGTCTCCAAGGTATACTGAGCCTGGAGAAGAGAAGGTTAAGAGGTGACAGGATAGCCACATTTAAATATTTGAAATGATGGTATATTGAGGATGAAACACACTTGTTTTCTGTGGCTCCAGAGACTAGAACATACAGCATTTGATTCAAACTGCAAGATAATGCCATAAAGAAAAATACCCTCTTCCTTAGGACATTATTTCAGACATTTGAACATGGCTCTCATGTCTCTTCTCAACATTCTCTTCTGCAGGCTAAACAGACCCAGTTATTTAAACCGGTCCTCATAGCAGTTATTCATGGTCTTCAGGCCTTTCATCAATTTAGTCACCCTCTTCTTCTGGACACCTTCTAGAGTCAATATTTCTTAAATTGCCTTGCCCAGAGTTGGACACAGTGTGATTCCAGGTAAAGAGGTCTGACGAAAGCTGAAAAGAGAAGCACCATGACTTCATAAGATATGGACAAGAGACTCCTTTGTATGCAGCCCAAAATCCCATTGGCTTTTTAGCTGCTGGATCACTCTAGGCCAGCGTTTCTCAACCTGGGGGTCAGGACCCCTAGGAGGGGTCACGAGGAGGTGTCAGAGGGGTCACCAAAGACCAACAGAAAACACAGTATTTTCTGTTGATCGTTTGGGGTACTGTGTGGGAAGTTTGGTACAATTCTATCATTGGTAGGGTTCAGAATGCTCTTTGATTTTAGGTCAACTATAAATCCCAGCAATTACAACTCCAAATTACAAAATAACCCCCCCCCCCCAAAGTTGGGCATATCAGGTATTTGTGCCAAATTTGGGCCAGTGAATGAATATACATTCTGCATATCAGATATTCACATTACAATTTATAAAAGTAGTAAAATTACAGTTATGAAGTAGCAATGAAAATTATTTTATGGTTGGGGGTCACCACAACATGAGGAACTGTATTAAGGGGTCACGGGATTAGGAAGGTTGAGAACTACTGCTCTAGGCAGTTCAACTTGTTGGATTGTATGATTTTAATGTTTATATTGATATGTTTTTAATTCCATGTTTTAATGTTAAATGATGTCATGTTTTATGATTTAAATGATAATTGTATGTTATTGTTATGTTAGGTTTCTGTACGCGAGGCATTACATTTTGCCATAATTATGTTGGAAACTGCTTTGAGTCCCCCGCAGGAGTGAGAAAAGTGGTATACAAGTGAAGTAAATAAATAAATAAGATATTCCCGCGAAACATCATGAAGATACTAAGAGCTGTTCACCAGTGGAATATCTTGTCTCAGAGTCCTCTTATTTTGAGGTTTTAAAACAGAGATTGGCTGACAATCAGGAAGGCTTTGAGTGTGTATTCCTGCAAGGCAGAATGGGGTTGGACTGGATGACCCTTATGCCTGATATTGATTTGCATTTTTAAGCAAAGCAGTATGAAAAGATAGCAGAAATTGTACTTAGTAGTACTTTGTGCACAATTGATCATATAAGGTGTTTATTTTTGAAGCAATCCAAACTAAAGATTAGGAAGAAATTGAGTACTTGACTATATAGTAGAATATCACTTATCCAACATAAACAGGCTGGCAGAACGTTAGATAAGCTAAATGTTGGATAATAAGGAAGGATTAGGGAAAAGTCTATTAAATGTCAAAATATGTTAAGCTTTTACAAATTAAGTACCAAAACATAATGTTTTACAATAAATCAACAGAAAAAGCAGTTCAATACATGATAATGTTATGTAGTAATTATTGTAATTTAGCACCATTGTGGATCTGGGCAGGAGGCAGACTGCGTTGGATAATACAGAACGTTGGATGAGCGAAGGTTGGATAAGTGAGACTCTGTTTTCCTGGGATTATATGATCCTATAATCCCAGGAATCTTCTATGGTGGGTCTACACAACTTGGATCTTGTGGAGGGCCAAGATTTCCCCACAAATCCTTCTGCAGACTACACCTCCTCCCCCTCCCTGCCAAAAGGAAAGTATTGCTCCTTCCTCACCCTTCCCATGGGAAGATCTGCATAAGCAGGCATGTAGCTGGGGGGGGGGGCTTGAGGGGCTTCAGCCCCTTCCCCTGAAATTCTCAGGGTGGTCTGTGAGAAAGCCTTACTGGCACATTATTTAAATTGTTTATTCATGTTTATTCATATCATGATCTGATCACCATGCTCAATATATCCCATATGTATGGGGGTATTAGGATAAAGATACAAAATGTTTGCTAGGGTAGATCCTCCAATCCTGGCTACGGGCCTGTGCATAAGCAATGTAGTTATGGTGCTTCTCTGTAATTCCTAGCCCTATTCCCCCATTTTCCACTTTCCAGCAAGTAACTGCTGCAATTGAATGAGGTCTATATTTGTTATTCAGGAAGTAGCTGTCATTTGTACATCTTCCCAGTGTGACAGGCAGAAGTAGGATTCCTGTCACATTTCCTTATGCAGGAGATGACCTGCACAAGCTGCTTCCCCATTGATTGCAGTGGGAATTGCCCAACCTGGGGGACATTTTCACCATGTTTTTACCAACCTCCAGGAATTTTGGGCCCATGAGAGGCTTTTTAATAGAAGAAAATGGTTAAAAATGATATCTAGATCACTTCCTGCTGCAAAAAATATCACCTGGTTTTGTTTTTTTTTAAAGCCTGGGTGCAAAAACATGTCAGAAAACAGGCAAAGATAGAAGACCTTGCCCCTGCAATGTTCCCTATAGACAGAAACTGCTGTGAGTTTCATGGCTGCACAGTGATAAAGAATCGGGCCCACAGAAAACACTATCACACATGCTGAGTGGAATGCGGAGTTCACATTACTTCACACATTTGAACAGCGGTTGGAAAAAACAAGTTTCAAATCTCTTCCACAAAAATCAGTTAACTAGTTACCTTGAATCCAATTGAAGGTAATGCTGATTTGTCCCAGTGGCTAGGATAGTTGGGTGATGGAGGTGGGGTGGTAGCAGGCACTTGAGCTGAATAGGCGGTGTGCCTGTTTACACAACAAAAGAAAAAAATGGATGAGAACTACTGACCCTCTTGCTAGATGAACGACATTAGATTCAACAGACAGCAATGGCTGAGGACTAGCCTTGCTGCATTTCCTAGTTACTTTCTTTTCCTACTACTTTCTTCTATTGTGTTTGGCTTAAGTCAATGGAGCCTTAGACACACCACACTAATTTGGTACCTATGGCCTTTTCTTGAACAAAAACGCTACACAGCTGCAATATCTCAAAAATTTAGCTTGTTTCCAAATAGATGGGAGGAAGAAAATATTCAGACAGATTCTAAAGTTCATCCAGGATCCCTCCTCTCCCAAAACAGCCTATGTTGTTGCCAGAGTGGCTTTGGGCCACGAATTGATATTACACAGTTCATTATCTGTAAGAGGCATCTCACTGACATTATTAGCAAAAGGTCTAGATGCCAACTCTGCTAGTTTGTCTCTGTCCCCAGAATGACTTCCTTCTGGGAGGCATGCCAAAAAAAGTCTTGAGTGTGGATACTTGGCAAAGTTGGGCATGGCTGCAGGGCTCCGGACTGCCAAAGGGCATGAAATCACATTGCGGGAGGTGGGAGAGAGAATCTCATTCTTCATATCCTTGGCATTTCTGGGGATGTCTCTCGTTTTGGAAAGGTTTGCTGAAAGGATTTTCAGAGGTTTGAGGGAAAAGAACAATTCTGTTTTGAATCTGCAGTTTTGGGAACCACTCCGAGTTGCCTCTGGGCTTAGAGGGGTGGTATATAAATGTGGTAAATAAATAAACACAGCAAAATGCTCTGGAATTTACTTGAGTCTTTTGGCTGGATGTGATGCCAGAATTGCATAAGCTATTGTGTAAATGAATCCTCTGCAGGAAAAGATGAAATGAGGCATGTTAAGTTGTCCCCTTTCAAGAGCTCCTTAATGCAGCTATGTTCTGAATATACAGAATTATTATTGATTCCTGTTGTTGTTCATTCGTTCAGTCGCTTCCAACTCTTCGTGACCTCATGGACCATCCCACACCAGAGCGCCCTGTCAGCTGTCACCTCACCAGCTCCTTCAGAGTCAAGCCAGTCACTTCAAGGATACCATCCATCCATCTTAACCTTGGTCGGCCCCTCTTCCTTTTTCCTTCCATTTTCCCCAGCATCATCTTGGCCTCTACTATCTTTCCCTCCAATGAACAGTCAGGCTTTATTTCCTGAAGTATGGACTGGTTGGATCTTCTCGCGGTCCAAGGCACTCTCAGAACTTTCCTCCAGCACCACAGTTCAAAAGTATCTATCTTCCTTCACTCAGCCTTCCCTATGCTCCAGCTCTCACATCCGTAGGTGACTACAGGGAATACTGTTGCTTTAACTTTGCGGATCTTCGTTGCCAGTGTGATGTCTCTACTCTTCACGATTTTATCAAAATTGGACATTGCTCTCCTCCCAAAAAGTAAGCGTCTCCTGATTTCCTGGCTGCAGTCTGCGTCTGCAGTAATCTTTGCACCTAGAAATATAAAGTCTGTCACTGCCTCCACGTTTTCTCCCTCTATTTGCCACTTATCAATCAAACCGGTTGCCATAAACTTGGTTTTTTTATGTTTAACTGTAACCCAAGCTTTTGCACTTTCTTCTTTCACTTTGATTAGAAGGCCCCTCAGCTCCTCTTCGCTTTCCTGTGTCATGGTTAATCCTATGTCGTGCACTAACCCTGACTGGGAGTCTGAGAACAGGGATAGCTGCACTTTGCTTATTGCAATACATGTTTGGCAGGAAATAGGAAAGACACCTTCTTTTATATATTTTTCATTGATATCACATTCAGCCCCCCAGAAAGGAACACTACCAGCAGGCTTCATGGGGTCCTAACTCTGGAAGGAAATCCCTCCATTTGCCTCTGCCCCAGTCCTCCAGGCTGAGTATATTCCTGAGGACAACCATTCTTACAGTCTAGCCAAGAGACAACAAAGACACTGTGAAAAAGACCATCCAGAGCTCCACCTGGAGGTGTTTTCCTTCCCCGCACAAAAGGCCCTCACTGGAAAACAGGTATTTTGTTTCCTTTACAATTTTTTGTGTACCAAGTAGATTTTTGATGCTGATCACATAAATACGTAACTTCAAAATTGTCACATCATGTAAGGTTTTTGAGAAACAGCCCATTTTGTTTTTACAATTATTGCAAAATTTTGAAACAATTTCTTGTTTTGACAGTAATTTGCATAATGTTTAGATTGCTCATATCTTTGACAGCTATAACCAACATTATGTAACATATAACAGAGACTAGGTCTGTTAAAATACCACAGTAATAAATATCTGATTGTGTAAAAATTTGCTTGGGCATGCCAAAGGCATGGACATTAGAAAATGAAGAGATAGATGATGGTGGCCATAAGATGCAGATGGAAGCAGATGCTAATCCTGGCTTTGCACCATCAGTGATAGCTGCTCAGAGTCCTTCAACAAGGGAGAGATAAATAAACATCCAGTGATCCTTATTTACTAAGGCAGAGCTGAATGATCTGGTCAGAGATTTGGGTTTATCAACTTGAATCAAGGCTGCAAGGATGGAATCTTTTGTCATCCGGCACAAAAATATCAAAATTTCTCCACCATTATGAAGAAATTTTAGCATGCAGACAGTGTGACCTTTTGCTGTGACAGCAGTGGATTGTTTTGTGCTACCATGAAATAGTAATTGCTTATTGACTCATCATTCATAGAATTAGAGAATAATAGGCCATCTCGTCCAACTCCCTGCCATGCAGGAAAAGCACAATTAAAGTACCCCTGACAAATTCTTAAATTTGAAGGCTGTTTTGCTGCACAATCATATTATCTACCTTTCTATTCCTATCAGACATGCCTTTCATATGAAAGAATCATATTTGAACATGCAACTTCAGCTTTTAATACTCAAAGCACAACTGAAATTTGTGTGGCAATCTTTAGGTAGTTGCAATTCTAATAGGTCTGCAGCTTGTTTACACAAAGTATTGCTGTTTCCTTTATGAGTGGGACAATCGAGCAAGAGATTTCCATTATATCAGAAAGGACTGGCCTCCCTGCAATAAACCGGTTGCATGGCAGAAGAATGTTACACATGACCGACTGGTTGACAATTATTTCTTCCACCTTTACACATCAAACTTGGGCTAAGGAAAAACTTCTTCAAGGCAATGAACAAACAAAATGAAGCTTTAATTTATTTGCTGCAGATGTTTCCATGTATAAGTGATGTGAAGATAAAAGACATTTTCAGTGGCCCACAAATCCAAGGTGTGATGAAGGATAAGCCACTTTGATGGTCTTCTACAAGGTGCAGAGCATGTTACGTGGACAGCCTTCAAGAATATTGTTTGTAACTTTCTAAGCAATGATAAAGTACCAGATTATGTCCGACAGGTTGAAAGTCTGCTTCAGGCATACAAATCAATTAAATGCAACATGTCACTGAAGATACATTTTCTTCATTCTCACTTAGACTTCTTTCCAGACAACCTGGGTGCTGTGAGTGACAAACACGTTGAAAGGTTTGAATGGGACATTGCCAAGATGGAGAAACGGTATCAGGGCAAGTGGAATCCGTCTATGTTGGGTGAGTATTGTTGGGACTCTCCTCCGCAAAGCATTGGACAGAGACTACAAACGAAAATTTGCAGCAAAACATTTTTAGTTTTGTTTCCTGATGATAGCATTACTGTCATAGTGTACCCCACTGTAGATATATAGCAATGCTTAGGATGTATCGGCTTTTTCTGGAAAACTGTACATAGTGGTTCTCAACCTTCTTATGCTGTGACCCCTTAATATAGTTCCTCATGTTGTGGTGACCCCCAACCATAACCCTAACATTATGAATCGCCATGTAAATAATGATCTGTAGGATGTATTTTCATTCACTGGAGCAAATTTGGCACAAATACCCGGTATGCCCAAATTTGAATACTGGTGGGGTTGGCGGGGGGATTGATTTTGTCATTTGGGAGTTGTAGTTGCTGGGATTTATAGTTAACCTGTAAACAAAGAGCATTCTGAACCCCACCAACAATGGAATTGAACCAAAGTTGGCACACAGAACTCCCATGACCAACAGAAAATACTGGAAGGGTTTGGTGGGCATTGACCTTGAGTTTGGGAGTTGTAGTTCGCCTACATCCAGAGAGCTGTGGGCTCAAACAATAATGGATCTGGACCGAAGTTGGCACGGATACTCAATATGCCCAAATGTGAAAACTGATGGGGTTTGGGGAAAATAGACTTTGACATTTGGGAGTTGTACTTGCTGGGATTTATAGTTCACCTACAATCAAGGAGCGTTCTGAACCCCACCAATGATAGAATTGGGCCAAAGTTCACACACAGAACCTCCATGACCAACAGAAAATACTGTGTTTTCTGATGGCCTTTGGTGACCCCTCTGACACAACTTTGCGACCCCCCCCCCGGGGTCCCGACCCCCAGGTTGCGAAACACTGCTGTACATGATACAGACATGATATTACATAGTTGTGTTCAGCATGTTAAAATCTATGTGGTTCACCCACAAATCTGAGGAAACAAAACATTCCCAAAAATGGTTCACCATTCTTATATGCACATGATTGTTTTACAGACCAGGTCAAGTTAATGCCTAAGAACCAACCCTGTACCCCCTGCCTTACCTCCTCTTGGCCTGGGAAGACCTTAGTTGGGTGATAACACCTGTTCTTCCTTCAGTACCACCAGATCCCTGGCTGTCTTGGTAGTCAACCCTTTCTTTTTTAATCCACCTTGCTCTACTTCTCAGCTCTGGGTCCTCAACTACCCCGACACTAGGTCTTTGTTATAACAGAGTGTAAAGTTATACCCTTTCTTCGTCTTTACATCTTCAGAAGAAACAAACTTGGGGCGTCTCCGGACTTCTCTCCTGGTTTGGTAGTGTACATTCCTCTGGGTCATGTCTTGCAAAAAAAAAAAAGATGACAAGATAGATCTTTTTATACTGCAGTCCATGCTCTCAGACAATTGTGGGTAAACTAAGGAGGGCATTTAGTATCAATACTAAAGATTGTGATGGAATGTATGGGTGAAAACTTATAGCCACAATGAATGGAAACAGTACCTTTAAAGCTGATAATATACATCTGTGAATCTGCTTGGAACTGGATGCTGCCCTTTGGATCTGCTAGAAATACATTCTCTAGATCATCAGAACATATGTTGGAGCCCTGGGCTTTTCCATCCTGTAGCAAGGAAATATATAACAATAACATATATAACATCGCACTCAGGTACTGGGACATGTTATGCTGCATGTGTCTCTTCTCCCATTTATGGTGCAGTTCAAAGACATGGCCATGTTAGTCTTTGAACTGCACCATAACAAAAAAGGGTGTCAAACTTCATTAATTCTATACTATCGTTGGACTTGGAGAATGGGATTTATCCCTGGGTATGCATACTAACATACTTGTGGATATGAGATCAGGACAGAGTTGGATATATTCTTCTTGACAAAAAAGACATTAAATAAATACATATCTGGGCAGGTGGGCTCATGTGTGGGATTGCAAGATTAGAGTCTGGCATTTATCATCATTCATAGTTCAGTTTTTTGACTGAAACCTTTTTTAACATTATATACCATAAATGTTCCAATGTATTAGAACTAGATAAAACTGCCATTAAATCTAAGTTTAAAAATATATATCAGACAATAACCTCAGTCCCACTAAACTGTATTTAGTACTACCATGAAAATTTACTGAAAATCTATCCAGGAATATTTCTCTGCAATCCATAATGACACCCAACAATCATTCCTATGGTTTCTCACAGAATAATGCATATTATTATTAATAATGCATATTATTATTATTATTATTATTATTATTATTATTATTATTATTATTAAAATTAGCTGTACCCTGCCATGCATTGCTGTGACCCTCAGAAAACAGAGGATTTGCAGACATGAAGCAATCTGGGCTAGGGAACTCCTCCCACCAAAGGTTTCCTGCTGGCTAGTAGAAGTCAGGCTGTTAAGGTGCAAGGTGGTATGGAAAATAAAGTAATGAGAAGCAGCCACTGAAGCTGCAAGGCTTTTCAGTTATATTCATGCTGGCCAAAACACTCAAAAAGCCTCTTTGAAACAGAGGCTGGGTGGCCATCTGTTGGGGTGCTTTGAATGTGATTTTCTTGCTTCTTCACAGAATGGGGTCTGCCTGGATGGCCCACCAGGTGTCTCCCAACTCTAGGGCTCTCTGATTCTATATCCTTCTCTCTCCTTCACCAGTTTCCCTCTTCCTTCCTTCCTTCCTTCCTTCCTTCCTTCCTTCCTTCCTTCCTTCCTTCCTTCCTTCCTTCCTTCCTTCCCTGCCTCTTCCTTTCCTTTCCTCTCCCAGCCCTGCCTCCTTTTCCTTCCTTCCTCTTTCTTTCCTTCCATTCATAATCTTCCCTTCTCTTCACCAATCCTTTTCTTCCTTTCTTCTCACCTTTCCCATTCTTTCCCCTCCTTCCTCCGGGACAGTTTGTAAGGGTTTTTAAAGGATTTGGGGTGTGTGTGAAAGGGGGGATGTGGAGCTCAAGTGGGAGAGTTGCCGGCCTTCTCATAGTTTGCATCCTCCCTTCACCCAACTGGGGGGGGGGGGGGTTGCAGCCTTGCAATCCTCTGGTCTTGGGGAAAGAGTTGCCTGGTAGCCCCGTGGGCCTCATGGAGCCGCTGCAGTGGCTCCAGCTGCTGCCAGGGCTTGCCTCGCCAAGCCCCCACCCCTCCGCAGGGCCAGGCCTTTTCCTTCCCTCCCTCTTTCCTTTCCTCAATCCCTCCCCAAATGAAGGAAAGGGACTCCATGGCGAGGCTTCTCTTCCCTCACAACGGTTGGTGCTTCATTCTTCTCATGCAATGGGGAGAGGGGCTTTTGCGCATGCTCTGCAAGGCATTTTTCTTTTTGGGGAGTTTTAAGTTATTTCCCCTTCATTTTTTATGGGGTTTTTTTTGTTTGAAAGACATAGATCTGATTAGAATGTGTTTTGCTGCCAAATTTGTTGTCAATTCATCCAGTGGTTTTTGAGTTCCGTTAATCCCACAAACGAACATTACATTTTTATTTATATAGATTATTATTATAATATTTATTTATACCCCACTTTATATCTCCCGCAGGAGTCTCAAAAGCATAACATAAAAACTTTAGCATACAGTTTACAATATACAAATATTAAAACAGCATTGAACATCATTACTGCTAAAACCAATTCAGAATAAATCCATGAAAAACATAGAAAATCACACATGTCAAACCTTCTAGAGGGACACAGTTACACTAACACTTATAATGGGACTAATTTGGTGTGCTGAATGCTGGATTGGCCCCAATATGTGTCCCCACAGGGACTCCACTGGCTACCTAGGAGATGAGATGGAGTCCACATCACCCAGAGGTGCCGAACATGGTTCAGCGTCGCTGGGCTGCCACCCTATTTCCCCTTCGCTCCACATGTTGCAGAGAACTCTTGCCACAATATGTTTCCTACCTGTTCCCCATCACTTGTCCTGATGTTAGTCAGAATTATGAGGCACTGAGGAAGGGGGAGAGCAAAGGATATAGGAAATTATCCGCTCTTCTCCCCATCCCTTCATAGCATTCCCCATCATCTCAGCAGACATCATAACAAGTGTTTGGAAATAGGTGGGCCCTATCCATCCCAGAAACTAGTTTTTTTCCAGGGCCCCAAAATACACCTGTTTGCCATATAAAACCCATTGTCCCAAATCAGAGATTGTCACTACACTGTGCGTGGGGGAAGGGGATTGCCATCCCATGTCCCTGGGGCATCTCGGCAGGGGAACACGGGATAGCAGTGGGGATAGTTGCAGCTGGTTCTGTTTGGATGTACAAGACTGTTATAGGCTCTTACTCAGGTTAGGACAAAAAAAACAGGCCAAATCCTCCATTCAGTTAGGTTTGCTCAGGGCCCTAAAATGCATAAATTGCAAACTGACCGGTTTTCCATATTCAATCCATTGGCCCTTGTCATTTTTCCAGTACCAAAGCCATTTTGTTGTCATTACAAATTTAGCAGGTTTGGTGACTGATGATGGAGTGGACAGACGTCGAATTGGACCAGTTGAAGAGGTCATAGTCCCGAAATCGATGCCCAAGTCCAAAACACTAGGGGAAAGAGACAGGGAGAAAAAAATGTCTAGGTATGTATAAACACCAGATATTTGTATTCATGTTTTCCAATGGTATTAGTTCACATCACCCCTCCTCAATACCTTCTACCCCTTCTCAAAAGCCAATCAGTATATAAAAGTGAGACCATACAAAAAGTTAGAGACATGTAATATTTACAGTATTATTATTATTTACAGTATTTATATTCTGCCCTTCTCACGCTGCAGGGGATTCAGAGCAGATTACAACATACATATACATGGCAAACATTCAACGCCGTAGACACACAACACATATAGACAGACAGTCAGAGGCGATTTAACATTCCAACTTTTTCTGGCCACCAGGGGAGCTGTCGCTTCACCATCCATCTGTGACACTGATGAAATACTCCTCATTCCCCGAATGCTTGTCGGAGATTTTTATGGCCTTGTAAATTAGTTAAATTAGCCTCCCCACATAAGTGGTACCTAAATTTCCTACTTGACAGATGCAACTGTCTTTCGAGTTGCAAAGGTTGACAACAAGCTACACAGAATTGGTTGGAAGCTCACACAGTCATATAACCTGGAATATCAAGGCTGATAATAATAAGAAGAAGAATAATAATAAGAAGAAGACTTTATTTGTACCCCGCTACCATCTCCCAAGGGACTCGGTGCGGCTTACATGCGGCCAAGCCCAAACACAACAATAACAATAACAGCAATAATACAAAAACAATACAAAACTCATAGCAAAATAAGCAAAAACAATAACACGACGCAATATCTGCTTTGAAGTGGATTATCTGAGTCCACACTGCCATATAATCCAATTCAATGTGGATTTTATACAGTTGTGTGGAAGGGGCCATAGTTTGTTGTTAGGATTCATGCAGCCTCACAGGTTTCACTAGCCTTTAGTGGCCTTTCTTGCAGTCCTTAAATACCATTATTCAATCAGCTCAGTGGGGAAGACTCCACTTACAGCTGCAGCTTTGATAATTTACATTCCTTCTCAATTTTACTTGGTAATTTTGCTTGACTTGCATCTTCGACAAGTAAAATAAGAATCCAGAAGGAAGATTAATAATAATAATAACAACAACAACAACAACAACAATCTTTATTTATACTCTACCACCAACTCCCCAACAGGGACTCGGAGCGGCTTACATGGGGCCAAGCCCAGTCAACATATTACAGTAAAAATAAAACCAAAACATAAGCAACAAGCAACAGCATCAAAATTACATTAAAAACATATGAATACAGTAACAAAATAACATTACAATAACCACAATCGCAGAGACAATGGACGGGCCACATGTACAGGATAAAATGTTAAAAAAACTCAAATGAGATAAGAATAGGAGCAAGTTATTTGGAGGGAGCTCATAAAGAGACACGGGGTTGTGAAACTAAACTTCCCATTAATTGACCAGAAGGAAGGAGCGTCTCAGTTTCTTCATTAAAATGGACTTTTGGTGTGCTTGTGTTGCATTTTTCAGCAGTAACTAAATGCAGTGGGTTCTTGTTCTTGTTCATGGCCCCTCCTGACCCTGCATGCCACTGAGACAGATGCCTCAGCAGGACATCAGAGTCAAGATATTTGTGACTTAAGTGAGTTACTGCACTATCTTTTCCAAAGGGAGAAAGGTCTACATTGAGAAGGTTTGATTTATAGTTATAGGTTATTGTTTTAGTTATTATGCTTTGGTTGCGTATATATGTTGGCACTGATTCTTGCCACTGCTTGTTGTACACCACTTTTGAGTCCTCCCAGGGGTGAGAAAAGCAGTATATAAATGCAGTAAGTAAATAAACAAACAAATAAAATAAGCCAGGGTTGAACTTCAGCTAATAGAAAACCAATTTCCACTAAAACTTTTCACAAAGAAGGAAAGAGCCATTTTATACCTGGTTAAACTTGGGTCACAATAGGCTTTTTCTATTTCCCCTCCATTGGGCAAATCGTTCCAACCATTTCCACTATCTACTTGCCATCGATAAGGCAAATGGTAATGGACCATATTGCAGTTATCTAGAAAAAGAACAAGCAAAGGAATCACCCAGTGGTTATTTCAACTAATAACAGAGCATGAAAACAAAGCAAATAACAGAAACAAAAAGAACAAGGAATACAAATTTCAATAACTGGTAATAATCAGACTTTAAGTAACATAACAGTTGGACAACATTGGCAGCGGATTATTTATCCCTTAGGGATGGGGAGTTTCACAATATTTGATTTTTCACTTCTTCTCATCAGCAATTCCTTCATCAAAGCTCCTCTGCAACTGAGCGCAGCATAGAATCATATGGGGAAAGATGATGCATTACATATCCTGAGTACAAAATCTATTTACAGCTCTAATCATATGACTTTGAACTGAGCCAGAAAGGACTGAGCCAATCTGGATCCATTTACGAACCCACACGATCTCTTTGATCTTCCGGAGAGGCTCTTCTCTCGCTCCCGCCTGCATCACAAGTGCGARTTGCGGGGACGAGAGAGAGAGCCTTCTCTGTGGTGGCCCRTCGACTCTGGAACTCGCTTCCTAAAGACATTAGGCAAGCCCCCATGCTGCRAATCTTCAGGAGGAATCTGAAAACCTGGTTATTCCAATGTGCCTTCAGTGATTGAACGTAAGGTACTCCCTGACCAAAAACGTTGTACTAAATGACCTCAGTAGCACTTTGTTTATGGTTCGTGCAATTAAATCCCTCCTCATCCCCGGATCCCCCTCCCGAMYTTTGACATTGTCCTATCTCCCAGTGTTTTAAAATTTTATCCTGAATTTGGCCCTGCCCAGCGAAATCTTTTGTGTTTTAATGTCTGATTTTATATTGTTGTGTTGCTATTATATTGTTTTGCATTTATGTATTTTATTTTTTGATTTTATTATGTTCTTGTGTTATATTGTTGTGTATTGTACCTATGGGCGTGGCCTCATGTAAGCTYCACTGAATCCCCTTGGGGGAGATGGAGCGGGGTATAAATAAATTATTATTATTATTATTATTATTATTATTATTATTATTATTATTATTATTATTAAGGGACATTTCTTTACTATTGGTGATGAAATTTAAAATTGACTGTCCTTTGTCTTAATCCTATATAGTCAAGAAGGGAAGTGGCCTCTTTCAGCACTGAGATGTTTCATGAGCTGCATCTGACATAAAATTCAGGCCCGTGACTCTAACATTGTCATTTTTCTTCTCCTGTATTTTGATGTCAGTGGAGTATCAAAATCTTGCATGATACATTTTGATTATTTCAGTTGGCCAATAAATGTATCACTCTTGTGTAGATATTTATTTTTGCTGTAGTAGGCAGAAAAGTTAGTGAACTATCATCTAGTTTGGATGCCAAATGACAAATTTCCAGTGAAATCAATGATTTTGCCAACAAAAGCAGCGTATTACTGCTTTGAAACAGAATAAACATATACACATTGGCCAATGCCAGACTGCTTCAACCTGCAGCACCCCACATGTTTTAGACTTCAGTTCCCAGAATTCCTGACCATTGAACAAGTTGGCTAGGGTTTCTGGTAGTTGGGAGGGCCACAGGTTATGCAGGCCTGAAGTCTAGGTAGTCAGATTAGCAAATTGAGCAAATCAATATTAGCCATTAATATGCTGTTAATCACCAGTTTTTAAGAGGAGCCTCTGATGGCGCAGTGGGTTAAACCCTTGTGCCGGCAGGACTGAAGACTGACAGGTTGCAGGTTCGAATCCAGGGAGAGGCGGATGAGCTCCCTCTATCAGCTCCAGCTCCTCATGCGGGGACATGAGAGAAGCCTCCCACAAGGATGATAAAAACATCAAATCATCCAGGCGTCCCCTGGGCAATGTCCTTGCAGACGACCAATTCTCTCACACCAGAAGCGACTTGCAGTTTCTCAAGTCACTCCTGACACGACAAAAAAACAACCCAGTTTTTAAAAGAATCTTACTGAGTCTTACTACTAAACTTTTTCCTAATTTCCTAAGATAATAATAAACTGTCTCTGTTTTAAAAGCTTCTATTTGTTTATTTAGCTATTTGGGTTTTTAATACATTACATGGCTTCCGGGAAAGGGTGGCAGCACAATAAGTGTGATCTGTTTATCTGTTTATCTGTCTAGATATTTTATTTTGACTGGCTTTTCCAAGCCCTGGGTCATTTGTTCTGATTTATTTTAACTTATCTGCTATCTAAATGAGTTTAACTAAGTTTGTTTAGATAAGTCATTTGCTATCTGTCCTTGAGCTGAACAGCTTGCCTGTTTCACTGGTTGACTTTTGAGCTCTATCAGAAATGTCTGAAAGCTTGCAAAAACATTTGGGGAGTGGATTTATGCTAGCAGTGCCATTTAAATTTCCATGCATTAACAGTGGGGTCGCGAGGGGGTATCAGAGAGTCGCCAAAGTCCATCAGAAAACACAGTATTTTCTGTTAGTCATGAGGGTTCTGTGTGGGAAGTTTGGCTCAATTCTATCATTGGTAGGGTTATTATTATTTAGTATTTAAAACATTTATATTTTTACCCCAAAGGAGACTCAGTTCAGAGCACAGCATATACATGGCAAACATTCAATGCCGGGAAACAAATTCACATACAACACATAAACATTAAAAAACATTTATCAAAATATTAAAATACACCATTTAAAACCATCCTAGCCATCCACATGAAATCCAATTGGCCGTGTCACCTTTCCCACTGCCTCTTCATTGCCCTGTCCCGAAAGCTTGGTCCCACAGCCAAGTTTTTACCATCCTTCTAAAGGACAGGAGGGAGGGGGCTGACCTGATCTCACCAGGAAGGGAGTTCCATAGCCGGGGAGCAATCACCGAGAAAGCCCTGTCTTTCGTCCCCACCAATCGTGCCTGTGACAATGGTAGGACGGAAAGCAGGGCCTCCCTGGAGGATCTTAATCTCCGTGATGGTTCACTGGGTTTCAGAATGCTCTTTGATCGTAGGCAAACCAGCAACTACAATTCCCAAATGTCGAGTTCTATTTTCCCCAAACTCCACCAGTGCTCACATTTGGGCATCTTAAGTATTCGTGTCAAGTTTAGTTCACAGTACTCTCTGGGTGTAGGTGAACTATAACTCACAAAGCTCATGGTCAATGCCCACCAAACCCTTCCAGTATTTTCTGTTGGTCATGGGAGTTCTGTGTGCAAGTTTGGTTCAATTCCATTGTTGGTGGAGTTCAGGATGCTCTTTGATTGTAGATTAACTATAAATCTTAGGAACTACAACCCCCAAATGACAAAATCAATCCCCCACCAGTATTCAAATATGGGTGTATCGGACATTTGTGCCAAATTTTGCCCAGTGAATGAAAATACATTTTGTATATCAGATATTTACATTACGATTCATAACAGTAGCAAAATTACAGTTGTGAAGTAGCAATGAAAACAATGTTATGGTTGGGAGGTGGGTCACCACAACATGAGAAACTGGAGTCAAAGCTTTGGGAAGGCTGAGAACCACTGTTCTAGAGACTTACTTTTATGCTTGCAGAACTGAAAGAGATAATATAGACATATCTCATCTATTTTCTCTTTCTCTGCATTTGGAAGAGATTTAGGACAATGAGCTGTTTTCACATCTGTATGAGGGAAAAATGAGAAATTTTAAATCAAGAACAAGTCAGAGACATTCTTCAACATTGTCAATGCAAATGATGACTGCAATGAATCAACTGTGTAATATGTTACAACACAGATAATTCAACTGTTAGTTTCTGCATGTACATGCAAATATAAACAGTCCCCACATTTTGAAAATTTTCCCCAAACTCCACCAGTGTTTTAAAAATTTGCTGAAAAGGTCAATATAGATTAATCTACACTAATTTAGAGGGACCATAATTTAGCTGGACCATAGAAAAGGCTGAGCGAAGGAAGATAGATGCTTTTGAATTGTGCTGTTGGAGGAAAGTTCTGAGATCCAACCAGTCTGTACTTCAGGAAATAAAGCCCAACTGCTCATTGGAGGGAAGGATAGTAGATAAAGTACTTTGTCCACATCATGAGAAGAAAGGAAAGCTTAGAGAAGACAATGATGCTGGGGAAAATGGAAGGAAAAAGGATGAGGGGCCAACCAAGGGCAAGATGGATGGATGGCATCCTTGAAGTGACTGGATTGACCTTGAAGGAGATGGGGGTGGTGATGGCAGACAGGGAGCTCTGGTATGGGCTGGTCCATGAGGTCACGAAGAGTCGGAAACGACTGAATGAACAACAACAAATTTAGAGGGATACATGTTACATTGGGTCTTTTTTGTTGTTAACTGCAGTTAAGCACACTTCAACTTATGACAACCCTATGAAAGAGATACCTCCAAGTCACTTTGTTATTAACAGTCTTGTTCAAATCTTGCAAACTTGGGGCTATGGCTTTCTTGATTGCGTCTCCCCATTTGTAACAGGGTCTTCCTCCTCTTAAATTGTCATCTACCATGGCAAGCATTATTGTATTTTTACGTCACATAATATGTCAAAAGTACAACAGTTTAGTGATCTTTACTTCCAAATTACTTATGTTCTTCCCTCCAATTTGTACATTTTCATCTTCGGAGTTTAATTCACCTTTGCGTACAATATATTCAGTGAGACCTTGCCTGATCCTTTTGCCAAATGGAAACCATTCCAGTTCTCTCTACTTTATCCTCATGGTAGCCCCCCCCCCCCCAGCCCAAGAACAGGTTATGCACAGAACAATCAAATGTTGTAGCACACCAATTTATTTTAGAGTGAGCCATAATTTTTATGATCTACACAATCAAAGGCTGAGTATTATCAATTTACTCCTGAACTCACTTGCAGAATGTTTCCATCTCCTCCTCTTTTTCCTCTATGGTTGGAGCATAAACTTGGGTTCGTCATGGGTGAGTAAGATTGTGTTCTAGAGGCAGAGTCTTAGTGTTGGGTTTACAAATCACTGTGAAAACCTATTCTGGAACCACTAACATAGATTTCCAGATGAAAGGTGGTCACAACAAGGATTTGCTTGACATGCCTTCCTCTTGGTATATTTTTGCCTTTTGCCCTGTATTCATGTCTCTTCAAAAACTATAGCACTGTTGGTACCATAGCACTGTGGTTACACTGACAGATTTTTTTAAAAGCTTTATTCTTTGCATTGTGTCCCATGACTGTTTTGGCTACATTTCTGCTCAATATAAATGTCATACTATTCCTTCTTAGACTTTCATTCCCTGAGTAAAACACCGTGTAGTTATTTATTCCATTCCTATCCACTTTACCCCACTCATCCCAAGTTCTGCAATGTTCATGTATTCCAGTTCTTTTACTATGTCATGCTTTCCTTGATTCATGTTTTGCACATTACAAGCTCCTATATGTGTTGTGCAGTGTCACCCCCACTACTGCTGCTGCCCAATTTGGCACATTTAATCTGGCTCCTTGGAAAAAGCCTGTCTGATACAGAAGACCTTATCAGAAGCATTGCTGCCATCAGTATTGCCTCTTGCATTAGAAGAGCATGCAATCCCACTACTACAAAAAAAATGTGATGGGAAGACTGGAAACCTTTGTCAACAAAATACAGAACTGCTATCTTAGACTTCCTGAACCCACTTGTATCCCTTTCTTTAAAAATGCATTAGCTTACCTTGGTTTGAGTCTATGTTCATGAAAGTATTCAAGCTGGAAGTCTTCTCAAGTACAGATTTACTCTGATTTCCAGAAGTTTCTTGATTTGTTATAGGTCTGGGTTTTGAGGAAATGCCTAAAACAACAGAGAAGAACTTTCAGAGATTTCCAAGGTGATCCTGGTTGCCTTTCTCACCTATGGGACATTTAGTAACACTCACATTTGTTTTCACCTAATTCTCTAGCCAATGCAGTTGTACATTGTAGCAACTTCAAGGCTTTTGGATCCATAAGGCAATGAAATCTCTTGCATCGGGGAAACCAACACTGTCCTTTGAGAAAGTATCGGCAAATATGGAGCTTGGAGCAATAATCTTGCTGTCACCTCTCAGCCCACCAACAGCTGAATATCCGTTTGGCTTCAGTACAATTGAATTATCCACAGTGCTACTCTTGTATGTCCTAAGATCTTCCCACTGAGTGCCATCCAACTTTGGACTCTCATCTTTTTCCTTTGTACACTTTCTCATCGTAGTGTTTCATGCTGTGGCATCTGAAAAACCCTCAACCAGTGTCACCCCCACTACTACTCCTATCCAATTTAGCACATTTAATGTGGCTCCTCAAAAAAAGCCTGTCTGACATAGGAGACCTTATCAGAAGGATTACCGCCATCAGTATTGCCTCTTGCATTAGAAGAGCATGTAATCCTACTACTGCAAAATAATAATAATAATAATAATAATAATAATAATAATAATAATAGGAAGACTGGAAACCTTTGTCATCAAAATACAGAACTGCTATCTTAGACTTCCTGAACCCACTTGTATTCCTTTCTTTAAAAATGCATTAGCTCACCTTGGTTTGAGTATATGTTCATGAAAGTATTCAAGCTGGAAGTCTTCTCAAGTACAGATTTACTCTGATTTCCAGAAGTTTCTTGATTTTCTATAGGTCTGGGTTTTGAGGAAATGCCTAAAACAACAGAGAAGAACGTTCAGAGATTTCCAATGTGATTCAGGTTGTCTTTCTCACCTATGGCATATTTAATAGCACTCACATTTGTTTTCACCTAATTCTCTAGCCCAGGGGGCCACAAACTTTTTAAACAGAGGGCCAGGTCACAGTCCCTCAAACTGTCAGAGGGCTGGATTATAATTTGAAAAAAAATATGAATGAATTCCTATGCACACTGCACATATCTTATTTGTAGTGCCAAACGTTTTAAAACAATACAATAATTAAAATGAAGAACACTTTTTAATAAAGATAAGCTATTAGTATTCAATGGTAAGTGTGGACCTGCTTTTGGCTGATGAGATAGGATTGTTGTTGTTGTGCTTTCAAGTCGTTTCAGACTTAGGTTGACCCTGAGCGAGGGACGTGTAAACGACCTTGGAGGGCCGTAGACGGCCCTAGGGGGGCCTTAGTTTGAGGACCCCTGATCTAGCCAATGCAGTCGTTTTGTAATTACAGATTGTTTGAATATAGAAAGCCATCTCAATATCCACTCCTTCTGCAAGCAGCAACTTCAAGGCTTTTGGATCCATAAGACAGTCTTGCATCAGGGAAACCGACACTGTCCTTTGAGAAAGTATCGGCAAATATGGAGCTTGGAGTAATTATCTTGCTGTCACCTCTCAGCCCACCAACAGCTGAATATCCCTTTGGCTTCAGTACAGCTGAATTATCCACAGTGCTGCTCTTGTATGTCCTAAGCTCTTTCCAATAGTTGACTGAGTGCTATCCAAGCTTGGACTATCATAATCTAGCACAATCTCTTTTTCCTTTGTGCATTGTCTCATCACAGTGTTTCATGCTGTTGCCTCTAAAAAAATCCTCAACCAGTGTCACCCCCACTACTGCTGCTACCCAATTTGGCACATTTAGTCTGGCTCCTCAGAAAAAGCCTGTCTGACATAGGAGACCTTGCTGCCATCAGTACTGCCTCTTGCATTAGAAGAGCATGTAATCCTACTACTGCAAAATAATAATAATAATAATAATAATAATAATAATAATAATAGGAAGACTGGAAACCTGCTGTCTTAGACTTCCTGAAGCCACTTGTATCCCTTTCTTTAAAAATGCATTAGCTCACCTTGGTTTGGGTCTATGTTCATGAAAGTATTCAAGCTGGAAGTCTGCTCAAGTACGGATTTACTCTGATTTCCAGACTTTTCTTGATTTGCTATAGGACTGGGCTTTGAGGAAATGCCTAAAACAACAGAGAAGAACTTTCAGAGATTTCCAAGGGGATCCAGGTTGCTTTTCTCACCTATGGGATATTTAATAGCACTCACATTTGTTTTCACTTAATTCTCTAGCCCAGGGGTCCACAAACTTTTTAAACAGTGGGCCAGGTCACAAAATCCTCAACCATTGTCACCCCCACTACTGCTGCTACCGAATTTGGCACATTTAATCTGGCTCCTCAGAAAAAGCCTGTCTGAATCAGGAGACCTTATCAGAAGCATTGCTGCCATCAGTATTGCCTCTTGCATTAGAAGAGCATGCAATCCCACTACTACAAAAAAAATGTGATGGGAAGACTGGAAACCTTTGTCAACAAAATACAGAACTGCTGTCTTAGACTTCCTGAACCCACTTGTATCCTTTGCTTTAAAAATGCATTGGCTCACCTTGGTTTGGATCTATGTTCATGAAAGCATTCAAGCCGGAAGTCTGCTTAAGTATGGATTTAATCTGATAACCAGACTTTTCTTGACCTTATCAGAAGCATTGCTGCCATCAGTATTGCCTCTTGCATTAGAAGAGTATGCAATCCCACTACTACAAAAAAAAATGTGATGGGAAGACTGGAAACCTTTGTCAACAAAATACATAACTGCTGTCTTAGACTTCCTGAACCCACTTGTATCCTTTGCTTTAAAAATGCATTGGCTCACCTTGGTTTGGATCTATGTTCATGAAAGCATTCAAGCCGGAAGTCTGCTTAAGTATGGATTTAATCTGATAACCAGACTTTTCTTGATTTGCTATAGGACTGGGCTTTGAGGAAATGCCTAAAACAACAGAGAAGAACTTTCAGAGATTTCCAAGGGGATCCAGGTTGCTTTTCTCACCTATGGGATATTTAATAGCACTCACATTTGTTTTCACTTAATTCTCTAGCCCAGGGGTCCACAAACTTTTTAAACAGTGGGCCAGGTCACAAAATCCTCAACCATTGTCACCCCCACTACTGCTGCTACCGAATTTGGCACATTTAATCTGGCTCCTCAGAAAAAGCCTGTCTGAATCAGGAGACTTTATCAGAAGCATTGCTGCCATCAGTATTGCCTCTTGCATTAGAAGAACATGCAATTCCACTATTGCAAAATAATAATAATAATAATAATAATAATTATTATTATTATTATTATTATTACTGTGGAAAGGAAAAAAGTTTGGATTATGGATGTCACTATACTAGGTGACAGTCACATTGAGGAAAAACAACAGGAAAAACTCAGCCGTTATCAGGATCTCAAAATCGAACTGCAAAGGTTCTGGCATAAATCAGTACAGGTGGTCCCAGTGGTCATTGGCACACTGGGTGCCGTGCCAAAAGACCTTAGCCGGCTTTTGGAAACAATAAACAAAGACAAAATCATGATCTGTCAACAACAAAAGGCCACCTTACTTGGATCTGCACGCATCATTCGAAAATACATCACAGTCTTAAGACACTTGGGAAATGTTCGACTTGTGATTTTGTGATATTAAATCCAGTATATAGATCTCATTTCCTATAGCATACTGTGTTTTTGTGTCAGAATAATAATAATAATAATAATAATAATAATAATGGGAAGACTGGAAACCTTTGTCATCAAAATACAAAACTGCTGTCTTTGACTTCCTCAACCCACTTGTATCCTTTTCTTAAAAAATGTATTGGCTCACCTTGGTTTGGATCTATGTTCATGAAAGCATTCCAGCCGGAAGTCTGCTCAAGTACGGATTTACCCAGATTTCCAGACTTTTCTTGATTTGCTGTAGGTCTGAGCTTTGAGGAAGTGTCTAAAACAACCGAGAAGAACATTCAGAGATTTCCAAGGGCATCCAAGTTGCCTTTCCCACCTATAGGATATTTAGTAGCACTCACATTTGTTTGCACCTAATTCTCTAGCCAATGCATTCGTTTTGTAATTACAGATTGTTTGAATATTAAAAGCCATCTCATTATCCACTCCTTCTGCAAGCAGCAACTTCAAGGCTTTTGGATCCATAAGGCAATGAGATCTCTTGCATCGGGGAAACCGACACTGTCCTTTGAGAAAGTACCGGCAAATATGGAGCTTGGCGCAATTATCTTGCTGGTTGCAACTTGCCTCCCCTTTGTTGTAGGCATTGCACACCTGGAAATAAGGAGGAAATAGAAGAGACATATGCTCGAACTGTCATTCACATTGTATTTGTCCAAACATATCTCCTGTTACAAACCATCACAAAGTCTAAGATCATCTGTAGAGGCCTGCTCTCGATCCCACCACCATCGCAAACGTGACTGGTGGGGACAAGGGACATGGCCTTTTCAGCAGTGGCCTCTCTCCCCAGGGACATCAGACTGACCACCTCCTTCCTGTCTTTTAGAAGGAAACTCAGGACTTGGCTATGAGACCAAGCATTCGACCACTGAATAGCAGCAATGTGGGAAGAAGATTTAAGCAACTTGCGATAATGAATTGACCAGGACCTGGATTTGGATTTTAATTGGTATGTTTTAGTCTATTGTTTAATTGATTGTTTTTAATTAATTGTTTAATGCTTTTAGTGGTTGTTGTAGTAGAGCCTGTGAGTAATGTTACAAACAGTAGTATGGGTGCCAGAAGGGGGAAAAGGGTTACTCGGGAGCAGGAATCTGATGATGAGCAGCAGAGAAAGAGGATCCGGGACATATTTACAGTACCTACAGATGAGGAGTCGTTTGAGGGATTATTTGGGGATGATGGGTCAGTGAAGGAGAAAAAGGAGACACCATGGATTGGTCTAAGATAAGAAAAGTGCAAGCTATTTGTGAGTGCCAACAACTAGTTATGCCTTTATGGGGGTGAAGACTGGCAATCAGGGGATCCAACTGAGTCTTGAGGGGACCTAAGTCTTGACAGGAGATGGAGGAATTGGAGGGAAGGACAAGTGAATTCACGTGAAGAGCTGGGAGCAGCTGCAGGGGATAATGATGGGGCAGTGGTCAGTTCATCTTCTGATGATGATTTGTAAATAAAAGTGGGTTCAGGGATGATGGGTCCTTGCAGAAGGCAAGGTGTTGATGAGCGTTTGTGTGTTGGGTGCTGTGTATTGGGAAAGATTCATGTAGACTTGTTGCTGCCTGTTTCGTGTTCGGCGTTGGTTTAGGATCTGCAGTTTGGATCTCCTGATCATTTGCATGTTATTGACCCAGATTGGCTTCTCGTGAATGTAGACTTCTCCCTTCCTGGACCTGAACCGGTTTGGCTATAGACGCTGCTTCTGGAGCAGCGCTGTTTCAGATTTCTCCCGCTTCAACCCTGGACTTCGGCTGATGACGCTTCTCTTCCTGTGGCCTCTCCTTTTTGTTAACCAGTTGTGTATTGTGTCTTTTGTTTTGCCTCAGAGCGCTTTGTTTGATTCGTTTCTTTTTATCCAGTTAATCTGGATTATATTTCTGTTAAGCTTTTTGGACCAGGTCTGGTTTGTTTCTTGAGTTTTGACCAGTGGCACTGCATTTAAGTACCTCTGCACCCTTTTTCCTTTGTTTTAATAAACTCTGTTTTGAAGCCACTTTTGAGTCTGGCCCTTTAAGGTGTCTGTGATTCCAACAATGGTACGGTTGAATGTTTATAACTGTGACAGCACCGGATGGTGGCTTGCTGTGAGGCTGCCCTGAATCCCCCCTCAGGGTTGAGAAGGATGGGTTACAAATGCAGGAAATAATAAATAAATAAATTTGTCTGAGCTGCAGATAAAGTGCCTAATACAACCCTTCCTACAATATAATAATAAGAAAAAGAAGTAGTGGTTGTAGTAGTAGTGGGAAAATTTTGGTGAATTTCTTGCCATTTGGTAGCCCAGGTTTGTTTTCTGTAGAATTACTGACAGGGGGATCATTGCAATGGTGAACAACAGTGATTAAGTGAGCCGCCCTGCAAAATTCCTCTCATGTTAACAGTTCCATAGCTTTGGTTGCCCACAAACAGCTCAGTTTTCCATTGTTTCACAGGTGCAGTGCCTAAAGACCTTGGCCTGCACTTAAAAACAAACAATGCTAACAAAATTACCACCTGTCCATTGTAAAGGGCCACCCTACTTGAATATTCATGCATTATTCGCCAATACATCACACAGTCCTAGACACTTGAGAAGTGTCCAACATGTGTTCGAATACAAAAGTCAGCACAGTGATCTTGTTTGTTGTATATTAAATGATAATAATAAATCTTTATTTATATCCTGCTTTTCTCCCAAAAAAGGGACCCAAAGCAGCTACTCTTAAGACTTAGGCTTGTGAATGTTTATGCTTACTTGACTTACACACTGCCTTGCTCTCCAAAATGGAACTCAAATGACTCCTAAGAAGGCCAAGAAAATCAAAACACAGCATGACATTTTGGTGAAATGCAGTACATGATTTGTTTTGTTTGCTTGGCATTGATGGTATATGGGTGTGTATGGAATTTTACTCACATAGGGTGGGGAATCATATACTTTGTTATTATTTTAAATGCCTATGGTTTTCACAAGAATGTTTTTTGTATTGATACCCTGTAACAATAATTAATAACAATGTTGTGAATTTGACATCTACACAGTGTACTCTTTTAATGCTTTATATTAGTAACAATTGGTAGCTCAAAATTATTATCACCATTCTATTTCATGGAGGTATGTTTTAATGTGTGTATTTTACAGAGTGCTTTAAAATGATTATGTGTTTGTTTATTTTTTAGTACTGCTATAATCCGCTGTGAGGAGAAGCGAGCAAGAAATAAAACTATTATTATTATTATTATTACACTAACAACAGCAGCTGTTTAGTGAAAGATGTTTAGCTGCCAAATACAAGTAACTCAAATATTTCTGTATAACATGTTCTGCTCTCACGCTGATTTGTCAAATATTTTCAGCTTCAAGAAGAGCAGAATTTCAAAGTTTGAGTCAGCTTTGAAATGGAGGTCATTCTATGTTGTGAAATAAGCACATTAAAAGTTGACTGTGTTTTCTCTTTAGCTAGCTTAATAACCACCTCCTCACCAATGTCCTATAATAGGAACTAAGCAGTTAATGTAAAATTAAGTGGTAATACTGTATTTTCATAACTCACATCAGGTAGGAGGAAGGGGTCATTCTGGAGAAGTAAAACACGCAGTTCATTCTCATTGAGGCCAGAGAGTTCATGGTTCTTCAGAACTTTTCGGTTATCCTCTGATAAAATATCATGGGAGTACTTGCAAGCCCTAGAATGAAAAAAAAGGAATTGAAAATCATTTTAAATAGTAAATACCCTTATCACATGACATTATAAAACTATTATTATTATTATTATTATTATTATTATTATTATTATTATATTTTTAACATTTATGTCCCGTCCTATTTTCGACCTCTGAAGAGGGACTCCGGGTGGCTTCCGACAATATAAAACACCAATAAAATACACAGTTGCATAAAATGATAATAAATATACATTTAAAAAGAGTTCGCCAGGTCTAAAGCATCCTCCAAATCAGTCCAAAAAGTACGGTCCATACAATCTCATCTGTGCCAGTAAAATTATTTATTCTGCGAACACTTGCTCCCACAGCCAAGTCTAAAGCATCTTGCAAAACGTCAGGAGGGAGGGGGCAGATCTAACCTCCTTAGGGAAGGAGTTCCACAGCCGAGGGGCCACCACAGAGAAGGCCCTGTCTCTCATCCCCACCCAATGCGACTGCAATGGTGGCGGGACCGAGAGCAGGGCCTCCCCAGATGATCTTAAAATCCTTGATATCCAACCCATTTCTGACATTCCACAGGCCAAACTGTATGCAATCCCACCCTACCCCACCACCCTACACTTTTAAACCAGCATGGTTAAACTCAACTATTGTATTCTAAGGCAATGATAGATACCAAAGACAGAGAGGCAGATTATGTGTCAGGGAAAGGTATCTTCATAAAATCATAACCTTGGAGTGGCTACTGATGATCAAAGTGCACTAATAGCTACGAAATTATATGCAATTAACTTTGTTACGGCCCTGGATTATGATTGTGGGTGGCATTATTTTTAATAGTGATTGCAATGTTTTATATGTTTTAATTTGCATTTAATTTTAAATCTTTAACTTAATGTATTTTAACTGTTGGTTGTTCAAAGACATTGAATGATTGTCATATGTAAAGCCACCTTGAGTCCCCTTCGGGATAGAGAAAGATGAGATACAAATAGAGTAAATAAATAGTAAATTACTAAAGTAAGAATGAAGGTTCAACTCTCTTACACACAAAGGGAGGGAGAGGGACACTCAACTTTCCAGTTCATGTTTTCTTATTTAATACCAGGAAGTCAGAAGTTGGTGCCCTGGTGTTACACAATGTATTTCCACTCCTTTTCAATTGTTTTCAAACAATCACAATGGCGATTTCTGAGCATGGCAAACTAATTTATTTCTAATTTGTATAGAATTTATGAAGAATAACAAAGATGTATCAAGTGTCCCCATATTGTCTCAGAGACAAGGCTTCTGCATATTGTGATTCTGTGCCAAATGTATTTGTAGACATAGGGACAAGCTTCCTGAAAATCTCAAGGTTGTTTCACAGTAGTTCTATAGGTATGAAGAAAGACATTTTCCATGGGATCAAAACATGGAAGGGGATGAACTTTGAGCCCTCCTTCCGCACTCACGACCTCAAGGAAAACCATTCTCATGACTATTAGACACCACTGCCATCACCCATTAATGAATGTCCATATTATCAGGAACCATGTCACTCTCCCTGCGCATGTTAATGCAGCACACAATATGAATGCCAGAACAGGTCTAGTTTTTTAAAGTTCTCCCCTTCTACATCTCAGTTGTTAACTTTAATGTATGAACCAAATCACATAGAATAAGAAGTGGGACAAATTTACTATAGTTTTTCAGTATCTCATAAGGTCTCAATCAATTCAACATCGTTTGTGGCAGCCACAAAAACAAAGTTTCTAGAGTATAACAACTACTTTCAAGGTAAGTACCACACAATTAAACAGGAAATAACACTTTCAGACCAGGAACAGTTTTTTTTTTCAAATTTTGCTACATAGTTACTTTCCTATCTTCTTTTTTAATATTCTCCCTCTTTTGATGTTATTTTAAAAACTTTAATAAAAACTACTTAAAAAAATTGCTAAATAGTGTTATGCCAACTTCCTATGGAATCCTGGGATTTCCCATTTGGAGTTCACAGCAAGAGAGGTTCTCTGCCTCACCCACCAGATTACAGCAAAACCAGAAACGAGACCTATTGCAAGCCTTTAAGCCAGGGGTCCTCAAACCTTTTAAACAGAGGGCCAGGTCACAGTGCCTCAAACTATTGGAGGGCCGGATTATAATTTGAAAAAAGCATGAATGAATTCCTATGCACACTGCGCATGTTTTATTTGTAGTGCAAAAAACACTTTAAAACAATACAATAATTAAAACGAAGAACAATTTTAACAAATATAAACTTATTAGTATTTCAATGAGAAGTGTGGGCCTGCTTTTGGATGATGAGATAGGATTGTTGTTGTTGTTGTGTGCTTTCAAGTTGTTTCAGACTTAGGTTGACCCTGAGTGAGGGCCGGGTAAATGATCTTGGAAGGCCGTATCCGGCCCCCAGGCCTTAGTTTGAGGACCCCTGCTCTAAGCCCTTGCTCATCTTAAAACCAGAGGTCTATTTACACATTCATTCCGAACAAAGGCACAAGTATCTGTAAGTGTACAACAACTATTAGTAATAATACAATGGATTTGTTCATTCTGAAACATGGCTTTGCTTTTGAAATACATTCACAAAACCTGTAATTTGAGCACAGCTGAAAATTCAAACCCATTACCCAACACACACATTCATTTGAGAGTAAGTGGGGTCATAATTCCAAAATTACATTAGTCTTTATTCCTCTGGTTTATCCTATTGGTCTTCTACAACAACAACCATATTTAGGTGTAAAGTGAGCTATCTCACTATAGTCGCTGGGTGAAGTTTGTCTTTCATGCCTTCTAACTAAACCAGTGATTCCCAAACTTTTTTGACTAGGGATCTCTCTGACCAGGGACCACTCTCCAACATTAGTATCAAAAGGGTTACGAATCAGTTTTTGGTCAATTTTAAATTTGGTTTGGTTATTTGGGGTGCTGATTCAGAAAATTGCATTAGATAGACCACATCAGCTCTAGTTCTGATACAGAACATATGCCATCCAGTAGTTACCATCTGTTCACCCAAAGAAAACAATATTTAATAAGCCTCGATACTATGACAGGGTTTTGCGAGACCAGTCGCTCTTGTTGCAATAGTGTAGTAATGGTGAGGCCACAGACCATATTTTAGTTCTTGCAGAACACCGGTGGTCCACAGTTTGCTGGTTGGGAACCACTGAACTAAGCAGTGCCAGTTGAACTTGAGGCTAATGAAGAAAACAGACAGAAACTACATTTGCTTTGACTTTTGTCTCTTTTCTCTCTTGAGAGTTGGCTACCATGTCATAATGTACCAGTCCACTCATATCCATTTTTATCTCTTTCAGTGCAATCAAAAGCTGCCTTCCTCATTTCCATCTTTTCTTTTTCTTCTCTCTTTCTTTCTAACCTCACCCCGCAACTCACCATCTGCCACGAGCAGGCCTGAAACATTTCTTCTTGATGTAGTTCTTGCAAATATGAAGACGTTCGCACCCATCACACTCATTCCTCAGACACAGACGCACCGGAGAGATTGCCAGCACCTGAGACAAGGTGCCTTGCTCATTGACCAGAAATCTTTCCTCCCCAGATTGCTCCAAGATCTGCCTTAACTGGTGGTCGGGGAGCCCCAAGACAGGAAGAATCTCCTGATAACTTGAGCTGCCTCCCATGGAGCAAAGGATCTTGGTGATAAAACTACACACAACCGGATCAGTCATGATCAATCTCTGGTCTGCCCACCTGTCTGTTAAAGAGCTGTTTGGTTTCGAGTCAGACCAACCTAGGCTCCACCTATTTTCCCTGCAACTCCGAAGAGAATCGAAACTGAAGACAAGTAACTCCCTGGCAACTTAACTCTATCATATGAATGCTGGAAACAGAAAGTCAACAAAGGTAGATCATTAATAGCACCACCTGACCTAAAGGGAGGCAAAGGGTGATTTATCAAAAATCTTGGCGACTGAATTGCATTTTGAGAGAATGTCACCATTCTTGTTTTATTTAGGATTTAGGACTGTTTTATTTAGGATTACAGGGTGGAGGGGCAGTACTGATTTTAACTGTCATGTTTTGGCTTGGCTTTAAAAAAATGTACATTGTATTCATTTCTGTCCACAAAGTGGAGTCCACAACATGCGGGTGTGGAGAAGAGCAAACCACAGACCACCCATTGCAATGCAGTCTGAGCCCTGCCACGTGCATAATGGAGGACCTTCTTATAGCAACACCAGAGGCACTCCAAGTGGCCAGCTATTAGTCAAAGGACATTTAGTACAAGGCCAAGTTTTTTAAACTTTGTGTTTTTTTAAAATACATTACAACTGTACCCTCAGTTCACTTCTGATACGACAAATAAAAAATAAATAAGTTGTATTAGTTTTCCCTAGACCAATCAGTAAGATTAAAATCTGCAAATAAATAATGGCCTAGTTGACCATTATCACTCTACAACTATGGAGAGGGGCCCAACTGAGGCTCAAAGGATATTCCAGGCATCACCATGCCAGGGAGGCTACCTAGTACTCATATCCAAGCTTGAAAAAGTTACTTCTCAACTATGGAATCTTCAGGAAGCCTCACTCTCTCAGCCTCAAAGGAAGGTGAAGGCAAACCTCCTTTGAAGAAAAATTACCAAGAAAACCCTATGATTTAATCTCTATACACTGAAAATAACATTTGGAAGACTCTTAATAACAACCAGACTATTCTGTTCTTACTTTAAGAACAGAAAAATGGTAAGTATAATTTTAGCTGTCATAAAATTATCATTTTTGGTATATTATAATAACAATTTTATTATTATTATCAGACAATAATTACAAATGGAATTGAATTTTCCTTTTCAAACGTTCCTTTTTTGTGGCACTACAAGGTGAGGAACTGTGGTGAACCATTTTGGTCTTCCCTATTTATTAACAGCAGGCAGATACCAATAAAAATCAGAAAAACCATGAATATAAAACATAGAATAGTATCTCATCACTTACTAGTTCTTCAGAGTGTCAAACAGAAAGTTCTTATTGACATGAAAGGAACTGAGAAAAAGACACGGTGCATTCATACATACAAATCTGCCTGTTACATCATTTTTAGAAATAATTTTGCAGGAGTAAATATATGGTTTCCTTGAATTCTAAAAAAAACCTATTCTATATTTATTTTTCCCAATTTTCATGTATTCCACTTCTCCAGGGAGCAACAATATCTACTAGGCATGGATAGAGCTGCGTCAGATTACTCGTTACTCATAATAATTTTGTTAAAGTTACCTTTTTGAAGCGATTTTGAAGCATTTTAAAAATGGAAGTCCCTTTGCCCTTCCAAACCTTTCTCCGCCATTTTTGTTACGACTCAGGAAGTGAGTTGGAAATAATTCAGCGTATTTTCAGCCCTCTAGCCTTCTGGGAGGCTCCTTGCCTCCCATCCCAGCCAATCAGGGGAGACGTTTTGGGGAGGGGAGGAGTTTCGGCACTGGCCGCCATTGCTGTACATAAAGGGGAGCACATGGCCCAGAGGCTCATTTGGAGCTGGGAAGGGAAGGGAGAAGGGGAAGGGAAAAAGGAAAGACAAAGACTAGGGGAAGGGAAGTTGGAAGAAGAGCACAGCGGGCAAGCAAGAAAGCAGAAAGGAAGAAGGACTGGAAAAAAGGGCTGTTGCCAGCCATGCTTGGCTGCCTGCCTGTTTCTGTTTTTCTTTGTTTTTGTTTTTTGCTGTGAGTTGCCTAAGAAGACACAGGAAATCCCATAGTTTCCTGCCTAGTGCCTATATTTTCCTAACTGCTGAAATCTGCTCAAAAGGCCCATAAAGCTCTCAGGACTGTTTCTTTTTTTTCTTTGTTTCCTTCTTTGTTAATCGCTTCAGCCATTAACGAACCAATTCGGAAAGTTCCAATTTGGGGGGGGGGGGTTCAGAATGAATTCCGAATCGAATCACCAGCACCCCCTACATCTGAAACAAGTTTTGAACCATTTTTTAAATCAACTAAGCCTAAAATCTACACACAGCATTGTTATACGACTCCATTATTTTTGAACTTGTAATTAAAAAAAAACAATTGATGGTGTAAGAATGCACACAATTGAAAACCATCCCATAAGCTTCTGCTTCAAATAAATACAAAAATTAGTGAGAAATAAGAGAAAGAGAAGGCTAAGGGAGAGAACTGACACAGTGGGAGGGGAAAGCCATGCCACCTTCAATATGCAATATCAAGTCCAACTATGAGTACGCCAACTAGACCTGGCAGCAAAAGCATCCCTTCCCAACCCTTTTCCGTTTCTATTTGTCTTCTAGAACGCAAGTCTGCAGCCAAAGACTGTCTGGTTTTACTGACTGTACATCCACTCTTTGCAGATACTTTTGGGTGAAGAACACAACAGAAAGCCTTCAAATAGATACTTCCAAAGTGTACCTGCCATGGCTCAATGCCATGGGATTCTGGGAGTTGTACTTTTATCATGATCTTTAGTCTTCTCTGCCAAAGAGTGCTGGTGCCTCACTAAAAAACAAATCCCAGGATTTTATAGCACTGAGCCATGATGGTTAAAGTGGTGTCAAATACATTAATGCTAAAGTGTAGGTGTACCCTAGGGAATCTCACGGGGAAAATAGGAAATCAGAAACTCCCTCTTGTTTCCGAACAAATGTAATCATGGATCTAAAAAAGACAGTACCTTCCAAAAATTAAGGAACCAGTGTAATTTGCGCATTTGACTCCACATTCAGCCATGGAAACCCATTGGGTGACCTTGGGGGAGTTACACACTCTCAGCCTCAGAAATCCCTATGATAGGGTCATCATAGGATGTTCATATGTTGGGAACAATTGAAAGAACACAGCAACAACAACAGAAATTAACAATATATAAACAGAAATTCTTCCTTATGTTGCTCAAATAACAAGCATAAGGCAGAACTGAAACCACAACTTCTGTTTATTCAAAAACTCATGTGATATTAAAGCCAAAGAGACGAGTCATCAGCAGAAGCACTGAAAGGTTGTTGACAATGTACACACAAATTCACTGATACACCCTAGCCACACTCAGCGCTATCACACAGTTAAATATTTATTGTTAAATTTTGTTGTTGTTCATTTCCTTCAACTGTCAAAAATCGAAACATCCTTTGAAGTTACATCTACCTTGCTTACATCAGACCTTTGTATCGGTATCAGTTCTATTTTAATGGACTGTTAGACCCGTCGCAAACTAGCCTCCTGCGGGAGCAAACTGTGCCAGCACGTCCCTGACGTCATGAGACTGCGCCTCTCTCTCCGCCCCTTTCTCCGCCTCTTTCTCTGTGCCAGAGTGGTTTTTCCTTTGCTAGGGCAGCATTGCCAGCGTACTCTCGTTGTTGGCAGAATCCAACTGAGAGAGTACGCTGGCAATGCTGCCCTAGCAAAGGAAAAACCACTCTGGCACAGAGAAAGAGGCGGAGAAAGGGGCGGAGAGAGAGGCGCAGTCTCATGACGTCAGGGACGTGCTGGCAAGGTTTGCTCCCGCAGGAGGCTAGTTTGCGGCGGCTCTAAGGAAAAAGCCCTTTCTGTAACTTTAAAGAAGACTCATACACAAGATAAAGGCAATAGTAACACACACACACACACACAGTAGAAAACTTCCCAAGAACACTCTAGGCCTGACTTTTAGGCTCACAGCAAGTTCCATTATTTTTCAGTAGGCAGATTTAGGACATGTTTAGTTTGTACTTGAAATTCTGGGATCCAAGGAATCTTGAACCAGCACAGTCAGTCCAACCATGAGTATGCCAGCTGGAGGACTGTGAAATCTAATGTAAGTCACTTTTCTAAACTTGGCTAAGGAAAAATCTTGGGAGCTGATAAATCTTGCAACAAAGCATTAAGCCTGGACAATGGAGGCAGAAATCCTAGGACCAACAGGTCTTTATGTGGACCTCTTCTGAAGTTCTGGGATTTTTTGCCCCTGTTTAAAACCCATGATTTAGTGCTGTCTGGAAGCGCCCCAATCCCCCTTCGACATTGCCATGTAAAATCCAGATTATCTGCTTTGAGTTGTGTAGAAGGGGGCTGAGTTACTTCCAGAACCATTATACTGTTAGAACACAGCCTTCCCTGTCTGCCTCCTTCTTCCAAAGCCCCTTCTACACTCCCATATATTATCCAGATTATCAGATTTAAACTGGATTATATGGCAGTGTAAACTCATATAAACCAATTCAAAGCAGTTGTTGATTATCTACTTTGATAATATGGGTTTTATGGTAGTACAGATGGGGCCCAAAATGGCAGTGGTCCAAGGACCACTAAAGGGCCAAAGTGAGAGATAGTTTGGGTTGCGGCCAGTGTTTGAAACTCAGCCATGGAAGCAACTTGCCCGAAATCACTTAGCGGTTTTCCATCATTGAGGGAATCAAAACATGGCCTCCAGAGTCATTGACCCCTTCTACACTGCCATATAATTCAGATTATCGAAGCAGATAATCCACATTATCTGCTTTGAACTGGATTCTATGAATCTACACTACCATATAATTTGGTTCAAAGCAGATTTGATATGGCAGTGTAGAAGGGGCCACTGTCAAAGCGCTATGCCATGCTGGTTCTCTTTGTTGGACATTACCACCTTCACACTATTCCAGTCAGCCCTGTTGATTGGAATAATACAGTACCTCAGGTATTTTCCCCAAGTTCTTCCTCTTCCTTGCTATGTTAGTTAGGCATGGCAGATTTTTATGCATTGTTTGTGATCCACATCATTTGCTTTGAACTGGATTATGAGATATGGGTTGCCATATACTACAGACATGCTGCA